CAGTCCTGGAGGCTGGGGAAGGCCCGGATGAGGGCTCTGCGTCAGAGGCAGAGTTGGGGCCAGGGCCATCGGGGAGTGAGGTGCGGACTCCAGAGCCTCCAGAGAGTGATAGAAGTGAGGTAGAGGAACAGGAGGAGGCAGCATGAGACAGCATGAGAAGAGCTGTCAGAAGGCAAGAGCAGCTCAAGCAAAGAGGACAACTCGGGAGTAGGGCCAAGAGATGATTGGCCCCTCCCATAAGGCTTAAAACAGACCAGCAATGGCGTTTGGGCTTTGCCAGAAAACAATGTTGGTAGCTTCGTCTTCTTCGTCTACGTCTTGTATTTATTTTTGTATCTGTGACTTCTGAATGTTTGCCAAGAAAGGCCTTTGGCAGTTTGCCTCATTGGACCAAGATTTGCGATAGGACTGAGGAATTTGTGTTGGGAGGAATTTGCTTTAATTTAATTGAATGACGCTGGGAATGAAGTAATTCTCAGCTGTTCGAATAAAGTTTGTTTGTTTTTTCACTGACTGATTTTCCTACTACTTACTTGGGCCTGGGTCACAACAAAATTCACTTAACAACTGTATTACTAACTTAACAACTACAGTGATTCACTTAACATAAAAAAGGTAAGAAAAGTCATAAAATGGGGCAAAATTTACTTAACAACTGTCTCACTTAGCAACAGGAATTTTGGGCTCAGCTACGATCGTAAGTTGAGGACTACTTGTATTGCACTCACTGATGGCAGAACCAGCAGTATATCGCTGGCAGAACCTGGCTCTATTTCTTAATTTAAAACTTTCTTGAAGCATAGGACTAGCACTTTCTTTACACCCAATCCTTTTTTCCCCAAGCAGAAATTTAGCATTTTTTTTTTTCAAAAAAATGCTAAATCCGTATTTGAAATGCTGGCTTAGCACTATTCCAGAAGAGTGTTAAATCTACCTCCATAAGAAGACTGTGTAAGACCTGACAAGCACTTGGTCAGTCATTACACTGTCAAAAGCCTCTGTGGAAACTCCTGGAGCCAAAGCCAAAATAACTATTGAGGCCAGATCTCAAATCTTTGACTTCATCATCAACCACATCACAAGCAAAGCAACGATAGATCATGTCCACAGCTAAGATCCTGCTGGGGAAAAAGGAAAAACACAACTTTAAAACCTAAGGAAGATTTTAAATTGCCTCAAATGTGATGAACTGAGGGCAAAATCTGGGTTAAAAGACATGGCATAAAATGATTACTGAGCATTTTTGTGCTGTGGTTGGAGGGGCATAATTATCTTTTCACTCTAATATCCTCCCTTTTTCTTCAAATCTGAGGAAACAGGCCCTTAACCATCATAACTTAACATGTCACTCCTTTATTTAATCTGTCAGGTTAAAATGCTGAACCCTGGATGTGTATAAAGTTGAGAAAATCTGAACATGCAGATTTTTTTTCCGCAACAGAGTAAAGTTATATGCCCAGAGCAGGGGTATCAAACTTAAGGCCCTCAGGCCGGATTCCGCCTGCAGGTTGCTTATATCTGGCCCAGGGGGCTATCCTGGAAATCGCAAATGACCGGCTTGCAGTGCCTCTACCAGTGAAAATGGAGCTCTGGAGGGCACATGCAGCCCTCCCGGGCTCTGTTTTCGCTAGCAGAGGGCTGCAAGAGGCCATTGTGGCTAAAAATGGAGCCTGAGAGGGCCGCACGCAGCCCTCCCGGGCTCCGTTTTCACTGGCAGAGGGCTGCAGGAAGATCCACCCATCCCCGCCCGGGCCACCACAGGTGCCCCCAATACAAGTGATGTCAAACTGGCCATGCCCACCCTGGTCATGCCAACCTCAGCCGTTCCCATCCGGCCCCCTGAAATCAAACACCACCTGATGCGGCCCTCAATGAAATCGAGTTTGATAATCCTGGCCCAGAGTGATTGATTTTTTTTTAAAAAAAAATTATTATTATGGTTTGCTGCACTGTCAGCTAGATGTTCCGACCAGATTCGGCATTTTTATCCACCTGTTGAATCCTTCTTAATATTCTGGGATAGGCAGATGTTTTTTGATGGTGATAAAGGTATGGCCTGCAGGATGTAAGCTGTTCCAAATAAAACTGCTTTTTCCAATTGATCGATGATCATTTCGTTAATGCTGATGGCGTTCAAATCAGGGGTGGGTTCTACTTACCTTTACTACCGGTTCGCATCACATACGCAATCTCCTATGATGATGTCCAGGTCAGTGGGCGGAGCCTTCCACTGGTTTTACTACCGGTTCTTGCGAACCGGTCCGAACCAGGGGAAACCCACCACTGGTTCAAATGGTGCCCGAGATTGTTTGGGATTGCACCCAAGGCACCTATTACTATTGGTACTGTCTTTGCTTTCTTTTGTCACAGTCATTCTACTTCTGTTTTCAGGCTTTTTATTTTTCTCCAGTTCTTTCTCTTCTACTCTATATACAAACATGAAATCACAACTGCCAGGTCTTGCAGTTGGTGTTGGCCTTCGAAAACATCAAATTCTTCCCAAGAAACTAGGATGTTGTAATGAATTGGCATAACATATGTGCAGATCCAATTAGTGTGAACTATTATTATGGTAGGTCATATAGTCAGCCAGATATTTAGACTGGATTTGGCATTTTTGTCCACCTATCAAGTCCTTCCCAAGGATCTGGGATAGACAGGTATTGTTATTTAATAGTGTGAAAAGTACCATTGCAGGGTGTAATATGTTCTAAGTAAAGTTGCCTTTTGCAATTGACTGGTTTTGTCAATGCCAACGGTGTTCAGGTAGTGCTCCAGTTGTTTTAGGATAATACACCTATTACTATTGATATTATCTTTGTTTTCTATTAGATGGATGGATGGATGGATGGATGGATGGATGGATGGATGGATGGATAGATAGATAGATAGATAGATAGATAGATAGATAGATAGAAGATAGAATGAATTCTTTACTGGCCAAGGGTGATTGGACACACAAGGAATTTGTCTTGGTGCATACGCTCTTGGTGTACATAAAAGAAAAGATACATTCGTCAAGAATCATAAGGTACAACACTTAATGATAGTCATAGGGAAACAGTCAATATAAATCTTAAGGATGCCAGCAACAAGGTTACAGTCATGCAGTCATAAGTGGAAGGAGATAGGTGATGGGAATGATGAGAAGATTAATAGTTGGGAAATTGTTGGGAAACTGCTAGCTAGGCTGGAATGAGGGGTCAAATGGGGGCCCAGCTTGGAATCGTTGCACAGCCACAAGTGACATATGCTTTATCTTCCCCAAGATCCATGAAACCTTACTTAGGTGTTTCCAGGGAAACGGAGCCTGGTGAGATTCTTGTAACATAAGTAGAGGCAATAAACATGCTTATTGTATCTGTTTATGTCTGCCACCGTTTGCTTGCTTGCCCCTGACACAAATAATAATACTATTAGGTTGTGGGGTAAAATAATCAATGTAAGAAATAAAGGATATTGTATGAGGTAAATTTTGGTTAATGGCAACGTGCTGAAGAATCTTCTGCTTAAAATATTTCTGTCCCCAAAGCAATTGGTCTCTGGGATATTTCATTCTATAGGTTAAATTTGTACCTTGCTATTCTGATATTTTGTCTTTCTGCTTTCAAAACCTTTGCTTCACTTTTTATTCTGCATTACCTAATACATTCCTTAGCCTTGGTAGTAACAGTATATGCAACAACGCTTCAGTAAGTACAAGAGACAAATATTTCTTCTGCATATATTCATTTTCAAGCTGAGTGGTAATCATGCCAGCACCAAGTTAATAAGTAACTCCTGTATTCTGATTTAAGAAGGCAAACCAAGAAGTTCGGGAGTTGAGTTGCATTTGTAGGATGACCTAAAACCTTAATTAAGTAAAGAAAGGCTTTTGAGAGATTCTTAGAAGTTAAAATTAAAATTCACATTTAAATAGAAGGAATTTACGTATATTAATTAGCTTACAACCACAGAGTGGTTCTCCTCCTCCTCCTCCTCTTCCTCCTCCTCCTCCTCCTCCAGTAGCTATCATAGGTAAAGGTAAAGGTAAAGGTTCCCCTCGCACATATGTGCTAGTCGTTCCCGACTCTAGGGAGCGGTGCTCATCTCCGTTTCAAAGCCGAAGAGCCAGCACTGTCCGAAGACGTCTCCGTGGTCATGTGGCCGGCATGACTAAATGCCAAAGGCCCACGGAATGCTGTTACCTTCCCACCAAAGGTGGTCCCTATTTTTCTCCTTGCATTTTTTACGTGCTTTCGAACTGCTAGGTTGGCAGAAGCTGGGACAAGTAACGGGAGCTCACCCCGTTACATGGCACTAGGGATTCTAACCGCTGAACTGTTGACCTTTCAATCAACAAGCTCAGCATCTTAGCCACTGAGTCACCACGTCCCTTAGAGTTAATAGCCATCATAACAGCAGATAATTAGTTGCATTTCTAGTTCAACTCTGCATATACATGCGTTGCAGTGAAAGAAGCCAACATACAGCAATGGAATTCATGGTATGGATTTTGTAACTTCTTAAACCACCAGAAGTTGAAATGTTGCATCTCTCATCCCGACTCTAAAAAAGTCTTTGTCCCAGGATCTGGAAGGTACACCTCTTCTTGCTGAGCAAAGTCACTTAGGATCTGCCTTTAATCAACTAAAGAGATAAAGGAAGGGCAAACAAAAAAAGTTCTTTTCCCCATATTTATCTTCATTTCCAAAATTACTTTGTTCCTTAAAATGAAGGAAAAACTTCCTGACTGTAAGATCTGAAAAGTGGAACAATCTATCTGCAGGATTGTGAGATTTCGATTTCTGGAAGTTTTTAAGAAAGGCTAGCCAGCTACCTCTCAAATATGGTTTAATTGGCTTTCCTGCACATTGTCAAGGCTTCAACTAGATAATTTGTATGGTTTCATTCAACTCCACAGTTCTATGAATCTGTAAGCTGGGTTTTCTATTAAACTCTGCTACAGAACCACTCATTCATTGTCGTGGCAATCCGTTCACTTTCCTTTTCATTCACAGGCAGTATGAAGCAACTCCTGAAGACAACCTGTTGAGCCAAGAAGTAATGTTGAAGCGCCAGGAGGAGGAAATGATGCAACTGCAAGCTAAAATGGCGCTCCGGCAGTCTCGGCTCAGCCTCTATCCTGGAGATCTAGTGAGACCAGCCGTGCTTGATATGACAAAGGATCCACTTAGAGAAATTGCTTTGGAATCAGCCATGACGCAAAGGAAGCTAAGGGTAATGTTAAGACACTGATGGGCCAAGGATTGCATCTTTTGAAAAAGCACTGTGCTAAGCAGATTGAAGAGGTTAACACATCTATTCAGCTCCTTCCTTCCTTCCTTCCTTCCTTCCTTCCTTCCTTCCTTCCTTCCTTCCTTCCAAACTTCCTCCCTCCCTGTATAGCAATGTTTTGCTTTTAGCAATTGATTGACAAATTTCAGTGGTCCACTTTTGGGCAGTCCCAGAAGCCCCAGACAATGATTAGAAACAGATGCGAGTCATCAGTTGCCAACTCTTGTTTTAAGTGGTTGAGCAATACACTTGGCTGAACACAAATTAATTCTTTATAAAGGTTGATAGTCATTTCTAACAATAGTTCAGTCTGTTGTGGTGTTAGCACATATATTTTGCAGCTGTGCTTGGAATAAAATGTGTTCGTATGGTGTGTGTGTGTGTGTGTATGTGTGTTGTGTATTTTTATTTCATGGTTGATGTTCTGATAGGCCATTAAAGCCATTCTGTCTTAGACAATGTTATCCCTATGGAGATTCTTGAGATTCTTACTCCATGCCCCAACAGTAGCAGAGATAGTTTAAGCAAGTGCACCTAATCTATAGTGTCTAGTTTTGACACCAACATCATGACCAGGGGTGGGATTCTACTGGTTCGGACCAATTCAGGCGAACCAGTTGCTCCGACAATCAGCTGGGAGCAAACTGGTTGACTCCAACAATCAGGCGGGCCCACCCGCCCCACCCCCTGCGCTTTACTGACCTATATCTTCTCAGCTGATTCGCGCGGCAGAGCAGATTGCCGCGCCTCAGCTGTGTTACTCCACAGCAATAACGCGGAAGGTAAGTTTTCATAAAATTGTGCACACGTGCGCAGTGTTGGTCAGGCACGTGTGGAGCGCTCGCGTGAAGCACGTGATTACCGAACCGGTTGTTAAACCGGCAGGATCCCGCCACTGATCATGACCAATAGGAAACCAATGACTCAGTAGTATCCTGGAATGTTTCCTGCTGATGCTGTTGACCTTTTCCAAATCTCCCCAATACAGTTAGATTGCTCCTCTAACATTGCATATGTTTTAGAAAGTCCTATGGTATTTGGGGGGTTTTTTTTGCTGCTTCTATATTTCCTTATCCTGATGCCTTATGTTCGGATTACAGTTTCCAGAATACCAAGATAAATTCTTGGGATGGGAATTTCTAGAGGAATAGTAATTTTCCCAACCGATCTGGAAAGCAACAAGTTTTGCAAGGCAATTATTTAATTATTACATTTATTTGTTCACCTAATGGAGTCCTAGAAATGAATAGATTTGTTAATGTGTACTGAACTTCATTTGGAAGAGCTATTTTCAGTCCTCAGTTCCCCTCTGTAATAACGATGAGCTTTATTCTTGTCAAGTCTTCAGTTGCTTATCAGTTTTTGATGGCAAATGCTAAAATGAGTTTCTCTCATTTGCAGAATTTCTTTGGTCCTGAGTTCGTAAAAACTACCATTGAACCCTTTACCTCCTTGGACCTGCCAAAATCAATTTTGGTAAGACCTTTGTTGCAAATGTACTTATCAGTAAGTAACATATAACTAGCAGTGATCTGATGGCATGGTATGTGATTATCTTAATTGGGTTGTTTTGGTTCTGTAAAATCCCTCCTATACTCTTAATTTGCTTGATTTCTCTTAGTGGATTCTTTGCCCCCCCCCACCCTCTTTTTAGATAATCATTGATTTAACTTTCTCTGAATGTTAAGCTGCAATATTTATCTGATAAGTTGTGTGACAATCGCCATGATCTTTCAACACCACCTCTAGAGATTGGGAAATTTGGATTGTTTATCATCGTGATGGCGAACCTATGGCATGCGTGTCAGAGTTGGCACGGAGCACCCTCTCTGATGGCACATGAACCATCACCCCGGTTCAGCTCTGCTGCACATGCAAGCGTGCCTCCCGCCGGCCAGCTGGTCTTTGGGTCTCTGCTGCATATGCGGCGGTGTAGGTGCAGGGGGGCACTCACAGGGGAGTGGGGCACATGTGGGGGCGGGGCACATGTGCAGGGGCTGTGTGCACATGCACGGGGGGCTGGGCGCATGTGCGGGGCCCTGCACGCATGCGGGGAGTGGGGTGCATCCTTGGGGGCCGGACACACATATGCGGGGGTGGGGCGCATGCATGGGGACACACGCACATTGCATTTTGGGGATTTGGGTGCGCACACTTTGGGCACTTGGTCCAGAAAAGGTTAGCCATCACTAGTCTTATCATATTGTCCAATTCAGATAACTCCCTTCCCCTGCCTTCCCTGTTTAAATTATATTCATTCTATTAAACTATTCTGCAGTTTACTTCATGAGGATGATATGATTTTGTGCTGGGTTATAACTTTTTGTTTCACTTCTGACTATATAATTGATCCTTCACCCCCAGTGTCAGAATTTTCCTCTTTATGTAGATTAATGTTTTCTTTGACATTATTAACAATGCAAGGAGTTTTTTTATTTTTTGTTTTTTTAAAAGGAGGCTCTCTCCTTGTAGGAGATTATTAGATTATCAGCCTGTAGTCTTGGGAACACTGTACAGTAATACTTTTTAAAAAAAACTTCTGAAGTTTGGGTCTATGTCGCTCCAATATAACTAGCTTGCTTTTTACATCGTTCTTAGTACTTTGAAGTTAATGGAATTTGGAATTTCTTAATGGTGTTTCTATAATGCAGATGATCTATGTTACTGCTTCTCTTTCATCACACATTCTGTTTTAGCAGTAGCTATGTGGTACATTTTTTATAAATCATGTTTTCTGACAGGAAGGTAACTGAAATCAAGAAGTGATATCATTTAGTTGAACATTTAGTATTTGAGTAGCTGATAGTGCCTCGGTCATATCCTCCTGCATATATTTTTAAAAAAGGAATGTGGCAAGCAAAACTGCATATAGTCCTAGTAGAGTAGAGTAGAGTAGAGTAGAGTAGAGTAGAGTAGAGTAGAGTAGAGTAGAGTAGAGTTGAATTGAATTGAATTGAATTGAATTGAATTGAATTCTTCATTGGCCAAGTGTGATTGGACACACAAGGAATTTGTCTTTGATACATATGCTCTCAGTGTACATAAAGAAAAAATAATATATATTTGTCAAGAATCATAAGATACAACACTTAATGATAGTCATAGGATACTAATGTTCTGTCCCCGTCCCCACACACACACGAACAGCCAGCCAGGGGTTAAAGAAGTACTCGGCACACACAAGGTTCATTATCAGGAACTTGGCAGCAATACGATAACCGTCTGCCAAGTGCTTTACTACAAGAAGAGGGAGTGTTCCTTCACCAGATAACACCAACAAATACACACAGTTTTCAAAACAGTCCAGCTCAAACATGAAACCTTCAGCAGATTTGGCGTTGTACAAAGTGACTAGCCAGAAGTTAGCTTTGTCCATCACAGAGTCTAAATGGCCACCACACTCTCTTATATAGCCTGTGGGGTGTGGTCCAGTGACTCAGCTTAATCCCTGGCACGCCTCCATCTGCTGCAAACGTTTATCTCGCCTTCGTTGGCGTGGATCCAGGAACGACTTATCACCCTCATCGCTGTCATCGGAGACACCTGGCTCCTGGTCAATCTCCTCTCCCTCAGCAGACATCTGAGGCATTGCCAGAGAGGAGGGGCCTGGAGAGGGAGGCCTAGCTGGCTCCTCTCCTTCATGTTCGGAGCCTTCTTCCTCCGATAAGATAGCTCGGAGGACGGAGCCACAACAAGTAATAAGCAATCAAATCATACTAGGAAACAATAAAAACAATAGAAGTTGTACAGATGCAAGCAACATGGATATACTGTAGCCATAAGTGGGAAGAGATAGCTATTAGTAAGGATGAGAAGAAAAATAATAATACAGTCTTAGTAGTTAATTTGAGGGAATTATTTGTTTAGGAGGGTGATGGCCTTCTTGTGTCTAGTTGTTCTGGTGTGCAGTGCTCTATAGCGTCGTTTTGAGAGTAGAAGTTGAAACAATTTATGTCCAGGATGTGAAGGGTCTATAAATATTTTCACAGCCCTCTCTTTGACTCGTGCAGTATACAGATCCTCAGTGGAAGGCAGGTTGGTAGCCATTGTTTTTTCTGCAGTTCTAACTATCCGTTGAAGTCTGTGTCTGTCTTGTTTGGCTGCAGAGCCAAACCAATATGAATTCCACATTGCAGTATTGTATTTCTCTGTGTGTGATTTTGTTTTGAAAAAAAATAAAATTGACATTCCCTTCATTTCCATTTCCTCTGTCATGTTAGAAAAGTGGATATTTGTTTTAAAAAATGATGCTTTTGATAATTGATGGCCCTGTGTATGCAGTTTTGTGTCTGTTTTTCTTTTTTAATCAGAACAAGAAAGGGAAGAATGAAGACAATCGCCGGAAAGTCAACATCATGCTTTTAAGTGGCCAAAGACTAGAACTGACTTGTGATACTAAGACCTTATGCAAAGATGTATTTGATATGGTTGTCGCCCATATTGGTTTAATGGAGCATCACTTGTTTGGATTAGCTTCTTTAAAAGGTGAGAAAAATATTGCATTACTCTGAATATTTTTCATTTGATATCAAATGGTAACTGTTGTGTATGAATGAGTCGTTTGTTGTTAGTTGCAAAGTCCTGTCCGACCCATCGCGACCCCATGGACAACGTTCCTCCAGGCCTTCCTGTCCTCTACCATCCCCCGGAGTCCATTTAAGCTCACACCGACTGCTTCAGTGACTCCATCCAGCCACCTCGTTCTCTGTCATCCTCTTCTTCTTTTGCCCTCAATCGTTTCCAGCATTAGGCTCTTCTCCAGTGAGCCCTTCCTTCTCATTAGGTGGCTAAAGTGTTTGAGTTTCATCTTCAGGATCTGGCCTTCTAAAGAGCAGTCAGGGTTGATCTCCTCTAGGACTGACCGGTTTGACTGCCTTACAGTCCAAGGGACTCGCAGGAGTCTTCTCCAGCACCATAGTTCAAAGGCCTCAATTGTTTAGTGCTTGGCCTTTCTTATGGTCCAACTTTCACAGCCATATATTGCAACTGGGAAAGCCATGGCCTTGACTATATACACTTTTGTTGGCGGGGTGATGTCTCTGCTTTTTAGGAATGAGTCATTACTGAGCACAAAAATAAATTCCATATTTTCCTGGGAACAGACTAGGCTTTGTGACAAATCTATGCAAATTCATCTTTCTCTCTAAATCCGTTTCCCATAATAGAGACAGCTGGTTTGAATTGAAACAGGTTTGTAGAGAAAGGGGAATAATTATTTTTTCCCTATGTCATTTTCTTAATTAAAAATCCCCTGCTATTTGTTCTCATAGCAAAAACATGCATGCCCATGTTATTATTCAAATAGCATTTTCAGAAGAATTGAAAGGGAAAATGAAAGGGTTTGGAAGAATTATTTTTTCCTTCTTTTGCCCCCATGTGAAGTCTAGCACAATATTCTGATCCGGAAAGGTGAATGTAGAAAGAATATTATATAACCTAGAACTAAGGAGAAATTTCCTGACTGAACAATTAATCAGTGGAACAACTTGCCTCCAGAAGTTGTGAATGCTCCAACACTGGAAGTTTTTAAGAAGAGATTGAATAACCATTTGTCTGAAGTGGTGTAGGGTTTCCTGCCTAAGCAGGGGATTGGACTAGAAGACCTCCAAGGTCCCTTCCAACTCTGTTTATTCTATTCTATTCTATTCTATTCTATTCGACTCGACTCGACTCGACTCGACTCGACTCGACTCGACTCGACTCGACTCTATTCATTGGCAACTTGATCGTTCAAAGTAATAGAGGAGACAACAGGGTGGGGAATATGTAGCTAAAACCTTCCCCAACATGGGAATCCTTCAATATGTGGACATCAACTCCAAGAATTCCCCAGCTAGCAGATAATTTCTGAGGATTCCAGGAAATAACCACCACATATACTAAAGGATGGTTCATTTGGGCCTCAGACAGCCATAGAAAACTTTTACTTCATCAGCCAGTAGTACATATCTATAGACTGGAATCTGTCCCTGCCCTGGCTCTCAGAAATTCATATATTATCCACTTTGCTTTGTTTTCTGCATTCATTAAGAGAATCAGCTGATAGCTTAATCGCATAATCAGCTGTTCACAGTTAAATTCCTCTGATGGAGGCTGATTTCTTTCTGTTGAACAAATAGCATCACATGTTTGGGAGACCACTTGTGGATATATCACCAAAGCAGAGCAACTGAACTGGGATACCTTATGAATGTTCTGTGTTGATTTACCTTTTGATGACAGAAAATGAGTACTTCTTCATCGATCCAGAGCTGAAGCTCACTAAAGTAGCCCCTGATGGCTGGAAAGAAGAATCCAAGAAAAGGAACAAAAACACAGTAAACTTCATCTTGTACTTCCGGATTAAGTTCTTTGTGGATGACATTAGTCTGATTCAGTGAGTATATTTGTGTTGTGCTTTAAAACCATTCTTGTCCCATGGCCCTGTTTTACTGGGAAGTCAACATGCTCCCAAGTAGTCTTGCTTTCTACAAGTCGCACATAATTACGACAATTCTGTTCTCATTTCTATTCCCTAGTGGGATAGAAGAGGAAGGGTAACAAAGGGATGATCCCGACCTGACTGTCAGGAATTCCATGCTAGCATGTACATGAATTACATGAGTGGTGTGGTGGCCTAGAGGTGGAGCTGTCACCTCATAATCAGGAGCCTGTGAGTTTGATCCTAGGTAGAGACAGATATTTCTCTCTCTGGGCACAATGAGAATATATCTGCCGAACAAAACTCCGCATTGGCGACAGGAAGGGCATCCGCAGAGGTGGGTTTCAGCAGGTTCTGACCAGTTCTGGAGAACCGGTAGCAGAAATTTTGAGTAGTTCGGAGAACCGGTAGTAAATTTTGGCCCCACCCCCATCTATTCTCTGCCTCCCAAGTCCCAGCTGATTGGGAGGAAATGGGGATTTTGCAGTAACCTTCCCCTGGATTGGGGAGGGAATGGAGATTTTACAGTATCCTTCCCCTGGAGTGGGGTGGGAATGGAGATTTTACAGTATCCTTCCCCTGCCACGCCTACCAAGCCATGCCACGCCCACCAAGCCACACCCACAGAACTGGTAGTAAAAAATTTTGAAGCCCACCACTGGGCATCCGGCCAGTAAACACTCAGCTCTATTCAGTTGACCATAAGGGATTATGGGGTCATTAAAAGAAGATGATGATGATGTGCATGAATTACATACAGGCAATAGAGCAAACATAATGTTGGAATAACTAAATATTTCTCTGCCAGCCCAATGTATTTTCATGTTGTTTATTGCTATTGCATTTGAATCATCTACCAAAACCCCCGTTCTGATGTGGAGTGTCTAGCCCAGATGTCTGCAACCTTAAACACTCAAAGAGCCATTTAGACCCATTTCCCACAGAAAAGAAAACACCGGGAGCCACAAAACCGGGTGTGGGCGTGGCCAGTTCAATGTCACTCACTTCCACCAGTCACATGATATCCCCCCCAGCCACGCCTACCCAGCTGATCATTGGGGCAGAGAACCGGTTGTTAAAAAACACCGGGAACCACAAAAACCTTTTGACATCTCTCTCTGTCCCCCTCCCTCTCTCTCCCCCCTCTCTCTGTATCTCTCTGTCTCTGCCCTGGCCGCTTCTCCATCCCCTGCCATCGCCCTTACCTTCTCAGGCCAGGAGAAGAGTGACTGGGAGGGGAGGGCGAGGGGTGGGGCCAGCCAGTGGTGGGATCACCCGACAGGGAGCCACAGCAGAGGGCCCAAAGAGTCGCATGCAGCTCTGGAGCCACAGGTTGCTGACACCTGGTTTAGCCAGACAAACTCTCTTGGAGAACATGATTATGAAACAAAGGTTGTTCAGAGTTTTTCAAAGTGGCATCATGGAAACCAGGAATTTTTGAATTTCCAGCACATGCATCCTGCAGTGCTGGAGAAATACCTGTTCCAAGACCTTGATTGATTGATTCATTCATTCGTTCGTTCCTTCGTTCGTTCATTCATTCAGTTTATAACTCGGGTTTCTGCTCAGCTGTGCACTACAGTATCTAACCAAATGTAAAAATATAATATAAAGGCTAAGATATAAAATGAAAACTAAAATCAATTAACATTTAAAATCCTAGCAAAAGAACCCCATTCATATAACGGAGGAGTGTCAAACTGGCAGCCCACGGGCCGGATGCGGCACACGCAGGCCACGCCCACCCCAACTCCAATTTTTCCCACCCCAAGGGGGAAAAATGTCACGAAACGTCACGTGATGGCAGCGTGACGCCACAAGTTTGACACCCATGACATAATGCATTCACCCTGTTCCCCCACTATCCAGTTAACCATGTCATACAAACGGGCCATTGTATAAAAGAGAATCGTCGCCTTGAGCTAATCTGCGTAAAGTCATTATTTTCCACATCCCATGACCTGTTTATTTCTTTCTCTCACCTCTTTTGATTTGCTCCAGGCACACCTTGACGTATCATCAGTACTACCTGCAGTTAAGGAAAGATCTTCTAGAAGAGAAGATACACTGTGATGATGAAACAGCCTTATTGCTGGCCTCCTTGGCCCTCCAGGCAGAATATGGAGATTACCAAGATGAAGTAAGGAGAGTTTTTTTTTTCCACTTGTTGGCAACCTGTCAATTTTATGCTTATTTTATAGTTTAATGCATCTCAGTTGGTTTGGCTGCTACATAAATGTCAAGGTTCAGTAGATGTGCAGTTGGGAAGCAGAAGAGAAGAATTCAAAGGTTTTCCAAATTGAATTGGTTTGTAGCCATACAACTCAGATCAATATCTTCTCCCAGTTATAGGGAGCCAAAGTAATCCAGTTTTATGGAACAAATGTAATGGTAAAAGGACTGGGAGGCTTCCTGTTTATGTCAAACAAAAATATTAACTAAACATTAATGCACTAATTTAACTAATAATGAGGCAACTATTTCTCAAACTTCTGATTTCAGTCACTTTTTTGATATTCATTCCGGAAGCTGGTAACATAAAGTTTAAAGTTTCTGGTCCATATAAAGTGATAACTATTAAAACCATCTCTCAGCTCCTTCTCCCGAACAAAACGGAAGCAGCAAGAAAACACAACAGGACACATCCAACTGGTTTGGTGATGTTGGTTTAATGCCGTTGTTAGCTGCGGGAAAACACTGAGCTCCTAACGTTTCAAAGTTGGCGCTACGAGCGTTCGCCTCGTAGCGCCTTTTATTATTCCACTCTGCCCCGCCCTCGTTATCCTTGTTAGCCGGGTGGAAGTTTGTCAGCTGGGGAGCGCGTCCTTGGCCAGCGCTCCTCCCTTTCGTCAGCATCTAAGCCTTCATTGACATCGTCAGCGCCACGGAGGTCTGTTTCCATGCCTCCGTTACATATCCATCCCACGAATGTCCACAGAAGATCCGTCATACCGGTGTAGTAGCCATCCCCCCCCCCCCCGCCTTCTATCTCCGACGCACCGCGGTCCCGCAATCATCCACCTATCCCCTGTGCCGCTACCATCACCGCTGTGAACAGTTGCTTTTCCTCATATTTCAGGTTGTTCCGCATCCTCCACCATTCCTCCTCCTTCCCATGCCTGTATTGTCAAGCAATATGTCGGGCTTGACACCATCATCATGTCACAGTTGCAAATGCTCTCATAATATCATTGAAATTTCTTCAGATTTGGAGCATCTGGACTCAGGGCAGGCAATGAAGCTTGACACTCCTAACCTAACTTTATACTAATAGTTTAAAAAAATGTTTTCTCAATAAAGGAGAACATTTGTAGCTCAGGGTTGAAATGAGGGGTTCTTGGTGCTCTCTGAGCTTGCTTGTTTTCTTTCAGATTTCATTACCCTAACTAGGTAACATGACGCACTGATGATCTTACCTAGTTAAGGTAATGAAGTGTCTGCAGGAAAACAAGCAAGTTCAGAGAGCACCAAGGACCCCTCAAAATGTTGTCTTTTGCATGCAATGCCAATTTGTACAGAAATTCCACAAATGATCTCTTTCAAATGAATGAAAGGTCCAATTTTGGACACACCTGAGGTAGAGTAAAGTGTGAGCAGTTTTGTGAATAAAAGGCATAAGTACAGCTGTTCATTCAGAGATTTAGCCTTCTTCCTCTTTTGAGGATAGTTATTTTGAATTCATCCACTCTGAAAATATGAGTTTCTTACCTGTACAAGTTATGCTTTAAGTGATGATCTATATCAGGGGTGTCAAACTCACGGCGTCACGTTGTCACTTGATGTATCACGACTTTTCCCCCTTCGCTAAAACAGGGATGGGCGTGGCCAGCACATGATGCATCCAGCCCGGCAGGCTGCAAGTTTGACACCCCTGATCCAGGGGTGAAATCCAGCAGGTTCTGACAGGTTCTGGAGAACCGGTAGCAGAAATTTTGAGCAGTTTGGAGAACTGTCAAATACCACCTCTGGCTGGCCCCAGAGTGGGGTGGGAATGGAGATTTTGCAGTATCCTTCCTCTGCCACACCCACCAAGCCATGCCCACCAAGCCACACCACACCCACCAAGCCACGCCCACAGAACCGGTAGTAAAAAAATTTGGATTTCACCACTGCCCTGATCTATATAGTCAAGCATGTGGATTCTGGCCTGCCCAGAACATGATTTCTAAATTTCTAAAGCTAAATTAAATATTTGTTCTTGCCATCATCCTGATACTCAAGTAGACATGCTTTTATTTTCCTGCTTGATTTAATTATAACTAACACAATGATATACAAAGGAAATTGGAGCGAGCATGAAAGATTCATAACTGCCTTGATGATCGTTCAAAGCATCCTACCTATTGATAAGCATTTTGTCTGCAATCTCTGTTTAGTTACATCTGTAATTCGACTTGCTAATTTACTGACTAGAGCAGGGGTCAGAACCCGCGGCTCTGGAGCTGCATGTGGCTCTTTCATCCCTCTGCTGCAGCTCCCTGTTGCTGATCGGCTCCACAATTGATAGGGCTTTCAGTTAGGACAGGTAGAGGAAAAAGAATGCTGGGCTAGGAGGAGACTCTATGGTGGGGGAACCAGACTTCTGGTCAGCAGAGGAAAAAGGACGCTGTGCTAGGAGGAGACTATGATGGGGGAACCGGACTTCCAGTCAGCTCCAGAATTGAATGAGGGCTTCTGGTTAGGACCTTTGTGGCTCTTCAAGTGTTTAAGGTTGCCGACCCCTGGACTAGAGAAAAGCCTTTCCAAAGGCCACAAGCATCCTGATTCTGTCATCAGGTTTGTAGGGGTGAATTAAATTTTGTGCAAAAGGGATGAATAGAAAAACATGTCAGAAGAAAAATGATTACTATAATAGCTCCAGTAAAGTACACTCAGGAAGTTTTGCCAATAGCCTCCCACCGGCCAGTACGCTCTCATAGAGAGGGACTCCTCCGGGTGCCGTCAGCCAAACAGTGTCGACTGGCGGCCCCTAGGGGGAGAGCCTTCTCTGTGGGGGCACCTACCATCTGGAATGAGCTCCCCCCGGAGATACGGAGGATCCCGGATCTGCGCTCTTTCCGCCGTGCTGTGAAGACCTTTTTATTCCATCAAGCGGGCTTGGCCTAATCTCTTCCCTTTTTAAATATGTAAATTTTAATCTGTTTTTAAATTATTGGGGTATTTTAATTTGTCTGGGCCAAATAATTTAATTTGATTTTATCGGGTTTTTAAATTTTGTGTATTTATGTATTTTATTGTTGGCTGTTCACTGCCCTGAGTCCTTCGGGAGTAGGGCGGTATACAAATCAAATAAACTAAAACTATAAACTAACTATTAACAGATGTGAACAGTTGAAGAAAGACATCAGCCATGCTGCTTAAATGTAGAATAAACATTGCACATAATGGTCTATTAGTAGAAGACTTATTTATTCATTGTAGCATACCAGCATCTATTTATTTACATATTCAAGCAATAAATTGTGCATTCTGTTGAGCATTTTTAACTTCCCTGCAGTCAGTGTGTAAAATAAGTTCTTAAAAAGCCCATGCTTGCCATTTTCAGAAAGATCTGATCACTTTTTGATATCTGGAACTTATTTAATGTTATAATCATTATCTAGGAGTGATGATTGAACATAGAACATAGAATAACAAGGCTGGAAGAGACCTTGGAGGTCTTCTAGTCCAACCTCCTGCTTGAACAGAAGATCTTGGATACAATTCTGGGACAAATGATTGACAGGAAGGTGTTGGCAGCGGTGTGGAGAACACCAAGGAAGCTGTCTCATATTCTGCATCACCTGTGATTATGCTACTCAACCATTATTGAACTGGCACAGCATCCAGTTACAGCTAGCTGGGATCAGGACTATGGCTTACAGTGTTACTCCGGTGCTTCTCTTTGCAGGTACATGGCTTATCCTACTTCAGAACAGAACACTATTTGCCAGCAAGAGTGATAGAGAATCTGGAGCTACCTAATGTGAAAGAAGAATTGCCAAAGCTGCATAACACCTATGCAGGTGCTTCTGAAAACGAAGCTGAAATAGAATTTCTAAAGGTTAGAAATTGTCTGTGTTTTCATGAAAGGTTTTCCTAGCCTAATGAAACGGGGTTGGGGGAAGCCAACTGGATCTTACCTCTTTCAGGAAAGCTGTTAAGGTAAAGGTTCCCCTCGCATATATGTGCTAGATGCTAGAACATCTTCTGGTCCTCAGAATTTCCTCTGATCAGAATTATTAAAAGTTGAAACAGGATACTTTCCCATTATTTTGTTGCAAATCTACCAAGGTTTTATTGTATACCTAAAATAAGTTCAAGACTATCTAAAACAGGGGTGTCAGACTCAAGGCCCGGGGGCCGGATCCAGCCCGTGGGGTACTTAGATCTGGCCCACAGGGCCACCCTGGAAATAGCAAAGGACCGTCCCATGGTGCTTTTGCCAGTGAAAACAGGCTCCCGAGCTCTGTTTTCGGCTGCCACGGCCTCCTGCAACCCTCTGCCGGTGAAAACGGAGCTCAGGAGGGCCCTCCCGAGCTCCATTTTCACCGGCAGAGGGTTGCAGGAGGACGTGGCAGCCAAAAACGGAGCTCGGGAACTTGTTTTTGCTGGCAGAGCACTTGGGCCACCACAGGCGCCCCCGACAGGAGTGACGTTAAACTGGCCATGCCCACCCTGGCCCCCGGAGGTCAAAACCCTGATGCGGCTCTCAATGAAATCTAGTTTGATACCCCTGATCTAAAAGAAAATAGCAAAGAATAAATAAATCCAAGTGATAACACAAAATCCTTAAACCGGCCCAATTGTAAAAAAAGGTCCTACACAATTTGCCTCATTGCCCTGCACACAGCTTCTTGCCACCAAATATTTAAATCTGGCTCTCAAGTCATGAAAAGGTTGCACATCCTTGTTCATCAAATCTAGGAATTAAGAAATAAAATGTGTAACCCACTTCATTGTAATGTAAACTTCAAAGGCAACCTGTGATTGGAGCAGAACTAGTGCACTGTACTGTAAAACCAATCTGAAAAATCATTTTGATTTCACGGTATCCTCAAAGTACATATCATGCATTTCTTTCTCTCCTTCTCTTTGACTTCTTCTCTCCTGTTTGGTAGATTTGCCAAAGACTGACCGATTATGGTGTACATTTTCATCGTGTGCTGCCGGAGAAAAAATCTCAGACTGGAATTCTGCTAGGAGTTTGCTCCAAAGGAGTTCTTATTTTTGAAGTTCACAACGGTACCCGAATGCCTGTCCTTCGTTTCCCGTGGAGAGAAACAAAGAAAATTTCCTTCAGTGTATGTTGGTCAAGTTTTTTTGTGTAGAATTGCAGACTGGATTGTTAAATGCCTTTCTTCTCTTTCTCCCTACTCCAGCTGAGTTACCTACGGTATTGAAACAATGGTGTGCCAAAAATAACAAAGAACCAGGATGATACAAGATGCTCCATAGTGGGCAGTAAATATGTTACTAATAAAAACCAGATGATTCAAACTGTGATGAAGCAGCCCATTTTCAGGAGAGGAGAAATTTTGCCCCGGCTGCTAGCTATTTGGACAGAATATGGTCCCATCTAAGCCTCTCAAGTCAGTAATGGAGAAAGCACATCATGTGTTCCTTCTAAGATTGTCCCATTTGGGAATATAAATATCTCAATTTTCTAACGTCAAAAATTCATTGCTCATCCCAGATTTATACATTGGCCTTCTTAATATACTACATTTCTGCATACAGTGAGAAAGTCAACAAAATGTTGCAGTAGTGCACTTTAAGAACTTTGGTTTTTCTTGAATCTATAAAACAGAATTGAACTAATATCAAACATACCTTAAAGCAGAGCCGTGATCTCTGGAAACATGGTTTAGTATATTTTTTAATAAGTCTGGTGGGCAAAGATTTAAATAGAATAGTTCTTACGTTTTCCTTGATTTACAGCTTCAGGTAACTAATATAAAAACAGTTCTTTAGGGTTCCTTGGAATTTGAATTGTACATAGGTTGAATAAGAAATTTCATGTAGATTTCACTTAAGTACCCTGTTTCCCCCAAAATAAGACATCCCCTGATAATAAGCCCAATTGGGCTTTTGAGCGCATGGCAATAAGGCTATAAGGTTCAAAAAATATAAGATAGGGTCTTATTTTTGGGGAAACACAGTAACATTATATATAATTGTTTGTACATGTAATCCTTGAATTATGACCACAATTATGACCAGAATTTCTTCTGTGAAGCCAGTCAGTAGAACTCTTTATTGGCCAAGTGTGATTGGACACACAAGGAATTTGTCTTTGGTGCATATGCTCTCAGTGTACATAAAAAGGCAAGATACACTCGTCAAGAATCATAAGGTACAGCACTTAATGATAGTCATAGGGTACAAATAAGCAATCAAATCATACTAGGAAACAATATCAATATAAATCATAAGGATACAAGCAACAAAGTTACAGTCATGCAGTCATAAGTGGGAGGAGATGGGTGATAGGAACAATGAGAAGACTAATAGTAATAATAATGCAGCTTTAGTGAATAGTTTGACAGTGTTGAGGGGATTATTTGTTTCGCAGAGTGATGGTGTTCGGGAAAAAACTCTTCTTGTGCCTAGTTGTTCTGGTGTGCAGTGCTCTATGGTGTCGTTTTGAGAGTAGGAGTTGAAACAATTTATGTCCAGGATGCGAGGGGTCTGTAAATATTTTCACAGCCCTCTTTTTGACTCGTGCAGTATACATGCAGTATACATACAATTGTTAAGTGAATCACACCCGATCTTATGACTATTTTGCTACAGTTGTTAAGTGAATCACTGCAGTTGTTAAGTAAAACAAGCGGTCATAAACAAACCCAGCTTCGTCCATTGACTTTGCTAGTTGGAAACTGGCTGGGAAGAATACAAATGGCAGTCATGTGAGCCCAGGATGTTTCAATCATCATCAATACATTCTGGTTCCAAAGCGCCCAAATTTTGATCACATGGCCATGGGGATGCAGCAATGGTCCTAAGCATGAGGACCAGTCATAAGTCCTGCTTTACAATGTCATTGCAACTTCAAGCCGTCGCTAAACAAGTGGTTATAAGTGGAGGACTGCCTATATGGATAAATCCGTATCAAAAAATATCTACTATTCCTAAGCCTACTCTGTACAGAACTATGCTATGTAATTGCAAGTGTTTGTACCTTGTTCTGAATGGTAAAGTGAAGATGATTATCTGTTGCCTAGCAACATCCTTGACAATGCTGACATAGGTGTGTGATGGATTGAATGGTTGGGCTTTCGTAGTGTGGTCTCTTCCGTAGGGAGGTGATCACATTCGATTTGTTCAAATCTGGAAATTGATACGTTTTTGTACTCCAAACAGCTTTGTTTTAGCCCAGGACGACTACTTAAACATTTTCAAAACATCCAAGTTACGTATTTTTTACACATTGAGCAAAACATTTAATTCCCTAGGCATGAGTGTACGCAAAGAATTTCATACCTCCGGTTTTTGTGTAATCGGTATTCTCAATACATGCTCAAGCTTGATTGCTTTGTCTCTGCAAAGCAATTTCTTCCATTTGAACAGTGTATCTTCCCCAAGTTGGAAATCGGGTTCTTTTCCCCATTTTATTCCGTATTTGTCATATTGCAGAAAAGAAAGATAACGCTGCAGAACACATTTGATGGTATAAAGCACACGTTCCAGACAGATACAACCAAGACCTGCCAATACTTGTTACAGCTCTGCTCTGCTCAGCACAAATTCCAACTCCAGATGAAAGCCAGGCAAAGCAACCAGGATGCTCAGGAAATCGGTAAGAAACAGCAGCGGTGTACCTGTTACGACTGCAGTTTTCCTGGACATAATTACAGAGATTTAACCTAAGGCAGGGATGTCAAACTCAAGGCCCACGGGCCGGATCCAGCCCACAGGGTATTTAGATCTGGCCTGGAAATAGCAAAGGACCAGCCCACGGTGCCTCAGCTAGGAAAAACGGGGCACGTACCCCCCTTTTTTTTTTTCATTTTCATTTTATTTAATTTGTATACCGCTCTACTCCCGAAGGACTCAGGGCGGTGAACAGGCACAAGATAAAACACATAGAATACAAAAATTTAAGAGCAGAAGTAAAATCGAATTAAATCAATTTAGCCCAAGACAAACTTAAAACCCCAGGTTAAGAACAAATTAAAATTTACATTAAATTTTACATTAAAAAGAGAATGGGAGAGGTTAGGCCAGACCAGCCTGGTGAAATAAAAAGGTCTTGAGAGCGCGGCGGAAGGTGCGTAGATCCAGGATCCTCCGTATATCCAGGGGGAACTCGTTCCAAATAGTAGGTGCCCCCACAGAGAAGGCTCTCCCCCTGGGGGCTGCCAGCCGACATTGTTTGGCCGACGGCACCCAGAGGAGTCCTTCTCTGTGAGAGCGTACCGACCGGCAGGGTGCTGCAGGAGGCCATCCAGACTGAAAACAGGGCTGGGCACAGGGAGGGCGCATGCTGGGCCCCTGGGCCCCATTTTGGCCAGCAGAGTGCTGCAGGAGGCGTCTGTCCCATCTGTCATCTGTCCCATCTCCCACCCACCCCCGGCCCAGCCCGCAGAGGACAACTATAATGCTGATCCGCCCCTCAAAGAAATCCAGTTTGACACCCCTGACCTACCTAAGGAATTCTGATTGAAGGTTCCAAGTGGGGCAGGAAGCGTTAGGCCTCAGAAGGCCTCTGCCCTCTGCTCCATTTAACAACCCATGTGATTGCTTAACAACCACAATAGGAGGAGCAGGAATTAAAGTCATTAAGTGAGGAAATCACTTGGGACAACTGTCAAGTGTTGAGACTGTAATGGACAGGCTCCATTACGGCTGTAAGTCAAGGACTATATCCTCTCGAGCCGTACATTTTTATCGGAAGAAAGAAATCCAGGCAGTCCTTATTTATTTTATTTATTTATTTTATTTATTTATGTTTGTATGCTGCCCTTCTCCGGAGACTCAGGGCGGCTTACAATGCGTTAAGCAATAGCCTTCATACTTTTGTATATTTTATACAAAGTCAGCTTATTGCCCCCACAAACCGGGTCCTCAATTTACCCACCTTAGAAAGGATGGAAGGCTGAGTCGACCTTGAGCCTGGTGAAAATTGAACTCGCAGTAATTGCAGGCAGCTGGATGTTAAATGCTGCCTTAGTAGGAGGCATTAGCCTCCTACGCCACTCAGGCTCCTTGGCTTAGCAGCCACAATGGAGCCCCAAATTTCTGTTGCTAAGCGAGACAGTTGTTACGGGAGTTTTAACCTATTTTGCGACCTTTCCTGCCACCTTTGTTAAGTGAATCGCTGCGGTTGCTAAGTTGGCAACGGTTGTTAAGTCAATCTGGCTTCCCCGTTGACTTTGCTCGTCAGAAGGTGATTACTTGACCATCATAAATATGAATCAGTTGCTAAGCAGCTGAATTTTGATCATGCGACCATGGGGATGCTGCAGCGGTCGTAAGTGTGAAAAATGGTCATAAGTCACTTTTGTCAGTGCCGTTGTAATCTTGAACAGTCATTAAACGAACTGTTGTAAGTCGAAGGCTATCTATACAGAACAGTATTTTCTGTTGAATTATATATCTAATAGCATTTTGTCTATTATCCGTGGTAGATCAAACAACATATAGTTTACTTGAGAAAATTAATTCAACAAGACAAAAGAAGATTTCATAGGTTCATGATTCAAAAACAAATATTTCCAAAACAAATACTTATAATACAGATCGGTATTTTACTTTGTTCACTCCTATTAGAAATTTATTGAAAGAAATATATCACCTAAAGTAGTTCTAAGTTTTGTTGATATAATCATTTACCCCAAATAAGAGTTCCCTGAATCCCCTCACTTATTCACATGTTCAAAGGGTGAAGTGATTTAAATTAGATGAAAAGAGATTAAATTGAGTGCTATTTCCCTTTCATCTTCAGATTAACAACATGCTGAAATAGTGATCTGTTTCTGAACATATATTGCATTTTTCCCCCCCTTCCTCACTGAATAATACGAAGTGACATCCATGGACTCTCTAGGTGGTCTAACCATTAACCAGACTAGACCTGCTGAACTTGAGAACAACCACTGTAAAACAAACCTTGCCTAAATCAAACTGCCTACAGTCAAACTGTTGCTACATCTAATCCAATATTGTCAATCAACTGTCAGCAGCTTTGCAGAGCCTCAGGCTAGGATCTTTCCCCACTGTGCTATCAGGAAATGCTAGGCAGCGAATGTGAGACTTGAATCATACAAGGCATCTTCTCGGTTCTCATTTGAGTTGTAAGACTTATTCTTAAAATATGCACGGCATATTTCTGGGAGGTAGACACTTGCGAAACCAAAATTGCTTGACATAGCAATGTCTGGCATGGTTGTTAAAAGATTACGGGAGCTGAAGCCCAACATTTCTGGATAGTATCTATTGGGAAAGTAGCTCTAGTCCCCGAAGACCAGGTGAAGTAATGACTCAGTAGCTGCTGGATCAAACCTGCTTTTATCTGAATCTAGAACCCAACTAACATGTGACATTTTGTACCTGAAAAATATCAGTATTCAGTGACCTCGATATAGATAACTCTTGGTGTTCACCCATCACTAACTGTTGGCACATATTGGTAGAGTACATATACATTAGAGTAGAGTAGAGTAGAGTAGAGTAGAGTAGAGTAGAGTAGAGTAGAGTAGGAAGGAAGGAAGGAAGGAAGGAAGGAAGGAAGGAAGGAAGGAAGGAAGGAAGGAAGGAAGGAAGGAAGGGAGATTACAATGAGAGTGAGTGAGGGTCTCAGGGAAGTCCTGCCTTAGCACTTGGCCACCACAGGTGCCACCAACACGAGTCCCATGCCACACCCACCATGGTCACACACATACCGACCACACCCCATGCCCCGCCCCCGTCCCTCCAAGGTCAAACACAATCCTTATGTAGCCCTCAAGGAAATCGAGTTTGACACACATGACATAGTCTAAGCGGTTTACAGAGTCAGCCTATTGCCCCCAATAATCTGGGTCCTCATTTTACTAACCTTGGAAGGATGGAAGGCTGAGTCAACCTTGAGCCTGGTCTAGATTGAACTCCTGGCAATAGTTAGTTTGCAATACTGCATTCTAACCACTGCACCACCACAGCTCTCACTGCACCACCACGGACATCAGAGGTGGGTTTCAGCAGGTTCTGACCAGTTCTGGAGAATCAATAGCGGAAATTTTGAGTAATTCGGAGAACCGGTAGTAAAAATTCTGACTGGCCCCCACCCCCATCTATTCTCTGCCTCCCAAGTCCCAGCTGATGGGGAGGAAATGGGGATTTTGCAGTAACCTTCCCCTGGATTGGGGAGGGAATGGAGATTTTACAGTATCCTTCCCCTGCCACGCCCACCAAGCCACGCCTACAGAACCGATAGTAAAAAAATTTGAAGCCCACCACTGACTGACTTGATATGGACATGAACAAGCAGCTTCGAGGAGGCGATGATGGTTTATTTTTAATGTAGCTTTTTATTAGAAGAATTGTGGTATAGCGCTGGGCAGTGAGATTAGAAAGCAGAGAATCATTTTTGAAATAGTGTCGAAAACTTGTAAACATTAGCTGAAGATTAAGTGTTACTAGAAGGCCTTTTTAAAAAATCAGACATGTTCCAGCTAGATAAAAGAGAGAAGTTATAAATATGAGCCTTTAAAGAGCCTTGCAACTTGATCCTATGTGTCGGCTCTGGAATTTTGGCTTTAGCCAAGTACTGCTTACTCTAAAATGTACTGTGCCATAAACTGTATTAATGTGTTTTTCAACGCAGACCGTTGTTCAGCCCAATTTGAGGCAGGAGTTGCAGGAGTTAGATTGCTGAAAATATATCAGATTTGTGAAATCTTTTGATTAACAGTTGTTACTTTAGCAGCATTGGCAAGCCATTTTTGTGACGCTTCCCATCATCGTTTCTGGAACCTGAAAAATGATAGCCTTTCACTTTATAAGCTGTCAAAGGATTTAAGAAAGATACTAAAATGCATGGTATTTTCATTCGAGTTATTCTTTTTATTTAAAATAATATTCCACAATGCTTTCAACGGTGACAGAACCTCTAATGTACTGCATTCACAGGAAAAGTTGGGAAACATTCAGAGATGTATTTGCCTTGAAAATAGCCCAGTCAAACACTAGCACAGGATATTTTGTATTATTTCATTTTGTATTACATCACAAACTATTTTATGATTATGTTTACGTCATAAAATGTGTCGTTAAAAATTGCCAAATTTCAATTCTATGAGAATCATGGGTCCCAGAGTTTGGACACATACTTTAAATAAGGTACATTTGAAGTACCTTGGTTTAAAAATAGTTGCCCACTTCACCACTAAAGGTGTACGGGAACCAGAGTTTAGTAGTATATAGATCTGCCAAGAACAAAATTAGTAGCTAGTCTTTACAGTTCTAAGCATGCTTTTCAAAGTATATATTTAGTATCTTATTTGTTTATTACGTGTATACAGGTACGACCACAATTGAGTCCAAAATTTCTGTTGCTACGTGAGATAATCGTTAAGTGAGTTTTGTCCCATTTTACGACCTTTCTTGCCACATTTGTTAAGTGAATCACTGCAGTTGTTAAGATGGCAGCAGAGTCGGACAGTGAGGAGGCTGGGGAGGACCATGGGTCAGTTCTGGAGGCTGGGGAAAGCTCGGATGAGGGCTCTGCGTCGGAAGCAGAGAAAGGGCCATCTGGGAGGTATGTGCTGCCTCCGGAGCCTCCAGAGTTGGACCTCAGCAAGACAGAGGAACAGGGGGAGCCTGTTCCCAGTGCATGCGCAGAGCTGCCAGAAGGTAAAATAAAAGGGACGACTCAGCTAAAACAAAAGGGACGACTCAGCTAAAACAAAAGGGACGACTCAGGAGTAGGGCTGGGAGATGATTGGCCCCTCCCATAAGACTTAAAAGAGGAGCAAAGGCACGTGGGCCTTTGCAGGAAGCAACGTTTGTTCATTCGGTTCATCTTAAAGCCTGAAGCTCTGTTTGATTCTGGACTCCCTGTGGCTTTGCCAGTTAGGTCTTTGGCAGCGTGTCAAGGGAGATAAAGGAAGGTGATTATCCCAAAGGACTCTTTACAACTAATTGCGACTCATCTGTGAATGAACAGAATTCACAGCTGTTGCAATAAAAGAGGTTTTTGGGACTACTCATGTGTTTTAATGACTCAGGAAGCCTAGGTCAGAACAGTAATATTATAAATTTAGTATAATATTATACTAAAATATGGTGTATATTATTAGCAGAGCTCTCTCTCTCTCTCTCTTTCTCTTTTGCATGTATTGTTGTTTAGTGTGTTGTGGACAAGCATTGAAGATCTGTGAAGGGCTGGGTTTTGGTTGCTATCTAGATCTCTTCTGATTTGACAGATACTTCATTTGTTTTATCTACGGCATGCAAAAACCAATTCCATCTCAGCGCCTTCCGCCGTGCCCTTAAAACCCACTTTTTCCAGCAAGCCGGGCTGGCTTAAAAAGAAATTTTTAAATGTTTTAATTGGTTTGTGATTTTTAATTTTGGGGCCAAATTTATATATATTTTAATTGTTTTTTAATATTTGTATTTCATGTTCTTATTTCTGGCTGTACACCGCCCTGAGTCCTTAGGGAGAAGGGCGGTATATAAATTGGAAATAAAATAAAATAAAAAATAAATCTCCTTGCAGAAAGAGCTTCCCTTCGGAGTCTCAGCCTCCATCCAGACTCCGTGAAAGGATTTAACATGGGACGTGCCATCAGTACCAACAGCCTGGCCAGCAGCACGTTAAACAGGCTTGCCGTCCGGCCGTCAACAGTACAAGCGGAGATTCTCAAAAGACTCTCCTATTCGGAATTGTCCCTTTTCCAGCCTGCCCAAGGCTATTCCCGAGACAAAAACGAGAAGACGTCGTGGGAGGAAAGGCCCAAAATTATGAGCAAATCTTTCCATGACTTGACCCAGAGTCAGGTGTTGGTCAGCCCCCTTCGGAAAAATTTTGTCACCCCTGGGAATTCCTCATCACGCAAAATGGAGGAATTGATGGAGAAGATCTTTCAAGCCGCGCCAAAATCTGATCCCGAATCAGTGGTTGGAGGAGCAAAACTCAACAAGTAAGAATGTTTCTTAGGGATGGATTTTAACATGGCCGTCTTCACGGTAGTTGCTGAAAAAGTCCATTCTGCAGAGGATATAAAGATGGCTGCTCCTAGATGTAGTATGCATAGTTTTGAGCTTTGTGATAGAATTTCAAGCATTATTTTTACTTTGGTGTGATTTTAGACTCCTTTGCTTAATATAAATTAGTAGTTGTGATATAATTTAAGAATTTGATTAAATATAGGCTATAATAGCAATAGCATTTAGACTTATATAGAGCTCCACAGTGTTTTACAGCCTTCTCTAAGCGATTTACAGAGTCAGCCCATTGCCCACAACAATCTGGGTCCTCATTTTACCCACCTCGGTACGATGGAAGGCTGAGTCAACATGGAATTAATATGATATATTCTTTTACAAATGTATTTTAACTCTGTCCTAAATTTCATTTGTCTATTATCTACACCAGGGGTGGGCAACTGTGGCCCTTTTACAACCTGTGGACTTCAACTCCCAGAATCCCTGAGCCAGCCAAGCTAGCTCAGGAATTCTGGGAGTTGAAGTCCACAAGTCATAAAGGGGCCATATTTGCCCACCCCTGATCTACACTGGTCTTCGACCGCAATAAATCAAACTGAATTGAATTGATTTCAAGGGAATATCTAGGGGAAATATGTGAGAAGAATTTCCTTGTAAAATACAGGTAGTCCTCGACTTACAACCACAATTGAGGCCAAAATTTCTGTTGCTAAGTGAGACAGTTAAGTGAATTTTGCCCCATTTTATGTCCTTTCTTGCCACAGTTGTAAAGTCAATCATTGCGGTTGTTAAATTAATAACATGTTACGGGAATCTGGCTTCCCCGTTGACTTTGCTTGTCAGAAGGTCACAAAGAGGGACCACATGACCCCGGGACACTGCAACCGTCATAAAAATGAATCAGTTGCCAAGCATCTGAATTTTGATGACTTGACCATCAGCTTGCTGCAACAGTCGTAAGTGTGAAAAGTCACTTTTTTCAGTGTAACTTTGAATGGTCACTAAATGAACTGTTGTAAATCGAGGACAATCTGTACTAGCAATGGAACCATGGTAAACATTTTTGAGGATGTTCTCCTTGTGGAAGCGGTAGTATTTGAATATATTGTGTTTTAATGAGAAATTAATATAGATACTTTTTTTTAGGAAGGACAAATAACTGCAGATATTAAATACTTCTTTTATAGGTATAAAAGCAGGAGTCTGTATTAAACAGCTGGTATTGTTAGACCAAAGGCTAAGACAGTTTCCTTTTTAGATTCATTTTTTAGTCGTAAGTAAGACGTTAAGCACTTCTGCAGCAGTATAAAACTACCTATTTGTGGCTGAAATGTAGGAACAGAAGCCACTGTGGGAAAGCAAGAACTGCATTCATATACATTGCAGAATTCATTTTCATTCCACCATACTAAAAACTTTTTTTGTGTGTGACTGCCTTTCGTATTATTTTTTCCATGTGCTTTACTTCCACGCACATAAAATGAACTTATCCACATTTCACAGATCTCTGCCAGCATGTTCTTTGGTGTGAGGTATGCATTTTTATGCCAGTTTTCTGTTTTGTGTACCATATCTTATCTTGTATCTTTGTTTTATTACATTTTCCTTTGTCCTCTTCTGCTTTCTATTTTCCTCACTGGTTTTTTTTTCTCCCTCCCCTGTTTCTTCAACCATTTTTTTAGTTCACATTCCCATGCAGGTTTAAATGCCAGTCTAGAAAGAAAGAAAAATGAATTTGACTCTTCATCCGCAGAAGATGCAGGCCAAGCCTTTGTAATAGGTCAGCATTGTTTCCTTGAGTCCAATGGTACTGTACAATTGAGAATCTTAAATGAGTTTCTAGATGGCTATTAATATCTGACATACTGTACGTTGTGAATTTATTCTGAGCTATTCGGGAGAATGCTAATATTATTTAATGCTTTGTATGCTCATTATTATTTTTTTGAACCAATGTTAATTTATTCTTTTGCCCACCTCAAGAAAAAGTAACCAATGAGAGACGGTTAAAAGTATAAATAAAAGTATCACAGCTCATCATCATCATAGGGGTCGCAGTGACTCAGTGGCTAAGACGCTGAGCTTGTCGATCGAAAGGTCGGCAGTTCAGTGGTTTGAATCCCTAGTGCCGCATAATGGGGTGAGCTCCCATTACTTGTCCCAGCTTCTGCCAACCTAGCAGTTCGAAAGCATGTAAAAAAATGCAAATAGAAAAATAAGGACCACCTTTGGTGGGAAGGTAACAGCGTTCCATGCGCCTTTGGCCGTTTAGTCATTCCGGCCACATGACGTCTTCGGACAGCGCTGGCTCTTTGGGTTTGAAACGGAGATGAGCACTGCCCCCTAGAGTCCGGAATGACTAGCATATATGTGCAAAAGGAACCTTTACCTATGCTCCTTTTTTTTTTTTTTGAACTAATGTTAATTTATTCTTTTGCCCACCTCAAGAAAAAGTAACCAATGAGAGACCGTTAAAAGTATAAATATCACAGCTCTTTCTTACCAAAAAAAAAAAAAAGACAACAAAGTGACAAATTTATGACAGTGGCAATATTTGTGGTCTTATATTTTAGCTCCATAGATAAGCTGAATTGTTTATTCCCTTAGCTTCTCTTTGCTACAATAAGAATGACGTCTCCAGTTTGCTCATAGGGCTGTTGTAAAAGATGAAAAGATGATATAGACATAGATATAAAAATAGAAGGGGGTATTAAACACCCTTCCGTATCACTGTTAATTACAGAGAACCCTGAAGTACTTCAATAAATCTTAAATAATATTTCAGAATAAACATGGAGTAAAATAAAATCCATGAGAAGGAAGGACTCACTGGAGAAGAGCCTAATGCTGGGAAAGATTGAGGGCAAAAGAAAAAGGGGACGATAGAGAACGAGGTGGCTGGATGGAGTCACTGAAGCATTCAGCATGAGCTTAAATGGACTCCAGAGGATGGTAGAGGACAGGAAGGCCTGGAGGAATGTTGTCCATGAGGTCGCGATGGGTTGGACACGACTTCACAACCAACAACAACAACAACAAAATAAAATCCAGAATATATGTACAAAAAGTCAGTTGATAGGAAAAATTGATGGCTGCGGAAGGACAAAATGAAACATTTTAAAGGTGTCTAAAAACTTGTTTGAGATGGGTAGTTATTGCACCAGATAGAAGAAACCATGGAGAAAGCTTTAGTTCTAGATCTTGATGAAACCAGTTCTAAATCTTGAGGAAAGCATTCTAACTAAAGATTAACATTGTACCTCTAGCTATTTAAGAGCAGCCTGCTGCTTTGCATACATGCAAAAAAAAAAAAAATCCTCATCATTCCTTGTTCCTAATACCAAATGCCATAATTTCTTAAGGTAATGGGACTTCTCCTACCCATCAAGAGTGCTCTTGAATATGACAACATTCAGAAGTGTCTTGGGTTTCTGCAGGGAAGCCAAGGGGTTCAAATTGTAAAACAGGCACCATAACACAAACTGCTTGGTTGTTGTTGTGTTGTTGTTTTTGTACTGAAGTTGTAACCTAGCACCCAAGAACTGTTGATAAGGATCAGAGCTGGTATCATGAGGTTATGAAACGTTCTGTCATTTTCTTGCTCTAGACATCTCTGAGAAATGAGTTGTCCTAAGAGTGAGTTCTGCCCACCTACCCATATAAGTACCGTGTTTCCCTGAAAATAAGACCCTGTCTTATATTTTTTTGAACCCTGAAATAAGCCCTTGGCCTTATTGCCATGCGCTCAAAAGCCTGATTGGGCTTATTATCAGGGGATGTCTTATTTTGAGGGAAACAGGGTAGTACAGTGACAATTACATTGATTCAGTTAAAAAAGCAGGCAAAAAACAGAATTGTCCCTCTTTTGACATGCTCCCAACCCTAAAATGGGAAACACTACAAAAATATAAAATAAGAGTGTTCAAGTTTTTAAGTTTCCATGTATTGCAGTCAAGCTTGCATTCATTTTGCATGCTGTGTCCTGGATAAGAATGACTCAATTTCCTAAATGTTCATTACTTTCCTAATATTTCATGTAGAAAGAAGATATTTAATTTCTAAAACTCCATTCTAAAAATGTAAGTGTAGTGTTCAGGCTTATCATGAATTCTTTTTGAATCTTTGGAAGAGTCAGATTTAATTATACAATATAATGAAATGAAGCTTGATTTCTATTGACTTACATGCTAAGAAATAACATTTGTCTCATATTTCGGCATTATTTTTTTTAAAAAAATGTGTTGTTGCTTTGGTCCGCAGATGGTCTCCAAACAGAGAAGAATATACCGGTAGTGTCTTTACCAGAAAGGGAGATCAACTTGATCAATTTGAAAAAAGATGAAAAATATGGCTTAGGTAAGTAGATGTTACTTTAAGAATTACATAAAAATGCAGAAATCAAAAGAGCAAGTGGATTACACAGTGTATTGAAAGGAGGTTTTCACTGTCAGAACTGTCCCTGAGATTTGAGTCATTAATACAAACTTATTCTTGTGATGAGACAAAAGATATTTTTTTTCCTTTCAAAAGAAGTTGATGTTTATGTATAGTAGGTATGTAATCTGCCCAATCTGACTGACTCTGGATGGTGTGCACAAGGAAACTGAGACAAAATCATCTTGATAAATAAAAAATGCAGTAACAATATCATTAGAATTATAGTACACTACTTCAAAATTAGTACAAATTAAAAAGCACTTATGAATTGGGCTGGGAGCATTCTAGCAATCAGCGAAGCAAACTCAAAGTAGATTGAAATATCCATAATATCCAGTTTGCCCAAATAGCTGCATTTTGTTTCTTTGTTTATTCAGATGTATTTCCCATCACATCGTAAACAGTGTCTCGGTAGCTCATTAAAAAACCAATAACATCCCAAATGATAAAAAAATACTCTACATACAGACCCAAAAAAGGGGACGCGGTGGCTAAGACACTGAGCTTGTCGATTGAAAGGTTGGCAGTCCAGCGGTTCTAATCCCTAGTGCCGTGTAATGGGGTGAGCTCCTGTTATTTGTCCCAGCTTCTGCCAACCTAGCAGTTCGAAAGCACGTAAAAAATGCAAGTAGAAAAATAGGGACCGCCTTTGGAAGGTAACAACGTTCCGTGCGCCTTTGGTGTTTAGTCATGTTGGCCACATGACCACGGAGTCGTCTTCGGACAGCGCTGGCTCTTCGGCTTTGAAACAGAGATAAGCACTGCCCCCTAGAGTTGGAAACAATTAGCACATATGTGCAAGGGGAACCTTTACTTTATCTTTACAGACCCAAAAAAATACATCAATACCCAAACACCATCCAGAAAATGTCCATCTTCAGCTGCTTCCAGAAGGCCAATAATGTTGGAGTTAATTAACACCCCCATGAGAGGTCCATTTCAGAGGTCCAGCCCTAATATGGAAAAATGGTGCACCCAGGCTTCACTTTTGCTTCGATCACACAGTCAGAGCAATAGGATTGAGTCCAGTGCAGAGATATAGTTGTACATTTTGTAACAGCTAAAGCTTCCAAGTCGTCTTCAAGAGCATGTTGCAGTAGCCTAGTCATCAAATTACAATTTTTGTTCTTTTCATTGAGAAATTTGAAAATTGTGTTATTCCGATTTTCCCCAATCAGAGCTCTTTCCTACTGTTGTGAATTATAATTTCTATAATCTCAGGCATCTGAATTCTGATAAAGGATATTGAGAGTTATGCTCTAAAAATAATCTGGATTAGGAGTGGCTGTTTGTGTCATGTTTTCAACAGTAAAGCAGTGATGATTGGCTTGTACCCAACACAAAGATCTCAAGTATATTTTGCAATTGGAATTTCTGTTTGGCCTTTAATGATCAAAAACTTCAATAAACATGTCTAATAGCTGGTATAAGTAATACTTCAACAGTCCAGTACTACATAGAAAGGTGATGTCTCAGATAATTTCCTCTGTTCTTTCAATCATTATCCAAACAAGTCCTAAATTATTCTTAGGTACCAACTGATAGTGGTTGTTGTTATATTTGGTGTTAGTAGTTTCCACAATTCTGTGTTGTACAAAGAGCTAATATGTAACAAACCCAGCAATCCAGAGCCAATAAAATTAGAATCCAGATGTTTCAGTCTAGACATTCCCCCAGTGTGGTGTCTTCCAAATGTGCTTTGAATGCATCTTTCTAAAATTCTTGGCCCAAATGTGGACTATGTAGTCTCTGGGTAACTGAAGAATTCTACATTGGGGGAGGCAACTAAGAGATCAACATTGGCCACTCATACGAGAATTCCCTGCTAGGACAATTCAACTGTGATCCATTTTAGTCTTAAGGTATTTGTGGGCAATGTTTTACCCAGAAAAATATCCTGACAAAACACCAGTAATAAATCAGTAAACAATTGGTTTGTAAAATATTGCTATGATTAACCAAAAGGTTATTTTTAACAGGATTTGAGATAACTGGTGGGGAGAAGACTGGAAAATTTGATCTTGGGATTTTTATCCATTCAGTCACCCCTGGAGGACCAGCTGATTTGCAAGGATCTTTAAAACCAGGTGGGAATTGATTGCACCCTTTGATTCTTCTTTTAAAATCAAGACAGAAGGATAAAATCTGCATAGGTTTAATGTTTTAATATATTTTAATTATTTTTCTATTTGTTTTATAACCTGTCACCCAGAGTTGCCTTATAGGGGAGATGGGTGGCATAAAAAGTAGATGGATAGATTTTGCTGCTCTGGTTTAATAACATTTATGCTTGGAAGAAAGTTTCCTTGAACAATGCAATGAATGGTAAAGTTTGCAAACATCAGTAGAGGATAGTACATTTTAGAAACATCTGTTCTGGATTGTTAATTTCTGATTTAATCCATCTACGTAGGAGATCGTCTGATTTCAGTAAACAATGTGAGTTTGGAAGGGGTCAGCCATCCTGCAGCTTTAGAAATTATTGAGCGTGCTCCAGAAAATGTGACCCTAGTCGTTTCTCAACCTAAGGATGGATCGATTAAAGGTATTTCCCAAAATAAAACTTTTTTCCAGGTTAACAATTCATATATAGCAACCTGCAATTCTTTCTGTTCTATTCAGTATTTTGATTTTTCCAGACGCTTTTCTGTACAAGAGTGCTTAAATAAGACACTAATAGCACTGTGCAGAGCTTTAGCTTAGAAAAAATAGTGCAGGAACATAGCACCTACCTGTTCAGATAGTCCTTGAGCAAGGGTAGCATTTGTTACTACCAGTTCTGTGGGCGTGGCTTGGTGGTAGGGGTGGGTAATGTGCCTGGGTGGGCGTGGCCAGCTTTTTTTTTTTAAAAAAAACTTTTCAAAGCATTTTTTCTAATGCTTTGAAAAGCCTCTCTGCCCATCAGGGAACTCAGCTGGGATCGTCAGAGACTTTTCAAAGCATTTTTTTTACCACCTCTTCAGCCAAGAGGTTGCAGAAAAAAATGCTTTGAAAAGCCTCTGATGATCCCAGCTGAGCCACGCGATCATCAGAGGCCTTTTTTTTTTTTAACTTTTAAAAGCATTTTTTCATCAGAAGAGGTTGTAGAAAAAGTGCTTTGAAAAGTAAAAAAAAAAAAAGGCCTCTGATGATCGTGCGACTCAGCTGGGCATGGGGGGGTGGGCCGCAGGGATTTTTGCTACCAGTTCTCCGAACCACCTGCCACCATCGCGGTCCGAACCAGGAGCATTTCACCTCTGTCCTTGAGTTACCCAGTGTAAGATGGGCAGCTAATAAATTTGATAATAAAATAAAATAAATAACCATAGTGTAGCCTGATTTTTATGATTTTTTGGTGGTGGTCGTTAAATGAATGCAGCATTCATAAGTGAGAATGCCACAGTCATCAATGAGAATGCTGCGGTTGTTAAGTGAACCCAGTGTTCATTGTGGCACAAATTTGCCAAATACTGGAAGTAAGTGCCAATTTTCGACAAACCTGTCATAAGCTGCAGTCATATGATACTGAGCACCCAAAATGTCTGACCATCAGAACGTCAGATCCAGGTTGTAAGTTCCCTTTTTCAGGTAGGTCAGTCACTAAATGACCAGTTGTAAATTGAGAACTCCAAAAGCAGCTACCTCTTGATAAGGTTGTCCTCCACAGCTATTAACAATTGCAGGAAAAGACAAACTTGCTTTAAGGAATTTCAGACAAGTGTAATATTTGTACCCCCATCTGTCCTGAAGTCCCTTTTTCTGTTCAAAAGCACTGCACAGTCTTTGTTATCATTTCTATAAGTAGCCCCTTAGCTATAGGTTCTACCGTACAAATCTTGCCAATTAACAAGTGACATAATCAACTGATAAAATTGGTTTCTGGTGGAAAAAGGGGGTGGGTGGGGAGAGCAAGAGAATTCTGAAAGGATAGCGATGGGATGACCAACTTCTTTCAAGGCGATTGAATCATTCTGTGGTTGTTGTTTTTCTTTGTATATCCAAACAATTGAATTCAGCTCTAGGCTCAGATAACTGGGGTAAACTTGTGGAATTGCCAAGGCAGATTATGATCATTTGAAACAGACAATAAAATTCAAAATAGAAGAATGGAGCTAATGAAAGTTGAAAAACAAAGACTTAGAACTACAGCAGCCAAAAACGTCATATCAAGACAAAAGAGACAAGATGAAACAAATTTTTTTTCATAGCCAGCTGAAATGCCATTAAGGGAAGAGTCCCATGGGCTTTCCAAGCATGAGAGACCTCTGTAGACTTGGTGTAAGATTAATCCCCAAATTCTCTGAGTTTCCAAATTTGTGGGGAATTCTAATTTATATTTGTTTTCAGGCTTATAAATTCTCTTATTGACCTTTCCTTTTAGAATGAGCATTTTGGACTCAAAAACTGAAGCGTGGCTGGAATTTATTTGGCTGATTCAGAGATATGTGCAAATATATACATTTTTATTTCATATAGTCAGTCCCTTATGGTCATGCAAGATAAAATTTTCCTGGATTAGTTATTACAGTGTATCAAGAAATAATGGCTAGCAGGACCAGAGGAAAAACTTAAACCAACCCAAGTCATGATTAGGATCTTCTATTACTAATATCCATAGTTCCCTAGCCTAGTTAGACTAAAACAGAGAGCTTTGGTTAAAAATTCCAGGAAATAATAATAATAATAACTTTATTGTCATTGTACGTGTATACACAGTTTACCCATACAACGAAATTCACTTAACACACAAAGACCAGGTCCAACACACATAACAATCCCCAAACACACTCCCACCCACCACAAATTCCCCACTCCTAAACCACCCAAACATCCACACAACAGACCAAGTAATGCTGTCCAACAGCTCACTGATGGTGGCCCTTTAATTCATTGTTGAGTGCAATTATAGCTCTGGGATAAAAACTATTCAGAAAACATGTGATCCAGGTTTTAATTGTTCTGTATCTTCTACCAGAAGGCAACAATCCAAAAAGATTGCAAGCAGGATGGGAAGAGTCTCTGAAAATGTTATGCAACTTCCTCAAACAGCAAGATTCGAAGATGTCATCCAGGGCTGGTAGCTGGAGGCCGATGATATTCTGGACAGTTTTAATGATAAATAATAATAAATCCTAGAATAACAAGATGTAGAGAAGGAAACCAATATATTGGCTGGGGAATTCTGGGAGTCAAAGTCCGCCCATCTTAAAAGTTGCTGACGTTAAGAAATACTGATCTTTGTCACATCTCTGCCTTTAAAGGTGATAACTTTATTATTGGTGTTTCCATTTACCTTTAGGGACATCCAGTCTCCAAAGAAAGGGATATTTTAAAAACTCTTCCTTGATGGCAGACCATGAGGCCGAGTCCTCTTCAGAGGAGCAGAACTGGCCAGTGAGTCACTGGAGACCCAACTCTGGAAGTTTATCCGGTATTTGCTCGAGCAAATGGGGTGGAAGTCTCAGCTCCCAAGACTCCAGGACCGAGAGTGCTAGCCTGTCCCAGAGCCAAACCAACCACAGCTGTGGCCATCATATCAATGACCAGCAGGATTTGCAACGTTGCAGTAATCCTCTCCTGGGCCCTCCCAAATGCAGTGAGAGGAATGGATCTTCTTCAGAGACCAACCTGATCAAAACCAAACTGACTGGCATGGCAGAGACCCCTGACTATTCTGACCGAGGGGATTCCGACATGGATGAAGCCACTTACTCCAGCAGCCAAGAGCAAACTGCATTGAAAAAGGTAATGTTCATTTCAGTTGTATGGCTTTTCCTCTAACCCAGGAGTGTCAAACTTGTGGCGTCACGTGACGTATCGTGACTTTTTCCCCCTTCGCTAAACCGGGGATGGGGTTGGCCAGGACCTGACATGTCTGGCTCACGGGCCACAAGTTTGACACCCCTACTCTAATCAAAAAGACCCAATGTTTATTAGAGCAGGTTGGTTATGGTGAAAGGAAATAGTGTGCAGGGTGTTGTGTACCAGTGGTACTGTTGGCTAATTGCTCCTGCCCTTAAGCTAACATTTGTGGCCGAGGTTTTCTGAAGGTGAAATGCATGGTTCGTATTATCACCAGAGAGAGAGACAGAGAGAGATAAAGAAAGAGAGAGAGAGACAGAGAGAAGAAAGAAAGAAAGACAGAAAGACAGAAAAAAAGAGAGAGAGAGAGAGAGAGAGAAGAAAGGAAGGAAGGAAGGAAGAGAGAAAGAAAGAAAGAAAGAAAGAGTTTTTCTTATTTACACAAACCTGGTTAATATTTAGACAGAAAACATTTTGGTACTGACAATATTTTTATGAGTTATTGTTAGGGTTATTAGATCTCTACCATGAGAGCTCTGGAGATAGTCTGGGCTTGTTGTTTTTTGCAGATCTGATAGCCCACTTTATTGTGATGCAAATTTTTGTTCTTTGATCCTTGACTTGCTGCAGCTCTCTGAGTTGTCTGTAATCATTTTCATGTTCACAAATTGGTGGTTTTCACTTGTACTGAAAGCTATAAATAGCCAACTCACTGCCAGCAGCAAACTCACATAAGAAGGTTGCTACTATGAGAAGTCCTCCGACTCAGTCCTCAAGAGAACTGGAGAGAAGCAAAGAGGGAAGAATAGAGGACATTAAAAGAGGGGGGAAATTACTCTATTGCCTGGCAATCACTGTCTCGCAAATGGGTTAAACTCAAAGGATTTTTTTTTCCTGGATGGGTTGACACACCACACTTCAGATACAAATTATATTAAAAATTATAGTGGATTGTTTTACCATAATTTCTTAGGTGAGCTACAATGAAAAGTCTAAAAAGGCTTTAGAGTTGATAGACGTTGTGTATCCCTTCCCTAAACCATAGTGTCAGGGTTCATATAATAAACTTAAGGCAAAGCCAGTCCAACCATTTTTGGCTTAGCACAGTATGTGAATCTAGCCATAAGCCACAATCTAGCAAATTCAAGGCTACCAATTTTAGGGTAACCATCTTGACCTGCAGAACTCCAGGAGACAACTAGATGGCAGACAAGTGATTATAGAAAAAAAATGCCTCTGTGTAACCTTTTCAAGGTGTTCAGATTTTTGCAGGATTGTAATTTTAACTAATCAATTTTCCTGAATAATTCATGTGAATTATTTTCTAGTCAGATCACAGGTGACTGCAACAATCTGAAATTCTATCACAGCATGCATGCGATGACATCATGATACAAATCCTACTTCTGCATACTTTTGTCTCAATATCTGATGTGAGTATGTAAGTAGCAGTATTTGCATCATGTCATCGCATGCATCTTGTCACTTGCCTTTCTTGCTCCTTCCCCCAGATGTAAGTCAACTGATATTTTTCAGAATATAAGATGCTCCGGACTATAAGACGTATCTACTTTTTTTGGGGAGGAAAACAAGAAAAAAAATCTGCCGCTGCCTCCCAGCCATTTGCCTCCTTGCAGCAAACAGCAAACAGCCTGTTTCAGTTTCAGTTTCAGCACAGTCTGATTAGCACAAGAAAAAAAAATCTGCCCCTGCCTTCCAGCAATTTGCCTCCTTGTAGCAAACAGCAAACAGCTGAGTCTGAAAATGGGGCATGCGGAAGAGGCAATGGCAATCCCTGCAGCCTGAAACAGCTGATAGTTGGGAGGCCGATCCAACCACCAATCAGCTGCTTGCACTAATCAGGCTGTGCTGAAGCTGAAACAGGCTGTTTGCTGTTTGCTGCAAGGAGGCAAATTGCTGGGAGGCAGAGGCCAAAGGGTGGGGGGCGGCGGTGGGCATTTATACATTTGGTGTATAAGACGCACCCAAATTTTCACCCTCTTTTAGGGGGGGGGGGAAAGTGTGTCTTATACTCTGAAAAATACGGTAGCTTTCTGGCCACATGATGTTATGTTGAACATCTGTCCATTTGTGGTGGACTTGAGTCCAGATTCCCAGGAGGAGAGGGTGTATTCCAGAGGAGCAAAAGACAACTCAGTTCTGATATTTTGTGTGGGAAAAAAAGTGCGTAAAGATGGCTCCTCTCCAATAGAGCTCCCAGAGCATAGGCCTTTATGGGAGTGTTAGCATGTTTTAGTTTGGCAAGATTCTGTCTGTGGATGAGGAATAATATTTTTTTTAAAAATCATTTAGAAGAATCACAATCTCTTTCTTGGTTTTTGGAATCTGACACTCTATGTGATTATAGCATGCTAAACTGCTTAGCAAAGTTGTCCTCACTTGCGCAGGCATTGCCATATTGATTCCTTCGTTGTAAAAATCACTGTGTAAAACATCTTATCTTTATCACATGTAGATGAAAATTACACTCGGGTAAATATGCTTATATTTGATTATAATAAGGGGTGGTATTCACTTACTTTCCCTACCGGTTCACAAACGTGAGCGTACGCAACATCTGCGCATGTGCACGGACTTCCGTGGACGTGCTTTGCTCACACACACGCCTTCCGCGTATGCGCCCGGCCTCAAAAATGTGCCTAAATAGGACAGCATAGACCAGTGATGGCTAACCTTTTTGCCGTCACATGCGAAAAGCAAGAGGAGCGTGGATGTGCGCCCACACCCATAATTCAATACGCCATGCGCATGCAACCCCCTGTTCTACCTCCGCTTTTGGCACAGGATGGCATGGTGGGCCCAGTAGGCCTGTTTCTCTCCCTCCCCAGGCTCCAGAGGCTTTCTTGGAGCCTGGGGAGGGTGAAAACGGCCTTCCTCACGGCCCTCCGGAGGCCCTCCAGAGGCTGGAAACAGCCCATTTCCGAAAAATGTGCCTTCTGGGCCCACCGGAAATCGGGAAACAGGCCGTTTCCAGCCTCCGGGAGAGGGGGTGAAGGCTATTTTCGCCCTCCCTAGGCTCCTAGAAAGCCTCTGAAGCTTGGGGAGAGTGAAAAATGGGCCTTCCCCAACTCACCTGAGGCCCTCCGGAGGCCAGAAATAGCCTGTTTCCTGACTTCCGGTGGGCTCGGAAGGCCCAAAAATTACATGCATGTGTGGTGGAGCTAAGCTAGCATGCATGTGTGCTGGAGCTAAGCTAGGGCAATACTTGCGTGCCCACAGATATGGCTCCACGTGCCACCTGTGGCACGTGTGCCATAGGTTCGCCATCATGGACATAGACCCACGATTTCCACTACCAGTTCAGACTGGTCCAAACCTCTGATTATAATGCTGTTTTGATATATATCTTTGTGTTCTATTTATGTAAGAATATTTTTTTCTATTTCAATCCCTTGGTTATCTCAGTACAGGTAATCCTTGTTCAGCAACTGGTTCATTTAGCGACCATTCACAGTTGATGAAAAAATAACTTTGCCATGAGTTCTCGCATTTATGACCTTGGCAGAACTATAAACCAAAGGAAAGCTAAAGTAAAATTGTACCCAGCTGTGGTTTTACTTAGTCAGCGCTTCACTTAACAACCAAGTTACACTTCCAATTGTGGTCATTAAACATGGGCTACTTGTAAATACACATTGTTATCACAAATTATTTTTAACAGGGTAACCTTTTTGCCTGTTTTTCTTCTTATATAAAGGAAACTTCCTTGATGAATTTCTTCAGCTCCGTGAATTCTAAAATGCCTCTTAAACCTGGAGATATCTTTGAAGTCAAACTGGTCAAAAATGAGAACGGCTTGGGCATAAGTGTTACGGTACTGTTTGACAAGGTTTTAAGCTGATTTATCTTTTTCTCCACTCAAAGTCACCTGTTCAAATTTATGATTTACAGAGCAGTGGACCTTAAAGAGACACTGTCAAGTACTTGCTTGTTGCTAATCTTTATCTTTCTTAACTACCCTGCAGTTATGCTAACCAGGATATACTTACATATCTGTGCAGGGCAACTGAATACAGAAAAACAAATCAGTTTTATGCTGGACTTTTTTCTCTCCCGCAACTACCAAAACTTAATAAATGCAAGCAGTGTAGACTTCAGTCATCATCAGACACACAAAGATAAACAATATCTACATACCATTCCAAAGAGGCAGTCAAGAAGCCAGAAAGGAGAAAGGAAGGGGAAGTAGAGAAGGAGTAGGAGAGGAGAGAAGAAGAAAATAGGAAGGAAAGAAGGGAGGGAGATGGAAGAGATTGAGAAGCAAGATCGCTGTACAATAAAAAAGATGAAATGGAAGAAAGGCAACCCCGAACATGTGTAAATGCACTAGGATAAAGAATGAATTATTAAAAAATAACAAAGAAGCCAGAAAGGAACCAAAAAAAGACTAAAATACCTCCTTCCCAGGAATCAGCCCCCAGATAAACATAGATCAACAGTAGACCAATAATCATTACATAAACAATGCCACAATCAAGGAATTACGAACTCAAGACAAACAAGCTAACAATAAACAGCAGCCTAATCAGGCAACCACCAAAATCACTCCCAGCAACACCGACAGGGCAAGCCACTAGTGCAGAGGTGTCAAACTCGCGGAGTCACATTGTGATTATGTAACGTATCGTGACTTTTTTCCCCTTTGCTAAACCAGGGGTGGGCATGGCCACCGCGTGACGCATCCGGCCTGCGCTCACTGTATAAACAGAGAGCAAACCCTACTCCCTTCTATCACTGATGATGTTACCTATCCAGGTAGTAAAATGTTTGCAAGAAAAGAACCAACTCCAAGAGACTATCAAGGACCCCCTAGTGTAGACTTTGTAATGTGCCTCTTTAAACACATATATATGTATGGAGACATGAGTATACGTGCATACACACTCGAGCCCCTTCCAAACAGCGGTGGGTTCCACATATTCTTACTATCGGTTCACTGCGCATGTGCACTGCGTGCACACACACACCTTCCACACATGCGCCCAGCCTCGAAAAACGTGGCTAAATAGGACGGCATTACGTTCAGGTGGGTGGTCCCACCACCTCCCACAGTCGCCGCTACCAGTTCGCACGAACCGGCTGAATACCACCTCTGCTTCGAAACCCTAATTGAAGATCAGAGTATTTTCATGTCTCCCATGGTCCTCTTCCTCTCAAATCTTCCTTTTTTTCCCCCTTGCTGTGATCAAAATATCATCCTCTTTTGCAACCATCTACACTTTCATCCTAATCCAAGTTGTGCCATCCCCAGCAATAGCCAGGGAAGATATTCCCAGTTCTTTTTCTACCCTAAAGAAAGCAGACGTGGCCAGGGAAGGATGTCAGCTTTCTGCTAGCTTTTGCCTTCTTCCGTTGGTCAACTGTGTCTGGCTCCGTAGAAGAGCTGAGCACAGCAATAGGGACAATTGTGCGGTGCAGCAAAACCGCTGACAAGGAAATAACAGGCAAAGCCAGTGACCCCCATGGAAGGCTGAAGACGTTACTATTTTCATTGAAAAACGGTTTCTGCATAGGAAATAAAACAGCATTCCTGTATATGCAGAGGAGTTTGAAAATAGCAAAGGGCAAAAAATGTGTTACTGACAAAAGTGTGTCGCAGAAAGAAACAAAGCACATCCACAATTATGTAGTAAGTTAAAACAAATCAAAAGTAGGCAACAAGAGGCAATAAATGTTTGAAGCCAAGATGAAGGATCATAATAAAAATGTATGTTTAGAGAGTGAATGCATCTGCTTTCTAACAGCTAGAAATACCAATTTGCCCAAGATAAAACAAACAAATATAGACTTATAGCACCTTGAAGGTTAATCTTTATGGCAATGGGGACTGTAATTAACTTCCCCAAATATATATATATATATATATATATACACACACACATGGCAATAAGAATAAGGGAGAAAATAGCAGTGCAAAGGCAGCTAAGAAGCAGCCTAAGAGGATTCAGTTAAACAATGAAAAATAAACAGTGCCATCATAGTTTGCAAAGGACGTACTAATTTGCAAAACGGGTCAGAATTTCCATTTGCTTATGTATGACATCCTCGTTCTTTGCTAGTGCGAATTCCCCACAGCTGTCCTAACATACAGAGCTAGTTTAATTTACATGGAGATTATGCTCACGATTACAGTCTCCTAACAGATTGCTCAACTTTTCATCCCTGCAGTAAATCCATCGAGACCTGTAAGTTATTTATTCAGGTTTACAGTGTTTTTATGGGCGGGTTATTGGCAGCCTGGCAAGACAACAAAAGGAGCTTAAATGAATTTCTCAGGCATCCCATGAGCGCTCTCTGGTGATCAGAAAGCAGAATATCCATAATATATTATTTCTGTTGCTACATAATCAACGTCAAAGATTCATTGGTTGCAAGGCAGAGGGCTTTAAACTTTTAAAAAAAATATTATATCATTCCACTTTGTCTTTCTTTGCATATATCAAGGGTGTCAAACTCAAGGCCCACGGGCCCGCAGGTTGCTTAAATCTGGCCGGCGGGGCCAGCCTGGAAATCTCAAAGGACCGACCCACACTCCCTCTGCCAGCCAAAAACGGGCCGCGCGGGGCCTCCACACGGCCCATTTCTGACCGGCAGAGTGCTTCTGGAGGCCGGGGAGTACTGTGGAAAGAAAGAAAGAAGGGGAAAAGCGCATCTTGAGCCTGTGTCAAACACCCACCATGACCACGCCCCCCCCCGGCCAAAACAACTAAACACGGACAGTTTTTTCCCTTGTGCCATTACCCTACTAAACATCTAATTCTCTCTGTGCTGCCTAATGTCTATGTATATTAACCAACGTAATGTGGCTGTAGTATTATTATTTATCCTTCTTATCTTCTTTACTTCTCCTTTTATTGGTATTATTTATTTTTATTTATTTTTATATGCCGCCCTTCTCCGGAGACTCAGGGCGGCTTACAATGCGTTAAACAATAGCCTTCATACTTTTGTATATTTTATACAAAGTCAGCTTATTGCCCCCACAAACCGGGTCCTCATTTTACCCACCTTAGAAAGGATGGAAGGCTGAGTCGACCTTGAGCCTGGTGAGAATTGAACTCGCAGTAATTGCAGGCAGCTGGATGTTAAATGCTGCCTTAGTAGGAGGCATTAGCCTCCTACGCCACTCAGGCTCCTTTTATTATAGTGTTGCTTCACATGCAAGCTGAGTGCTTCTGTACCGGAGACAAATTCCTTGTGTGTGTGTGTCTAATCACACGTGGCCAGATAAAGTATTCAGTTCAATTCGATTCAATTTGTCTCCAGTTTTAAAAAATGATAACCAACTTATTTTAGATGCATGCATTATGTGTAGTATTACACAATGTCTCTTTAAAAAAAGTTCTAGAAGATGATGTGTGATGATGACTTCTTACATTTACTGCTGCTTTTGAGCGTTAGGAACTGCTTTCTATGGAAATCTTTGGTTCATAGACCAAAGATTAAGCTGAAACATCACAATTCTGTATTTTGGGTAGCATTTGCAGCATGAAGAAAGGGATACATACATTACCCACCCAGAATTAAGAGGGCATTTGTCCAATCGTTACTTTTTTTAAACTTTATCTTAAGTATACTTTATGATTTACAGTATATTTATAATATTTAGTAGTTGGAGGGGCCAGTTAGATATAGTAGTTGTGGTGTTATGTATGTCATCTTGAGGCAGGATATAAAGCAGAATGCACAGCTTATGATCAGACAAAAAATTACTAAGAAATAATACAACTATACCTGAACAAAGATATTTTATAAAAATTGAAGTTAATATCTAGTATTCTGTCCACATATGAATGACTGGCTAAGAATAAGCCAGAAGAACCTATCAAGAATATATAAAACATACAACATAATGAAGAGACTATTAACTTTTAACTACTAAATATTACAGATAGTCCTCGACTTATAGCCATTTGTTTAATGATCGTTCAAAGTTACAAGGGCGCTGAAAAAAGTGACTTATGACCGTTTTTCACACTTAGACCATTGCAGCATCCCCATGATCACATGATCAAAATTTGGATGCTTGGTTCTGACCAGGGGTGGGTTCTACTTACCTTTACTACCGGTTTGCAACGGGAGCACGCGTAGAAGCTTCTGCACATGCACAGATCACCTTTGATGATGTCGGGGCAGGTGGGCGGAGCCTCCTGCCAGTTTTACTACCGGTTCTATAGAACCGGACAGAACCGGGAGCAACCCACCATTGGTTCTGACATGTATTTATGGCGGTAGAAGCATCCCAGGGTCAGGTGATCCGCTTTTGTGACCTTTTGACAAGCAAATTCAATGGGGAAGCCAGATTCACTTAACAACCATGTTACTAACTTAACAACTGCAATGTTTCACTTAACATTTGTGGCAGGAAAGGTTGTTAAACGGGGCAAAACTCACAACCACTGTATTGTGTAGCAACAGAAATGTTGGGTTCCAATGTGGTCATAAGTCAAGGACTACCTGTACATCAACATACACACCTGCGTGGTTTTTAGATAAGCTAATCTTAGCAGCCGTGACTATTTCAGTCCATGTTTAAAGTCTTTATGATGAGATCACCTTCTTTTTTCTCTTTACCGGTATTTTTCAAATTTGGTAATTTCAAGATGTATGAACCTCAGTGTCAAGTTTCCAAAAGATGCCCTAATTAATTCATGAGCCATGATCCAAACTTCAAAGGAAATACAGTCATTTATTAGGAGCAACATTCCGGCAATACTCTGATGCAGTTAGGACTGATCCCATGTAGATTTACTTTCCCCTATGACCCTGTCTCTCCCCTCCTCTCTGGCCATGTCATAAATCACATTCTCCAATTAACCACTTTGGCTGGCTGTGAAACCTAACACCCTCCTTCTGATTGCGGTCAGGAAGAATGTATGGAATTCACTTCAGTTCTCCCTCCCTCCTGCTCATGGCAACTTGAAAGCTTTGCAAGTTGACACTTAATTCCCAGAGTTCCCTAGCCACCCATGCTGGCTGAAATTGGCCTGTATCTTTAATTTGCATGTAACTCAAAAACCATCTGTTGTTCATGTGAGGTTTAGTTTTTCTGCTTCTCATTTCCGCTGAAACGCTTGCATGAGTAGTGCAATTGCATAGACTTCTTAAGCCATTGGATTTAGTTATCTGTATTTCAGTTTTAGTCTTCTACTAAAAACATATATTTTGTGTTAATGCCTTTTTTTATTTCTGTAGGGTGGCGTGAACACCAGTGTGAAGTATGGAGGACTTTATGTGAAGGCAATCATTCCTAAGGGAGCAGCTGAAGCTGATGGTAGGATTCAGAAAGGTGAGTATCAGGGTAATTCGGTTGCTGAAAGTATCAAAATGTGGAAGGCTTAGACCCGTGATGGCGAACTTGTGGCACACATGCCAGAAGTGACACGCAGAGCCCTCTCTATGGGCACATGTGCCATCGCCAGCTGCTCCTCTGATTTCCGGCGTGTGCATGCGCACCGCCCAGCTGATCTTTACGCGTGCCGGAGCCCCAAAAACCCGAAGACCAGCTGGCCAGTGCATGCTAGCCAGCTGATCTTTGGCTTTCCAGAGCTCCAGCGCATGCAAAAACCAACTGGCTGGCGCGTATGTGTGCGGCAAAAACAGGATGACCAGGTGGTGCTAGCCAGCTGGTCTTCTGGTTTTCGGGACTCCGGCGCGCATGCATGTGCATATTCCAGTTTGTGCACTCGGTGCTGAAAAGGTTCACCATCACTGGCTTAGGCTTTCAAAAAAAAGGCCTTACTGGGCAGAGAGTAGGAGAATTGGGGTCAAGAGGCCAAGCGTCTTCATATGCTGTTGTCCTTTCTCCTTGCCCTATCCCTTGGATCATCAGAAACCTTTTCTGAACAAAGGAGAGTGGGATGATGAGCTCTTAAATTTCAATATAATTGACAAACTGCACATTATCCATGTTTAAATGTTTAAAGGCTCATTTGGGTTAGATAAATCCGTGCTTCAAGTTAGCTTCAGCAATGTTTTTAAAAAATCTAAGTATTCAGATTTTACATTCTTGGAATCAATTGAGATTATCATAATCATATCTGCTTGTAAGTATGGCTACCAAATTTGGCCTGCATATACCTGGTTGAACACTAGATGACAGCAAAGCAGTGAGGTTTTCTGTTTTCTGCCTATCTTTGCTGCTCTCTAGTGGTGATTTTGATGTTTGCAGTCCAGCTTTGGTTCAAGGGTTCGGAAATACTCTTGATCTGTAATTTGTCTTGCTCAAATTAATGGCTATTGAATCAGATAAAAGACTGTGGCAGACCTATCTGTTGGCTTCTCTTTATTGTTATAAATATCTCTTGTTGGCTGTTAGGTGACCGAGTGCTTTCTGTTAATGGGATCACATTGGAAGGAGCAACACATAAACAGGCTGTGGAAGTCATGAGAAACACTGGCCAGGTAGGAGGTGACAGTCATCTCGACTTTGAGCACTTTACGTTATTATAATCCCAGGAAGGAACAAGAAACCATATTGAAACTTATCCTCAGTCATATCAGCAGCACTTACTCTAGTTGTTCCCCTTGAAATGGCAATTCTATTTAAAAATATATCTGTGTATGAGTACAAAAGCCTGGTTGATAATTCAGAGACTGCCACTGATTTACCAGTTTGATTCAAAGAGTGAATCAATTGAATCAGACTGAAGGCTTGTTTAGCTTTGGTGTTTTTAGGTAGTCCTCTCCAGAACTGTATACAGGCAGTCTGATTTATGACCACAATTGGGAGCAGAATTTCCATGGCTAAGTCAGGTGGTTGTTAAGTGAGTTGCACCTGAATTTACAACCATTTTGCCCTGGTTGTTAAGTGAATCATATGGTCATTAAGCAAATCTAGCTCTCCCCCCCATTAACTTTGCTTGTTGGAAGCTGGCTGAGAAGTGTTGACAATGGAGATCACATGATCCCCGAAAACTGCAACTATTGTAAATACATGCCAACCACCCAAATTTTGATCATGTGACCATGGAGAGGCTACCATGGTCATTGGTGCGAGGACCAGTCATAAGTCACTTTTTTTCAGGGCTGTTGTAACTTCAAACAGTTGCTAAGCAAATGATTGTAAGTTGAGGATTACCTGTAATGAGAGATAAACAAATCCTGTGAAACCCTTCAACATTTTTTACCAGTGGTGAAATGTAAAATTTGTTACAATTGGTTCTGTGGGCGTGGCTTGGTGGGGGGGGTAATGTGACTGAGTGGGCGTGGCCAACTTTTTTTTTTTTTTTTACTTTTAAAAGCATTTTTTCTACAGAAAAAAAACAGAGGTTGCAGGGAAAAAATGCTTTTAGAAGCCTCTGACGATCAGGCAACTCAGCTGGGATTGCCAGAGGCTTTTAAAGGCATTTTTTTTCCTACAACCTCTTCCGCCGAAAAGGTTGCAGAAAAAAAATGTTTTTAAAAACCTCTGATGATCACAGCTGAGCCGCATGATCATCAGAGGCTTTTCTTTTTTACTTTTAAAAGCATTTTTTCGGCCGAAGAGGTTGTAGTAAAAATGCTTTTAAAAGTAAAAAAGAAAAGCCTCTGATGGTCGCACAGCTCAGCTGGGCATGTGGGGGGGGCAGGGATTTTTGCTACCGGTTCTCTGAACCACCTGCTGCCCTCGCTACCAGATCGGGCGATCCAGTCCGAACCGGGAGCATTTCACCCCTACTTTTTACCTCTTATGACAATGAGAAGTTTTCCTGTTATTTGGAATTATGGCACAAATGGAGAGAATCTCAAATGTCCTCACTATGTATCCATCTTCCATTAATTCTGTAGGTTGGCCATCACAGCTAAGTACTGTCTGATTATTAAATCCCCACCTAATTGTGGCTCCCTTTGCAGGAGGTCCATCTAATACTAGAAAAGGGCCAACTTCCAGTAGCCAGAGTCCATCCTCCCACAACATCACAGTGTACACCTACAAACAAACCCAGTCATAGTGCACTCTTGGAGAAACCCGTGAAGAAGACGTCAAGTGCCAGAGAATACAACTTTGTCACTGATGGTGAGATTCTGTCCAAATACAACTGAAGCCTTAAAAAGGAAAGATAAGAAACAACGTTTGGTTGGAGCCATAACAGTCTAATATAAGCCATAATGTGGTTTGTTTCCTTCTGACTTAGGCTGTTGTACAAACACTATTTGCAGCTTATTGAATAAAACCTACAAAAGCAAATAAGGATTTATTTAATCATTATTGTTGTTGTTGTTGTTGTAAGACCTAGAGTACTGCATCCAGTTTTAGTCACCACACTATAAAAAAGATGTTGAGACTCTAGAAAAAGTGCAGAGAAGAGCAACTAGGATGATTAGGGGACTAGAGGCTAAAGCAGGAACTGGGCATGGCTAGTCTAGTGAACAGAAGGACCAGGGGAGACATGATAGCAGTGTTCCTATATTTGAGGGGCTGCCAAAGAGAGGAGTGGGTCAAACTGTTTTCCAAAGCACCTGAAGGCCAGACAAGGAATAATGGATGGAAACTGACCAAGGAGAGATTCAACCTAGAAATGAGGAGGAACTTTCTGACAGTGAGAACAATCAACCAGTGGAACAGAAGTTGCCTTCGGAAGTTGTGGGAGTTTCATTGCTTGAGACTTTCAAGAAAAGATTGGATTGTCAGAAATGGTGTAGGGTCTCCTGCTTGAGTGGGGGGTTGGACTAGATGACCTATAAGGTCCCTTCCAACTCTGTTAAACTGGTAGTATTAGACTAGGTATGCATCCGATCCTTAGTTTTAGAATATCAGACAATAAGATCAGAAAAGCTGTACAGGAGACGTAGAACTGCCTTTATTCGATTTGTCTGCATTTCAGAAAAATAGCGCTTGGCTTATCAATTCCTCTTCCCCTTTTATTTTTCTATGAAATGTGTACCTTTTTGCTTCTCGGTCTGTCTTGCTTAACCACAAAAAGTATGCTCTGCCTGCCTTTGTAATACTCATCATGTTTCATTTTTGCAGGATCCAATCTGGGTCGGTCACCGATTGGATCCTGCAACATTATTCTGGGACGTGAATATTGGCCTTCCTTCGTGTTTCATATTTACACTCTACATCACTATTGCAGAACCAGACTGTCTGTTCTATTGCCGGCCTGCGGTCTTCAAATTGAACTTGGTTAAATAAATAAATAGATGTTTGCATTTATTGTTTTAAACATTATTGCTTTTATTGGAATGGTGCTGCTCAAGCCTGCTCCACTGGGAGAAAGAATGGCCTAAAAACAAAATAAACAATGCTTCCAGCAACAATAGATTAAATCATAATCTATTTTTCACTGCACATCTATAAACTATTTCTTAGCTCCTGCATTTTGTATTTATCCTGGAATCCTAATATTAGGATAATATTAGGATATTATTTTCAGATGGATCTCATTCTCCACATTTTTATATGAAATGTTTTTTTTAAATGTCCTGTTTTCACACTGTTGCAGCAACTGCAACATCCTACGTTACATACCAAACATTGTTCAGCTTTCTGATTATTACAGATACATTTTAGCTATTCAAGATTCAAGACATAGGATGAGTGTGTACAGATTGAACTGTCAGCATCTTCAGATGTGCAGTAACGTGGTTCATTTCCTTTTCAGACAATGCATTTGAAGTGAAACTTGTGAAAAACAGTTCTGGCCTGGGCTTCAGTTTCTGCCGTGAAGATAGCGTCTCCCCAGAGCAGCCGGGTTCCAGTATAGTCAGGGTGAAAAAACTCTTTCCGGGACAACCAGCTGCAGAGAGTGGGCAGATTGAGGTCGGAGATGTCATCCTGAAAGTCAACGGTTCTTCTCTAAAAGGATTATCTCAGCAGGTTAGTGCCTTCTACCCTGAGGGCGAAGGTTCGTTCTCTGAGCTTGTGGGTTGGTTTCCAAACATTTCATTATCAGGCTAGGTCACATCTTCAGCAGAGTTTAGGGCAGGGGTCAGCAATCTATGGCTCTGGAGCCGCATGTGGCTCTTTCACCCCTCTGCTGCGGCTCCCTGTCACTCAAAATATACGTCACAACCGCCAATGTGCGACAACCACCTGCACGTGATTTATTGAGCTTTTCAACTCCCAGTAGGCCAACCATGGATAAATCCAAGAAAAGAAAAGTTTCAGAAGAAAACAGAATGTTTAATTCAACTACATATGCTAGTTCTGTGGCCGCTCAAGAAATAGTCAGGCACGGGAAGGGTTTTGTGGCTCCCGGTCTTTTCTTTTCTTTGAGAAACAGGTCCAAATGGCTCTTCGAATGTTTAAGGTTGGAGACCCCTGGTTTAGGGGATGTCGGTGTTCTATAAGGACTTCGTGTGGTCAGTAGGTCTTGTGATTGATCAGATGTGGGTGTGTCAAGTGAGGGTCTTGGGATAGGTCTTGGGATGAATCAGGTTAGGTGTGAATCAAAAGACTACATACTTGATATACTAACTACAACTAGAATTACATTTGTACAACAATGGAAAAATGATGAGATCCCGTCTGAAGGAAATGTAATTAAAAAAAATATTAGAATGTGCAGAAATGGACAGATTAACGCTTATTATTAAGGATAAAGAAGAAACTGAATATTTTTTGATATGGGACATATTCAATGGCTAGATAACAGAAACAGAAGTTAGAAAGGAGGAGATATAAAAAGAGGAAATGGTAAAGCGGAGAGTTGTTAAAGAAGATGACGTTAAGTATTAATGTTATTATATTATTATGTTATTATATTATTAATATGATGGAGATGAATTATCACAACAAAGATGTGTAATATGACTATTTAAACATAACTGTACCCAGAACACACACTGTTCGATGAAAATTAATCAAATAAATCAAATAAATAATCATATAAATCAAATTTTAAAAAATTTGAATGTTACATAAATAAAACAAATAAAACATGGGGGGAAATAAAGGTTAGGTGTGAATCATCAGTGGGAGTCTTGTGATGGGGAGGTTACATCAGGTGAGGGTCATTGGGAGGTGACCACACGAAGCCCTTATAAACACAAGAACAGCCTGGGTAACAAAATATTCGGAAACCACCAGATTGGAGAATGAACCTTCACCCTCATCCTACACCTGAGCTACAGATACTCGTCACTATTGCGGACCTTGTACCGTGTCTTGAAATCAGTCTTTGATGTATGTATGGTTCACTCAAAGTTCAAGTGTGGCCTTCAGCCCCAAAAAGATTCTGCATCCCTTCTTTAAATGTTACCCTATTCATTGCAGGCTGGTGCCAAATGTATCTTATGAATAATGTTTTGCCCTTTAGGAAGTCATCTCAGCTCTCAGGGGAACATCTCCTGAAGTCACCCTTCTCCTCTGCAGACCGCTTCCTGGAATATTACCAGAGATTGATCCTACGCTATTGGTAAGAATTAAGAAGTATACTTGGCTTTTTCTGAAAACAGGGTCATAACGGTTTCCAATTAACGTTTGCATGCTCACCCCAAAAGTATAAAGGTAAAAGTTTCCCCTGTCCAGTCGTGTTCAACTCTAGGGGGCAGCGCTCATCTCCGTTTCTTAGCAGAGAAAGCCAACATTGTCCAAAGTCACTTCCGTAATCATGTGGCTAGCATGACTAATATGCCAAGGCTCTCAGAACCCGTTCCCACTGGAGTGATACCTATTTATCTACTCGCAGTTGCATGCTTTTGAACTGCTAAATGGGCAGGAGCTGAGGCAAGATGGGAGCTTACCCAGCCATGCGATGCTTGGGTCTAGAACCCGGAGTGTCAGCTTTCCAGCTGACAAACTCAGTGTCTTTAACCACTGAGCCATCATGCCCATTCCCAAAGTATATTTTATATCTATAGGATATAGGTTTATAGGAGGTTACCTTCAGTGATGGGTTTAGTCATAAGGTAAACAAGCTATAGCTTAGGACTTCACAAAATTTCAGATTTTTGGGAATTGTACGTGGCTTTTATCTGTACTGTAATTTTTTAAAAATCTTGTATAGCAAATGTTTATGTGTACTGCAGTTTTAAAACAGCTGTATATGCATTAAAGGGGATATATATGTTTCAGTGTTTTGTGGCAACCCAAAGTCCTGTTTTGGTACACACCTTTTTGAGATCTTTTGGTGTAACTTTTTAACAAGAGACCTCTCGGTTTTACAAACAGCCCTTGACTTAATAACTGTCATTGAGCCTGGAATTACAGTTGCAACTCATGACAGTCAATTTACATTTGGGGTTCCCAGCCCCCAGTCTGTGGACAGGCACCGGTTCGTGACATGCCAGAAACCGGTCCATGCAAACAAGCCAAGCTCCATCCATGGGATGCAGGCAGCATGCAAAACCATGCCCCCCCCCTCCCCGGTCCACGGCAAAACCTCTCTTCATGGAACCGGTCCCTGGTGCCCAAAAGGTTGGGGGCCGCTGATTTACATTATTACAATTCCAGGAAGGAACAGGAAACCAGTTTCTGCACCATATTAAAATTCATCCTGTGCTTAATCTGGCTGTACCCACTTACTAGGCCCGTGATGGTGAACCTATGGCACGCGTGCCACAGGTGGCACACAGAGCCATATTGGGCACGCGAGCTCAGCTCCGGCCAGCTGATTTTTGGGCCTTCTGGGTCCACCAGAAGTCAGGAAACATGCTGTTTCCAGCCTCTGGGGGTGTGGAGAAGGCCGTTTTCACCCTCCCAGGTTCCTAGAAAGGCTTTGGAGCCTGGGGAGAGTGAAAAATGGGCCTAACGGGCCCACAGTGCCATTGTGTGCCAAAAGCGGGAGGAGTGCAGGGGGGTCGTGCACGCATGGACGGGGAGGCGGGGCGCATAGAATTAAGGGTGTGGGCACACACGCGTGCGACCCCCCCCACTCCCCCCACTTTTTGCACGAGATGGCAAAAAGGTTAGCCATCACTGTACTAGGCACAGGCAATTATTATAAAAAGAGCTGAGGTGGCGCAGTGGTTAGAGTGCAGTACTGCAGCTACTTCAGCTGACTGCTAGTTCAGCAGATCAGTGGATCAAATCTCACTGGCTCAAGGTTGACTCAGCCTTCCATCCTTCCAAGGTGGGTAAAATGAGGACCCAGATTGTTGGGGGCAATATGCTATTTAGTATACTGTCTTTGGTAAGCCGCCCAGAGTCCTCAGAGAGTGGGCGGCATAGAAATATGAATAATAAAAATAAATAATAAAAAAATATTGCCAGAAAAAATCTAGCAATATGGCTTTCCTGATTTTACAATAAAATTTTGCTGTGGCCATTAAGCGAATCCCTATGGTCATTAAGTGAACCCACAATTATAAGCAAACCCATTGTCTGCAAACACTAGTTTCCAGCAAAAAAAAAAAAAATGTCATAAATTGTGATCTTGTGACTGTGGGACACTATAAACGGCCATAAATGCGGGCTGGTTGCCGAGCCCCCAAATTGTGATTACTTGACCGCAGAAGGGGTGAGTGAACATCGTAACTTTGAATCTGGGTCGTAAGTACCTTTTGGGGGGTTTGTCATTTGGTCAAACAATTATTTTCTTACGCTTATTCTAGACCCCCATCCATTCCCCACCACAAATATTCCCCAAAGCGGGCAAAGAAAATCTACCGCCCCCTAATGGAGAGCAAGAAGAAAGCTCTGATGAAAACGAAGCCATTGACCAGAGCAAGAAAATCCGGTCCCCTTCTCGGAGAGACAGCTACAGTGACAGCAGTGGGAGTGGCGGGGAGGAAATCGCCACAAATCCAGCCAGCCCAAAGTGGAATTCTGCTTTGTATCAAACCCCAAGCCAATACGCAACTGAAGCACCTAGTCCTTATGAGACATCCAGCAAGCAAAAGGAAGCGATCCACGCAGCGTTTTGCTCTCCTCATGAGTCATCTAGGAAGCAAGAAATGGAGAACAGGCATGTTTCATTGGTTGACTTCATAGCGTGTGGTCTTGTTTGTGTTTTATTTGTTCAGTTGTGTGAATCTGAGCCCTGTTAGACTTTCTGAAGGCAACTGTCAAGTTTCATGTGTCTTCTTTATCCATTTATCAAAATAGTGGATTTTTTTATTTTTTATTTTATTGAATTTTTATACCGCCCTACTCCCGAAGGACTCAGGGTGGTGAACAGCCATAGAATAAAACATCTAAATACAAAATTTAAAATAGATTAAAACGAATTAAATAATTTGGCTGAACAAATTTAAAACCCCAATAATTTAAAACCAGATTTAAAATTTCCATTTAAAAGGGGAATTTTGATTGAATTTTTGCAACAGACATGTTTGTTGTTAGCAAAATGTTCCTAGCCATTGTCTAAATACATTTTTCTTCCAGTTCATTTCTCCTAATGCAAATGCAGTGAGCTAAGAGAAAAGTCTTTGGGCTAAATAATGAGAGACAGAATGGAAAACTGCCCTCACCACACTTCCGTGACGAGAATTACGCCCTCTTTCTTTCTCCCATATGGAGATAATCAGGGTGGGTTAACTGGGATGAAGTGTCCTGAAAGCCCTGTTTCAAAGCTAAAAATTTAATACAATTAATAAATTCCCGTACCTCTGCAATAGAGCTGGCAACTCTATCCACTCTGTCAGTGACTTTGGAAATGATCTTTTTTCCTCCCTTTTTTTTTGTCTTGTAGCAATCCTCCATCACCTCTGTTAATGGAATTGTCACCCATAGCAAACCAAAGAACCATCACACTTAATTTTACAGAAGAAAAGTTCAACTCTTCTATCTCCGACTTCGCATCTCCACAAGGCAGATTGGCACCTCTGTTCAATCAGCTTGAAAAACATGCAGATGAATACGAACCAGTAATTCCCTACTTTTTTTCTCTCCTGATTGTCGATTGTGGGTATGGGTAAATTGCAGAAGTTCAACAAAATACAGGTTACTTAGCTGCTGCTGAAAAGCTGAGTAGGGAATTCTGGGAGTTGAAGTTCATATATCTTAAAGTGGCTAAGATTGAGAAACGCTGGTCTGGCCAATAGCCATGGAGTTCCCAGATGGTTCTCCTGTTCTGACTTAGGCTTCCCCAAACCACAAAGCAGACTCCTTGTCCCAACAAAAACCCCTTTTTATTAAGTTACTGTGAATTATTCTTCTCATTCACATCCAGCAAAGTCTTTCAAGGGTGAATTTACAGTCACAGACTTTATCTGGCTTGGGGAGCTGCCAGGCCGATATCTTCAAAACTTGGCAAGGAGTCTCGGAGAGTCATGAATTAAGCAAACTAATTGTCTCCTGCAAACTCCATTCTCCTTTCGCTCCTCTTTTATTCCCTCTAGGAGGGGCCATTCATCATCCACCTGTGGCTTTACTCCCAAGTCAACCCTTGTTCTTTAGCTGTTCCCTTCGTCTGGCAACTCTGTGCAGGCGCACACTGGGAACAGGCTCCAGCTGTTTGTCTGCCTCACTGATGTCTGACTCCGAAGGCAGCTGATAACTGGCATACGACCTGGGCCCCCTCTCTGCCTCCAATGCAGAGCCCTCATTAGAGCCTTCCCCAGACTCCAGGACTGGCCCATGTTCCTCCCCAACCTCCTCACTGTCTGAATCTGCTGCCAGTTCCGCTGGCCACTGGTGGGCCACAACACTTCCATCCAGTTGTTAACCAAACCAACTTTGCTTTGCTTCTAAGATCAACCTGGTTTGACTATGAGTGGGATATGCCCTAATGAGCATCCCTCTTTTTGTCAGTGTTAATTTGAAATAGGGGAGGAAAGAATTCTATTGTTTTGTTATAAGAACATTAACTCTTTTATATGGAGGACAAAAATCAAAGAGAAACTTGGCAGAATGAATAGAAATGGGAATGGAGTGAATGGTCAGAAGCTAAACTGATGAAAATGGAAACATAAAGTTTCATTCACCTTTAATCCTCACAAACGTCAGTGTAGATCTTTTTCATTTGAAGAGAATCTATTTTTTCAAGCAGAAAATTGAAGCTTGATGTCTCCAATCGCATTGATGAATTGGTCCCTGGGAAAGTACCTCAACATCCTGATTTGCATACTTACAAATAAATACGCTTTGCGCTGGTTTTCCCCTCCTTGCAGAAAGTTACTGCAGTATGGTGCAGTATGAAGATGGAAGGCTCTAAGTGTATACAAAAACACAAGGAAAAAAAGAAGAAAAAAGATAGGATATCAGAAACAAAACAATAATAGTAAATATTAGAAGGTAGGGGGGAAAAGAAATGAATAAAATGTGTTCTGTCAGAGAGACAAAATTATGTGAAGGTGCTGTTAAAGTTAAGTTAAAAGCCAGCGTGATTTAAGGAGTAGACTAGGACAGGGGAAGCCCAGCTGAAATTCCCACCTCCTACTTGAAGTTGATTGCATAATAATGAATTATACATCACTCCTTAGTTCATGCAAAATTATTTGATCCAATTGTTGGGTGGATATAGTGCACGAAAGAGAAATTCTCTTCACTGACTTGAGTTTTTGAAAAGATGGCAAGATATAAAGTCTCTTCTTAAAAATAAATATTGTGTTGCATGAAGGCTGTCAGTTCACAAGTAATAGGTTAAGCTACAAATGTTTCTTGTGGGATCAAGATACCCATCCAGAAAGATAATTGCCTACTGAATCACTGCTATTTATTATGCTGGCTTATCAGACCTTCTGGTGTAGATACAACATCAGGCCTATAAAATTCACCTTAAGTTATTGAGGACCGAACATCTTCAAGAAGTATCACAAGAACCCTGAAAACATAATTGTTTTGACAGTACAAGTGAAGCATGCCTTCAGTTTTAATCTTAAAAACTTGTTCTTTGTGGGTTGAGAGATGCCTGGAGGGGATCATCGTAGACTGAGATGATGCTGAAGCAGCAGATTCTGTAGAATGTCTCTCAGAAGTAACTTGAAGGACATGGTAGGACCGTCAAGTTAACATTGACGTGGAAAATCAAAATCAACATAGAAGACCCAATGCAATGTAGGACACCCATCACTGATTTTCCCATGTTTTATTTTTATTTACTGGAGGAAGAGAACAATAGGAATTTCTTTTCTTGCTATTGATATACTACTAAATGGAAGAAGAAATAAAGAAGTTTCTTGGATGAGAAGAAACGTCTTGAAGGAAAAATTAAAGTCCAGTTGCCTTTTGAAAAAGCACCTTTGGGACAACCATGACCTGAATGACTGAGAATCTCCATAGATACTGAATGGAAGGAGTTTGTTTTTTGTATATGTTAAATTACTCTTTACTCTATTGCAGTGATGGCTAACCTTTTCCGGATTGAGTGCCCAAAGCACGCCCGAACCCCCAAAATGCAGTGTGCGTGCGGGGCCCCCTGCACACGCCCCACCCCCTACACATGCGGCGCCCACACACGCATGCGCACGCAGGTGCCCTGCATGCATTTCTCACATGCGTGTGTGGCCCCCCCGCACGAACCCCACGCATGCGTGGCAGAGACCCGAAGACCAGCTGGCTGGTGGGATGCACATGCACGACGGAGCTGAACTGGGGCAATGGCTCGTGTGCCATCAGAGAGGGCGCAGCACCCCAGCTCTGGCACGTGTGCCATAGGTTCGCCATCACAGCCCTATTGCAAAAACAGAAGGAAGAAACTACTATGCAACTAAGAGAAACTTTGGGGAGGGAGATTTATTAAATCAATGATGTTTTTGACTCTACCTGCACCTACATTTTCTATTATGGTCAGATTTAGAATCTCCACGTAGAACGTTTTAGCTAACAGCAGAAACATTTTTGGATCTGAACTTCCCATTTTATGTATCTTTTCCGTGTTATATTTTTTTAAAGTCTGGAAGAAAATAACTAGGCATAAGCTGTTTTTTCCTATAGCCACATACAGGTTTTATGTAAGCAACCTGTGCAGAAGCTGTATTATCTCCTCTTTTATGTTTTCCTGCTAGATGCACATTAGATGCTAGATGTGTACAGCGCCATCATGCTTTTCACTCTGGTATATAATAAAAGTCTCTTGTTCTTTAGGAAGTGGAACTCCATGTAGTTCTAACTAAATCCGAGAAAGGTAGCCTTGGCTTCACCGTGACAAAAGGCAGTGATAATACCGGCTGTTATATCCATGACGTAGTACAAGATCCTGCCAAAAGCGATGGGCGGTTGCGACCTGGAGATCGTCTAATCAAAGTGAGGAACATTTTCAAATCTAAAACATATAAACGCTGTACAAGAGAAAAGGATTTGAAGGGAACAGAGGTCCCTGAGCTGCTACCAGAACTCTTTATATTATGCAAATAATTTGGACATCACCAGCTCAAAATTGTTGTTTGATAGCATTTTTCTTAAGTGCATATCTGTTGGAATGGTTCTTTGCAATGGCTTTAACTAGTGGTGATTATTATTGTTTATTAAGCTAGTATCCTATCAACCTGACTTGTTTTCCCCTTCCATTCAATCATACCCGATTCTCGGGGACTGCCTGGACAGGTTCCTGCTGGGTTTTTTGGCAATGTTTTTCAGAAGTGGTTTTGCCATTGCCTCCTTCTGGGGCTTAGAGGAAAGTATCTGGCCCAAGGTCACCAAGCTGGCTTTGTGCCTCAGGTGGAAGTAGAACTCATTATCTCCCAGTATAATGAGGTAATTTACCAGGTAAAGGTAAAGGTTCCCATATGTGCTAGTCGTTCCCGACTCTAGGGGGCGGTGCTCATCTCCGTTTCAAAGCCAAAGAGCCAGCGCTGTCCGAAGACGTCTCCGTGGTCATGTGGCCGGCATGACTAAATGCCAAAGGCACACGGAACGCTGTTACTTTCCCACCAAAGGTGGTCCCTATTTTTCTACTTGCATTTTTTACATGCTTTCGAACTGCTCGGTTGGCAGAAGCTGGGACAAGTAACGGGAGCTCACCCTGTTACGCGGCACTAGAGATTCGAACCGCTGAACTGCCGACCTTTCGATCGACAAGATCAGCGTCTTAGCCAGTGAGCCACCACGTCCCAAACAAAAGTTTCTAGCCTGTGCCATAACTTCTACACCAAACTGGTTCTCTATCTGACTATAACCTTGTTTTATAAGACACGACAAGTATCTTTAATACTGTGGATTATTTGATGAATGTTTCTTAGTTTCAATTGTTTTTTTTTTCTTCATTCTTCATTTGTGTTTTCTTTCTTCTTTTATTAGTTAACGATCATTTTTATAGTTTACAAATATCTATTGACTTCTTTGAATCAATAACGTGTATAAGCCCCACATCTTCTCACCTCTCTCTCTCTCTCTCTCTCTCTCTTTCTCTTTCTCTGACATTCACATCTGCAGGTTAATGAGATAGACGTTACTAACATGAGCCACACAGATGCAGTCAGTTTTCTCCGAGCTGCTCCAAAGATGGTCATGCTGGTGCTTGGACGTGTTCTGGAACAACCTAAGATCCCTATATTTCCTCATCTGTTGCCTGACATTAGCCTTACCTGCTCTGAAGAAGAATTAGGTAATCCAGTGATGAAATGTAAAATTTGTTACTACCGGTTCTGTGGGCGTGGCTTGGTGGGGGGTAATGTGACTGGGTGGGTATGGCCAACTTTTTTTATATATATATACTTTTAAAAGCATTTTTTCTACAATCTCTTCGGCCAAAGAGGTTGTTTAAAAAATGCTTTTAAAAGTCTCTGACGATCCCAGCTGAGTTGCCTGATCATCAGAGGCTTTTTTTTTTCTTTTAAAAGCATTTTTTCTACAACCTCTTCGGCCGAAGAGGTTGTAAAAAAAATGCTTTTAAAAACCTCTGATGATCAGGCAACTCAGCTGGGATCATCAGAGCCTTTTAAAAGCATTTTTTTTTTTTACAACCTTTTATAACCTGAAAGCATTTTTTTCGGCCAAAGAAGTTGTAGAAAAAATGCTTTTAAAAGTAAAAAAAAAAAGCCTCTGATGATTGCGCGGCTCAGCTGGGCATAGGCGGGGGAGGGGGGCGGGATTTTTGCTACCGGTTCTCCAAACTACCTGCCACCATCGCTACCAGATCGGGCGATCCGGTCCGAACCGGGAGCATTTCACCCCTGAGGTAATCCCACATTTCATCATGCTCCCCTTTTGTTGCCTTTAAAGTTCTACCTTTGCAACTGTGTTTTTCTCCCTTTCTTCCAGGTATTTCCCTTGCTGGTGGTCATGATAGTCTTTATCAAGTATTATATGTTAGTGATATCAGTCCCAAATCTGCCGCAGCCATAGAGGGAACACTTCATATTCTGGATATCATCCATTATATTAATGGGATCAGCAGTCAGGGAATGACCTTGAAAGAAGCCAAGAGGGCGTTGGAAATAGCTCTTCCGAATGTCATCCTGAAAGCAACAAGGTATTTCCCTGGAAGGCCTACCTGTGCAATTGGTCTGATTCAGTCTTACCTTTATTCTAGAATCATGATGGCGAACCTATGGAACGTGTGCCAGAAGTGGCACGCAGCGCCCTCTCTGATGGCACGCAAGCCGTCGCCCCAGTTCAGCTCCGCTGTGCATGCGCGCACGCCTCCCGCTGGCCAGCTTGTCTTTGGGTCTCTGCCACACATGCACAGGGGGCGGGGCATGTGTTGGGTGGCAGCATGCGCAGGGGGATACACATGCACTGGGTGCATGCAGGGCCCACATGCGTGGGGGCGGGGTGCATGCGTGGGAGCCGCACGCACATTGTATTTTGGGGGTTCGGGTGTGAGTGCACGCTTTGGGCCCTCGGTCCAGAAAAGGTTAGCCATCACTGTTCTAGAATGTGATCTGATCATACTAAGTGAAGTTTATTTGTTGTTCATTTAATAAAATTTAATAAAACGAAATGAAAAATTTGCTAAGTCATGTCTGACTCCTGGTGACCCCATGGACCACAGCACTCCAGGCCCTCCTATCCTCCACTGGCCAAAGTCATGTTCACTGCTAAATGCCTCTGGAGATTCTCAGTCGTCCAGGTCACAGTTGTCTCAAAGGTGTATTTTTTCAAAATAGAATAGAATAGAATTCTTTATTGGCCACACAAGGAATTTGTCTCCTGGGCATAAGCTTTCAGCGTACACACAAGCAACAAGTGATAAATCATGATCATAACCATCATAAAAATACATTCATCATAAATCATAAGATACAACATTCAGTGATAGCCATAGGATACTAAATAAGCAATCAACATACATCGTACTAGGATACTAAATAAAACAATTAATATAAATCGTAAGATACAAGCAACAAAGGAACAGTCATAAGAGGATAAGGAAATTGGTAATAGGAAAAATGAGAAGGCTAATAGTAATACAGCCCTATTGGGTAGTTTGACAGTGTTATGGGAATTAGTTGTTTAGCAGAGTGATGGCATAGAGGGTGGGGGAACTGTCCTTGTGTCTAGTTGTTTTGGCATGCAAAGCCCTATAGCGCCATCTTGGGGGAAGAAGTTGAAACAGTTTATGTCCAGGATGTGAGGGATCTGTAGATATCTTGAGGAAGGCATTTTGCTTCTTAACCAAGAAGCTGATTGAACCGAAGAAGCTTCTTGGATGAGAAGCGAAACGTCTTTCTCCTCCTCCTCCAAAAAAAAAAAAAAATAGCCCAGCTGCCTTTTGAAAAACCACCTTTGAGTCACGTTCACTGTGTTGATGGCACTATCTAACTATCTCATCTTCTGCTGTCCCCTTCTTCTTTTGCCTTCAACATTCCCTAACATCCGGGTTTTTTGCAATGAGTCCTCTCTTCTCATTTGGTGGCCAAAGTATATCAGCTAAAGTTTGCTTAGCCATGATTTATTCATCAATCCATACTCCGCTGGGATTATTTATTATGCGAAATAATAGAACACGATTCATATATCTTCCTTCCAAGACAAGATGCAATTTACTCACTATTAAAAAAATTATTTGGGTCCTTGTCCTTCTGATCAATGTCTGTCCATAGAAATCAATGGTGCTTACATTATATTTCTAGTAATTAATGACATTTTAAATATGAAATAGATAAAATTCAATGAGGAACTACTCCTGGGGAAAAAAAATTAAGCCTCTGATGGTTTAACCTTGAGACTTGGAAATTATTAGGTAAAACTTTACGAGGCTGGGAAGGTTAAGAAATAACAATCACTTGGATTTCTTGAACGATTTTTACTGTTAGTAGGGTAGGATACTATAACAGAGTTGGAAGGGACTTTGGAGGTCTTCTAGTCCAACCCCCTGCTTAGGCAGGAAACCCTACACCACTTCAGACAAATGGTTATCCAGCATCTTCTTAAAAGCTTAATGAAGCTGAATCTTGAAAGCCTACCAATGTAGTTGTCCCAAATAGTTAATACCATGTGTTTTTAAGGCAGAGTTACTCCGAATCTCTTTTTCATGTTTCCCTGTTCCTGAATCTCTTCTCTAATGGCCCCATTTCCTTTCTTAATTTGTTGTGTGCCCAAAACCTGTTAAGCATTCCATGATACTAGGTTACTTCTGATAGGACCTGTCTCTTATGAAAAGTTGGTGAAACATCATCAGTCTTAAATATATTTAGGGGGGTAAAATCCATTTGTATTCTAGGCAAAAGCTGAATGTAAAGCTTTTTTTCTCTGATTTCAGAGATGGCCACCCAGTATTCCCAAAAGCTAAAGAACATGAATTCGTTGGTCTGAAGTCCATCAAACAGAATGGTAAGGGCATAATTTTGAACACGTTGACCCTCTCTGCAAAATAATATCCTAAGGATATGAATGATTTTCAAAAGAATGTCATACTGAGTTTAATAGAACTCCTTTGCCCAATATAAATAATTACTCCATAAGTTTGATCTAAATGAGAGTTTGGGGTTAGGGAGCAGACGTATTTCAAATATTTGATAATGTTTACTTGATACCTGAAGGAAATAATATAATTTTCATGGCCAGATAGTTTTATCTGTTACTATAAAATTAAAAATAATAATAAATCAATCTTGTTTTCTCCTCTGCCTTCCTATTTTTTAAAGGCTATTTTCAGGGAGAACTTTGTAGCAAAACAGAAAAGGGACCTGATAATTGCAAAGTAAGTAATCAAGAACATTATTTTGTATAATTTGCACTTATAAAACATGAAGCACAATGATGAATTATAAGATTATAAAATTACAGTCAAAAACACCTGAAAGAAATACACTGAACACCCTTAAAAGTAAAATAAGGAGACACATTTAGGAAGCTTTGTATTATAGAGCTCATTCATTCATTTATAGTTAGCCTGTTTATTGCTTTTTATCGTGAGTAAAGAATGACTGGGTATAATTAACTAGAAAAAAAGAGAAATATTTAATTACTAGTCAGTCAGAAGGAAATGCAGATAATCCTTGACTTTCAACCACAATCGAGCCCAAGATTCCTGTTGCTAAGTGAGACATTTGTTAAGTGAATTTTGTCCCATTTTATGACTTTCCTTGCCACGTTTATTAAGCAAATCACTGCAGTTATTAAGTTAGTAACACAGTTGTTAAGTAAATCTGGTTTCCCATTGACTTTGCTAATCAGAAGGTTGCAAAAGTTGTCACATAACCCTGGGACACTGCAGCCATCATAAATATGAGTCAGTTACCAAGTGTCTAAATTTTGATCACGTGATCATAGGGATGCTACAATGGTTGGAAGTGTGAAAAATGGTCACAAGTCACTTTTTTCAGTGCCATTGTAACTTCAAACGCTCACTAAACGAATTGTTGTAAGTCAAGGACTGCCTGTACACCTGTGAAATTAAGAGAAAGGATGTGCATATATCTGAAGGAAGTATGGATATAATAAGCTGAATGATCTTTTGGGTTGGAATTGAATTCAAGCAAAGAAATGTAGATTTAACCATGAATGAAAAGACTATGAATTGGTGTCATCTAGGTTTTTTTTGTAAATGTACATGAAAGCAGAAATCTATCCATTGGTAGTTATTGCATGTTATACTCTAGTGTATGCTGATAATAAGTTTGGGAAGAAAAGTGTGCCACACTCTGATTTAATGTGATCCAGAAATATATATTATTATGTGATACAAATGAGTGAGTGAGAACAAGACAACAAAGTACAAAAAAGTAATTTGAGCTACAAATGAGAATGGTCCCAGATAGCATCTGCTTAAAAAATATATCATTTTAAGATACGTGGTTTAATCATAAGTTTATTAGTTCATACAAATGGCAGTGGAATGAATCAAAAACCATAACTGCTCTGGGTGTTTATAATGAAAGATAGAAGGAATGATTGGTGGATACAATGGGATAAGAGGCTTGCCGCATGGATAAATCAATTTTTGGAAATTACAAGAATAGATCTTAGAAAAAAAAATAGACATAAATCTACAAAGAAATAGAGAAAAAATGTGAAGGGGGGAAAAATCGTAGGAAGAGAAAGTATGACTCCTGTATACAAAAGAGGATAATGACTGGAATAAATAAATGGAAAACAGACATAAAAGGGTGTGGAAGCTTCTTGGAACACAATGCAAAGAGTTATGTTGTAAAGTGCCACAGATGTATGTGTAATTATACCAATGGAAGGCATGAAAAGAATGATTGGATGTGAAAAATCTCATATAAAAGAATGTTGCAAAATGAGGGTGAAAGATGTTACATAATGCATAACGTAACATATTGAAAGTAAAACGGTAGTTGTCAAATAAGTAGTGAAAGATAAATGTGCACCTTGGTAGAATGTTAATAAAGGTAGGAAAATGGACGGATAAATAGCAACAGCACCTAAACCAGGGTCTGCAACCTTAAATACTCAAAGAGCCATTTGGACCCGTTTCCCACAGAAAAGAAAACACCAGGAGCCACAAAACCTGGGTGGGCGTGGCCAACTCAATGTCACTCACTTCCACCAGTCACATGACACACACCCCAGCCACACCTATCCAGCCGATCATTAGGGCAGAGAACCAGTTGTTAAAAAACACCGGGAACCACAAAATCCTTTTGACATATCTCTCTCTCCTCTCCCTCCCTCTCTCCCCCCCTCCCCCTCTCTCTGTATCTCTCTGTCTCTGCCCTGGCTGCTTCTCCATCCCCCGCCATCGCCCTTACCTTCTCAGGCCAGGAGAGGAGTGTCTGGGAGGGGAGAGCGAGGGGTGGGGCCAGCCAATGGTGGGATCACCTGACAGGGAGCCACAGCAGAGGGCCCAAAGAGCCACATGCTGCTCCGGAGCCACAGGTTGCTGACCCCTGACCTAGACTTATATACCGCTTCACAGTGTTTTACAGCCCTCTCTAAGCGGTTTGGATACACCGACCCAATTTTCAGGTATTAAGGCACCCATTTAATGCTCAGGTCATGCCATGTCTTATCTCAGTCTCACATGGGACTCTGAAAAGAGACACAACTGCTTTAAAGAGGTTCTGCATTTACAGGCTTTCAAAGAACTCTGGTAGTTCTTAGGATTTAATTGAGATTTTTTTAAAGTAAGCTAATGGATCTTCTGAATCCTTCTCATAGTCTAAGCAGTTAATCCTATATCACAAGGAGTTCTTCAGTTTAAAAAAGCTTAATTTGTCTTGGTTGTTCTTAGATTAATGGTGAAACAAGTAGCAGTCTTCAGCTGAAAAGCCTAACCCAGGATCTCATCTCTAAAGAAATGCCTCCAAGTGATACCATTTTTCAGGCCTCAGATTTTCCCAACTATAACAACAACAAAGGTAATGACACTGGGGTAAGATAGTCTATTTTTCTAAGTCTTAGGAGTTTTCTGGAATAGCACCCCAAATTAGACAGTCTGTTTGGTATAATGGTTAAGATGCTGACCTAGAAACCAGGAGACTGTGAGTTCTAGTCCTGTCTTATGCACAAAAGCTTAAGTGATTATGGGTCAGTCACTCTCTCTCTCAGACAACTCACCCCACAAGATGGTTGTTGTAGGGAAAAAGAAGAGGAATGAATATTATATATGTTCCCCACTTTGAGTTACTTACAAAGGCAGGATAAAAATATAATAAATAAACAACATTATGAGAATGATACTGTTTTTGAAGGATTCATCCTATATTAGTGTATGTTGTCACTATAAATTTTTAATCATATGCATCACTGTGTGCCCAAAGTGCGCAAATGCGTGGGCGCCCGACCCCCCCAAATGCAATGTGCGTGTGCCCCCCGCACGCGCCCCACCTTCCCGCTCATGCGCGCATGCTCCCCATGTGTGCCCCATGCATGTGTGCGCAGCCCCATGCACGCACCCCACACCCACATATACACAGACAGCCCCCCCACATGCACGGCAGAGACCCAATGACCAGCTGGCCAGTGGGAGGTACGTGCGCCTGCATGACGGAGCTGAACTGGGGCAATGTCTCACGTGCCCACAGAGAGGGCGCTGCATGCCACCTGTAGCACGCGTGCCATAGGTTCGCCATCATGGTTATATCATCTTTGGGCCAGGGCTTGACATCATCACCCTAGGATGATGTAATACAGAATTCATACATAGCACATCAGAAAAATAGATCTATTCCCAAGAAAGAATCACAATCAGTCCTTAACTGAAACTTTTTGTATTATCTTGATTTCTCCTCAGCAATAATATTTTAGTTTACTTTTTAAGTTTATTTTGGATTTATATACTGCCCTACTCCCGAAGGACTCAGGGTGGTGAACAGCCAAAGATAAAACACATATAGTATAAAATTTAAGAAACAATTTAAAACACATTAAATAAATTTGGCCCAAACTGATTAAAACACCCCTGTTTTTTAAAAAAAACAAATTAAAATTAAACAAATAAAAGGAGTTAGGCCAGCCCAGCCTGCTGGAATAAAAAGGTCTTGAGGGCACGGCGGAAAGTGCATAAATCCGGGATATTCAAGTTCAAACGTTCAAATTTTCTTTATAGCAGAAGTCCAAGATGAAGATTCTTATGATGAGGATGATCACAATCAAGTTATTCAGTACCTTTTAGATGTTGTCGACGAAGAAGCTCAGAATCTGCTAAATCGTAATAATTCTGCATCTGAGAACCATCATGCAGGTACGGCTAAATTAAAACCTCAGGAAAACCAGGTTATAAGCTCTGACACCATAAAGTATGAGCAATTCCAAATTGATGTGATTTTACAAGATGGATTTTTCTGAGAGTGGAGCATTTATCAGATCATTAACATATACGGAGCAGATGTCTTCTCAATGCTGATTTGGTTTGCAAAAATGTTAAATTCTCGGGAAGCATTTTTCTAGTATTTGTGATGAATAGAGCCAGCGTTGGTTAAAGAAATCTTTGTTTTAAGTTCTTTGTCTTGAAACAGCTGCAACCCTTTGTCAATTAGTACTTCAATTACAGATGGGAAGGTCCAATTTAAAAACAAATCTGGAAAAGCAAAAATTAATGCATGTATGTTGGAAGTGTTCTGCATACCCTTTTTTATTCTTGAGAGAAAAAGGCTTTTTGGTAACGGTGTCTGAATTTTGAAGCATCTTTCTATTGGGAGTTTAAGAAACATAGGTTTCAATAGTCGTTTTGAGTTTCTGTGGTTTCATGCCAGTGTACTTGATCCTTTAAGATACTTGAAGGGACTTTTGACCGAGATTTCAGTTGTTCAGTTGTGCAACATTATGCATGGAGTTGTACAAAGGTCTATATTTTGTTGTTTTTCACATTGTCCTCTTCTTTTTGCACTTCTTTGTTTTGTCTTTTTTTTATCACAAAAAAACCTTCATGGAATGGGGGAGCAGCCTTCAGCATGTCTGGCAGACTGCAGTTTCTAAAATCCCCCAGGATTGTCCTGTTGCAATGTTGGTGGCAAACTGTTGACTAACAACAACACAATTTCCATGTTTTTTCAGTACGAAACAAGAGGATTAAGTCTCCAAGACTAATGTGGGTTTCTCCCCCGCCAACCCCACCAATCCCATCCATATTGTCCCTGTTCATTTTCCAAGTTCATCCCTAAAACATAATTGGGAGTGACTTTCTGGGTTTCCAGGCCTGCATTTATATTTGGTGTGTGAATTAAAGTCAACCTGTACTTTTTATGTTGGCGTTTTTTCCTACAGTGTGTTTCTCTTTCTGCAGAGACAAATGGGAAACTTTTGGTAGAAAAATCGGAGGACACAGACTATGATGGGTCATCTTTGCCTGAAGATTTTTCAGAGGTATCATAATTATTTCTATACTTTATTTTATTATTTTTTTTGAAGACCCAGAGCTTTTTTTACCCAGCATTCTCCTTGTCTTTGTTGGCTAAGCTCTCATCCTGTCCAATGAAGAGGTGAGCTAAATGTGTATTTAATATTAAAAAACAGTCCTCAATCGAGTCCTATCTTACTGTGCCTCAAAAAACTAATGCCAAACAAACAAACAAAAAAGTACCTAAACAGACACAGAGAAAGACAGACACCAAAGTGCTTAATTAATCAAAACCCTAATCCTCACTTCTTTATATTCCAGTGGATAAATTATAATATAATTATAAATTATAATTATAATAATCCCACAAGACAATTTCATCCATCAAATAACATAAGACTACCACAGAATGTAAAATGATGACCTAATAAAATTTGTCCCATTAATTTGTCCTCAGTAAAGTCGAATCATAACCTTAACTTCCTCATATCTTCAGTCAAAATATAACCTGTATAACCAATCATAAACTCCACTGAAACTCTTAATATAAATGTAACACTCTTGATGGAACAACTTCCTGCAAAACGGTCCGACAAGACCAAAAATTCATTGGGGGAGTTTTCTATTCATCACATAATTGAGCCCAGAATTACGGTCGTAAACTGTTGCAGTCATAAGGCAAGGCATTATGTGACTGGACCTGATTTCTTTTTTTTAAATTGTATGATAGTCATTAAGCAAATGATGCGGTCATTAAGCAAATCGATTTTATCCAATGGGTGTGGGGTGGGGTTTTTTGCCAGAAATGGGAAGTAAATGCCAAAACTCGGGAAAAATATCCCAGAAATTATGGTCACATCATGACCACAGGACACTGCAAACAGCCATAAAGGTGATTCCATTTCCAAGGCATAAAATGTGATCGTGTAATAGCAGGGGAGGTGCAGCCATTGTAATTTTGAAAACAGGTTGTAAGTAGTTTTTAGGGCAGGAGGTTCATTGTAACTTTAAAAAGTTGTTGTAAGTGGAGACTTACCGATATGCAAATAGGCTATATACCGTACTTTTTGGAGTATAAGATACACTTTTTTCTCCCCTAAAAGAGGGTGGAAATGTTGGTCCATCTTTTACACCGATTACAACCATTTTTGGCCTCCTGAAACCCCACCCCACGTGTCTCATTTTTGCCAAAAACAGGCCCATTTTTCACCAAAACGGGGCACACAGAGGGTTTGGGAAGCCTGCAGAGTGCTCCTGGGGGCCAGGGAAGGCAAAACCCAGACGCGCGGATGTTAAAAAAAATTTTCCCCCCCCCTTGTTTTCCTCTTCAAAATCTTGGTGCATCTTATACTCCGGTGCGTCTTATATTCTGAAAAATACGGTAATTAAAACATTAGCAATCTTTCAGCACCATGTCAGGTTGGCTGAAATTTTACTAAAATAAACCTATTGCAGAAAGGCAGGGAAATTTCTTATAGTCTGGAAATTCCCTTTCCCTTGTTTGGTCTGTAGTTGATTGCAAACTTTTCTAATCTGCCTTTTCCCTTAGCAGACCCAAATAAATGGCTGTGAAGAACATTGCAATGGCAACAGGATGTGTGAACGGTGAGTCTTTTCCTAGGGGATATAAGAAACATTTATAATGGGAATGGTAGGTTATACCTTTTGGAAATACCCAGGAAACCACAGAGATTTTGAACGCAAATTGTAAAAAGTTCCAAAAGAGAATGGGACAGTGATTTTTATTTTTTTATTTGTTGGCTAACAAGATAATCAAACAATGCCGACTGGCGGCCCCCAGGGGGAGAGCCTTCTCTGTGGGGGCACCTACTATCTGGAACGAGCTCCCCCCAGAGATACGGAGGATCCCGGATCTGCGCACCTTCCGCCGCGCTTTAAAGACCTTACTATTTCACCAGGCCGGCCTGGCCTAATTTTCCCCCTCTTTTATAAAAGATTTTTAATTTTTAAATATCTTTTAGTATTTTATACATTCAATTTTAAATTGGTTTTAAAAGTTTGGGGTTTTAAATTTGTCGGGGCCAAAATTATTTAATTTGATTTTATTCTACTTTTAAATTTTGTATGTATGTGTTTTATTGTTTGGCTGTGCACCGCCCTGAGTCCTTCGGGAGTAGGGCGGTATAGAAATCAAATTAAATAAATAAATAAATAAACTGAAGCCTTTCCCAAATTAACTATGATTACTCTTTTTACAAGACATATTCGTTTCAGAAAATGCCTATCAGTTATTCATCTCTTCCAGTTTATGGCAAAATCTTTACCTATACTAATCAACCAGACTCAATAGTGGCCTGTTTTTCTTCACTGTTTCAATATTTACTTGATGGCCGCAAACCAAAACCATATAAACTTCTTGAAATCAGTGAGCTTGAACATGCTTACCTGCCTTGGATTATTGCCTTTTCAGTAAGAAATCATGATTTTTTCCATTTGAGGATTTAGCAGCAGCAATCCGTTCACTAAAAAAACGATGCAATCCTTTTAATATCAGTAATGGAGGTGATGGATTTATTTTATTGGATTTCAGATAGCAGGCTACAGGACTCAGCTTTCTCCTGCTACTTTTAGGTTGTTCTTTATTTTTGATCCCCTTTCATGAAACACCCAGTAAGGTGATCTGTTAGAATGTAGGTGACATATATTTTTTTTAAAAAAAACATGCCTTTTTTAATACGCAGCATTCTGATTAAGAAAATAATTCCGTTACACTTCATAACCTCTATCAATTAAAATTATTATTGACTTTTGCGAGAGAGATATCTTATTTTTTTGTCTCAGAAGAATGTATTTTTCATATTTTTCCAGATTACCTCAGCAACCTTTGATAACTCAGGAAGATGATGATGATGTTACTTGGGGAAGTGAGGAGTTGCCCATTGAATCAATAAACCAGCCACAGTCTGTTAAAGGTAGGCAGCCATTATTGTACTCTCCAAATGGCTAACTGCTAAAATCTCAGCATTTGTCATATTTTAATGTCAGTCAGTCCTGGAAACAGTAATATTGATAGTAACAAACTGGATTTCTAGTTGTAGAGTTTTTCAAAGAATAAATTTCGTCTCCACCTGGCAGTAGAATCCCTGAGGATTAATTCCTGCCATATTCAAGAACTATCTGGAATTCTCTATCTAGAAAGCTACCTTAAACCAACTGTTGTCATCTTCAAAGATGCACAGCTCTGTTCAGAAAGAGACACACTCCAAAATATCAGCAAGATCAGGACAGAGAACTATGAAATGCTGAAACAAATTAAATTGGATTTGATGTACATTTAAATGTCATTAGTGGCTCCAATCACTTTTCAAATATTTAATCTCTTTTCTGTTGTTCATGTTAAAAATTAGGATTGGTTGACAATTTGAGAATTCCTACCAAGTTGTGACTTACTGAAGCTCACAAATGTTTGGGCAATAGGCTTCTCACTTTATTGTTTGACTGTACAATGTACTGAAGCAGGAAAGAGCTACATGTCAAATTTGTGATCCTCTTGTATCTTGTAATGATTGCTCATAACTGATGTGTTACTTGATGCATGGAACATTAAAAGCTGGAGGAAATGTAGGTCTACAGTAATGGCCAGAATTGTGAAAACCTTTTGGGAAAAGTGTATTTTCTAAAACTAGCTAATAACACCACTTTTTTTGGAGTAGTACCATAAAATTATATATCAATGGAAAGATAATTTAATCAAGAATGTAGTGCAATAACTTTTATGAAGGATTTGCTATTAGAATGGCAGTTACAGTATAAAGAAGAAAAGTGAAACACGTAGAAAAAATGAGATATACAAAAATTATCACCATGTCAGTTAATACTTAGTTGGGTAACCTTTAGCATGAATGACGGCCTTACAATGTCTTCCCATGGAGTGAACCAAGTCTTTTAGTTCTGCAGCTATTATAATGTGAAACCAAGATTGAATGATTACTTCTATTAACTGGGTTTTATTGGCGGGTCGCTTCTGACTAACAAGTTTCTTTAGTCGGCTCCATAGATTTTCAATTGGGTTAAGGTCTGGGCTATTCCTAAGCCATTCCAGCAGTGGAATATGATTATCTTGAAACTCCCCAAAAAAGTGGTGTTATTAGCTGTCAAACCTCAAAAATACACTTTTCCCAAAAGGTTTCCACAATTTTGGCCACTACCATAGGTCTATCTATCTAGATTCCCACTGTCAATGAGAGGCAGACAATTAGTGAAAGTTGAGGTAATTTAGAATCATCCCATTGCCACCAAATAGTATTTTTCTGGGGCACTTAATGTAATTTTAATAGGACTGAAAAAACTCTGGATGATTGTTCTCACTCTTTGCCATCTAGTAGTTAGCTGATTTGTGCAGCTAGCTCAAAGCTGATAGCTCTAGTTTTCATAAGAGAAATGTTCCCTTATTCTGGGGTAAATCTCCTAAAGTGATGGACAGAAAGAGGTTTGCTTATAATATTCACAACAAGGCTGCCATAATCAATTGGCTGATGACGAAACATCCAATTATTGAATGAAGAGTTTCCTGTATCTCCTGCTTCCATCTAGTGGCTGCCCAAATGTTGGTAGCTCAGATGTGATAACTCTACATTTACCAGAAGGCAAAGTAATTAGACTGGTCCTTCCTTAAATTGGCCAATTACGTCCTTTCAATTTATGGACGTAATTGAGGGTTTTCATTGTGAAAGAGAGAGAAAAAGGATTGTGATAGATCAGTTGTGGAAAGAAACAACTTTTTTTGTAAGTATGAAATAGGTTTTTAGATGTTGTAAATTGAATGAAAAAAAGTGTCGTGGTAAGGGTTAAGCATTGAATGTGAAGGTTTAATGCTTAAGAGTTGTTTACCACTTGGGTTATTTATGGGAGCCTTTATAAAGGTTGTCAACATAGTATGTTTTAATCAGCCTCTGACAGCCTGCAAACTATATCATGGTGACCACTGTTACTATAGTTCATAAGTTAGCAGCATCGTAAGGAGTTTTTATGTGGATTTTTATCGACACCAATACATCTATCTACTTTCTGTTCCAGACTGCCCATTAATCACCAATGAAGAACTTGCTGCTCTTCCAGTAGTCCAAATTTTTCCTTCAGGCAACTACACAGGAACCAAATTAAAATCAACTACTCAGAAGTTACGAGGCGTGCTGGAACAAGGGGTCCCATCTAAGGAGATTGAGGTGAGAGGAAGTTCTGTAAAGCCAACCCCCAAAAACGGGAATAAATACTCTGTTGTCCTCCCTTTGGCTTCAGTGGGAAACCTGAGGATATTTTCAATTAATGCTTTTTTTTTCTTACTACAACTTACAATTAATGTGTCAAGTTTCGAGGTCGTCTCAAATAAATTGCATTTCAAACGAAGTCTTTGAAGAAAACTCCCATTTATTAAGCACGACATTGAAAGCCCGACTCATCGTAGCCAACACTGACTTCCAGACCCAAAACCCTCCCTTTCCGTTCCCCACTCCCCTGCACTCATTGGCCATCTTCCAAGTCACTCTACCCCTATCTACTGCTCCAACTCAAAGGAATTTCCCCCCTCCCATCCCATCTCCTAGAGGATATTATCTCCAGGGAAAATTAAGTAGGTGAAAAGTCAAACGTCCCTTTCCAGACGCCTCCGCTCCTCCTTCTTATGTCAGCACTAGAGTAAATGCAGCTTGAAGTGCTGACATCATGTTTTTTCGTCCCTTAATACAAGTAGTCCTCGACCGTAATTCAGCCCATAAGTCATGAGGGTCGTAAAAGCAAGTCACCATGTGACCACATCCAGTTTTATGATCTTTTATGCGATGGTTTTAAAGCGAACGACGCAGGTGTTAAGCAAACCCATCATTTCCTTTGGGGCGGTTTTTACCAGAAACCAGAAGTAAATGCCCGTTTCCAGCAAAACAAATAGTAAATTACGGTTGTGATTGCAAGGCGCTACAAAGGGCCATAAATACAGGCTGGTTGCTGAACGCCCAAATTATGGTCACATGACTGTGGGAGGCACCCAGATGTTGGAACTTCAAATTTGGGCCACAAATCACATTTTGCAGGTCCATCATAATTTTGGAAGGTTGCTAAGGGTCCGGTCGTAATTCAAGGACTACCTGTAGAAGAGTATATTCGTAGCTCAGACTTAGTGATGATGATGTTGGCTACCTGGGTAACGGAACACCTGTAAGCCAACCACAAAGAAAAGGAGCCTTGGTAGTACAAGGGTTTAAGGCACCCTGTTATTAAGCTTATTAAGACCAGCTGCCTGCAATTACTGCAGGGTTCGAATCTCGCCAAGGCTCAAGGTTGACTCAGCCTTCCATCCTTTCTAAGGTAGGTGAAATGAGGACCCAGTTTGTGGGGGCAATAAGCTGACTTTGTATAAATATACAAAAGGATGAAGGCTATTGCTTAGCGCATTGTAAGCTGCCCTGAGTCTCCGGAGAAGGGCGGCATATAAATCAAATTAAAAAAAAAAAAAAAGAAAGAAAACTCCACTATTTTCTTTGTTTCCTTTGTTCATCAGAATCTTTGTTCATCTCAACCTGTGCTAAGAAAGTTTGCATGCATGTTTAATTTTCCCCCATTGTCAAATTCTTTACACCTGTACACCACTTCATTATAAAAATACAGGTAGTCCTTGACTTACATCCATTTGTTTAGTAACCATTCAAAGTTACAACAGCACTGAAAAAAGTGACATGGCTGTTTTCACACAACCGTTGCAAAATCATAACATCATGTGATCAAAATCCGGATGCTTGGCAACTGGTTCATATATATGATGGTTGCAATGTAACTCATTTAACAACTGTCAGAAAATTTGAGCTCTGTTGTGGTCGTAAGGTGAGGACTACCTGTAATTTGGTGCCAACAGGAACCCAAGTTTCCATGAATATCATGGAAAATTCCATGAATATTTTGACCAGGGATCTATTGGGCACCAAACAAGATGTCCATAGGTACTGGGGATCTCGTAGGTATAAGATTACTTGGCACTAGAGAAATAAGAACATTGTTGAAATTATTCAGTCATTTTATAAAATATCAATTATTTTCTACATTTGCTACTCCGCTAAATACTCCCATATTTTATTGCCATCATTGTTTCCATGGTTCTTTGTCATTTATACCTTGTATAATTATTTAATTGCAAGTTCTATTCAGGAGAGTATTAATCTAAAGCGCTAATTGAATAAACTAATTGTTCATTATCAAGCTATTAAACTAAACTTTATCTCACACTTCAAATCTTTCAGCCATCTGTGTTGACCTGGGTGATATAGACCATATTTAATGTAATATATTCTTCTTTAAAGGCAAAAGAGGACTTAAACAATTTTTCATCCATTTAGGAATATTTGTCATTACAGAGTCTTCATGATTTAAAGCCACTGGATCAATGTTTGGTTGGCCAAACGAAGGAAAACAGAAAGAAGAATAGATATAAGAACATTCTGCCTTGTAAGTCTTGATTTCCAAAAGCCCTCTTATTATTTAATTTATTCTTTTTAATTCTTGTAGTCATTAATGACTGCCTTTGAGACAGCAACAGATGGAATATTTATGTCAGAAGATTACCTGTAGAAGTATGGCTGAGTTCTCTTCGAAAATTAAACCATTTTTTAAATAAAAAAAACTTGTTGCATAAATCATTATGCTAATTCTTCGGTTTAGTATAATAGTGTCATATTTTTAGGGTGGGTACACATGCGGGAATAATTCAGTAGGAATTATGTCCTAGGGAAATAATAATAATTTAGCAGTCAGTGATATTGCTCATAACTATAAACTTTACATGCAGTTTTATTTCTTAATTGCATATGTTTATGTGGAAGCAAGCTTAAAATCCCCCACAGTCCATCTGTGTGTGTGTATGCGTTTGAGTCAATTTTAACTCCTGGGAACTTCCTGGAGAAATCTCTGCAGTTTTCCAGACAAGGCTTTTCAGAAGTGGTTTTCCATTGCCTCCTTCCAAGGCCTGAGACAGAGTGACTGGCCCCAGCTGGCTTTGTGCTTATCGTAGAACTAGAATTCACAGTCTCCTGGTTTCTAGCCCAGTGCCTTAATCACTACACCAAACCTGTTCTTGTAATTAAGATATAAGGCTGGAAATAATACTATAACTAGAATAGAATATAATTCTTTATTGGCCAAATGTGATTGGACACACAAGGAATTTATCTTTGGTGCATATGCTTTCAGTGTACATAAAAAGACAAGATACATTCATCAAGAATCATAAGGTACAACACTTAATGATAGTCATAGGGTACAAATAAGCTATCGGGAAAAAATCAATATCAATATAAATCGTAAAGATACAAGCCACAAAGTTACAGTCATGCAGTCATAAGCGGGAGGAGATGGGTGATAGGAACGGTGAGAAGATTAATAGTAATAGTAATGCAGCCTTAGTAACTAGTTTGCCAGTGTTGAGGGAATTAGTTGCTTAGCAGAATGATGGCGTTCGGGAAAAACTGTCCTTGTGTCTAGTTGTTCTGGTGTGTAGTGCTCTATAGTGTCGTTTTGAGGGTAGGAGTTGAAACAATTTATGTCCAGGATGCCAGGGGTCTGTAAATATTTTCACAGCCCTCTTTTTGACTTAGTATAAGTACTGTATTTTTCGGAGTATAAGATGCACCTTAGTTTTTGGGGAGGAAAATAGAAAAAAAAAATCTGCCTACCAGGTATTCATCTGGCTAGCGTCCTTAGTCTGGTCAGCTTCAGCACATTAGTTTTGTTGGGTGGGCATTAAAAACAGCTTCTAAAGTAGAGCTGATCGTAGCAAAGAGAAGCAAGGAGAAAAGCAGGTGAAGCGTGGAAGATTGCTTCACTTGCTAGCGCCCTGTTAGGGCTGAGAAACAGCTTCGAAAGCACAGCTGATCGTTGGAGGGAGCAGCAATGAGAAAAGCAGGCGAAAGCGGAAGTTTGCTTCACTAGCTAGCGCCTCGTTAGGGTTGAAAAAAAGCTTCAAAAAAGCTACTTTCGGAGTATAAGATGCACCGAAATTTACAGCCTCTTTTAGGGGTGGAAAAAGTGCATCTTATACTCCAAAAAATACAGTACATGGAATTAAAATGTTAGCATATTCTCCCCACTTTTCTATTGTCCCCTGTTCCCTTCCTCTTCCTTTTTGGTCTTACCTAGCTTAGATTTTAAATTGGTAAGTGGTAAAATTCCATCCTTATTGCTCAGTTGGTAATAATAGTGACAATTAATGAAGACCATCTCCTTCTCTGTTGGAAACTGCAGATGACACCACAAGGGTGCTTCTTGGACCCGAAGGCGGCTATATCAATGCCAGTTTTATCCGGATGCTGGTGGGGACAAAGGAATATCTTTACATAGCATGCCAAGGACCCCTCCCTAATACAGTGGCTGACTTCTGGCAAATGGCTTGGGAACAGAAATGCACTCTTATAGCCATGATGACCCAGGAAGTAGAAGGAGAAAAGGTCAAATGTCAGCGGTACTGGCCCAACGCTCTTGGCAAAACCACAATGGTCAGCGATAAACTCCGTCTTTCTCTGGTGCGGCTGCAGGAACTCAAAGGTTTCATCATTAGAATCATGGAACTCGAGGACATTCAAGTAAGGCTCTTGTCTTGAGGGTGGTTTTATGGGAGAAATCAGAGGGGGGGAAAAAACCCTCACTTCTGTTCCTCTTTCTTGCTTGTATGGATCCAAAACCTGCTGAACTAATTTCAGAAGTTGCCATTGGGGACAAAGGATTCAGAGAGGATTCATTTGCACAGTTGTTGAAAATAAATTCAAAAATACATAAAATACTCGTAGTCCTTGACTTACGACCACAATTGAACCCAAATAATTCCGTTCCCAAGCAAGACATTTGTTCCGTGAGTTTCGCCCCATTTTACAACCTTTCTTGACAATTTTGAATCTGCAGTTGTTAAGTTGGTTAGTAACATGGTTGTTAAGTCAATCTGGTTTCTTCATTGACTTTGCTTATCAGAGGTCACAAAAGGTGATCCCATGACCCTGGGGCACTGCAACCGTCATAAATATGAGTCCATTGCCAAGCATCTGAATTTTGATCACGTGACCATGGGGATGCTGCAATGGTCATAAAGTGTGAAAATGGTTATAAGTCACTTTTTTTCAGTACCGTTGAAACTTCAAACAGTCACTAAATGAGCTGTTATAAGTCAAGGACTATCTGTAGAAGTGCTTAATGTTTGAAGAATGAAATATTAATATTAAATATTAATATTTTTAATATTTAATTAATATTAAAAAATTATGAGCCAAGGTCTTATTTGAAAATCAAGAGGTGGTTGCAAGCTGTAATATAGCAAACTTCTAGAGTATAACCATGTTTTTACTTTGATTATATTTTGAACATCTGTTCAAAATAGGTGGTCCTCAACTTACTACCATTCATTTAAAAATGGTTCAAAGTTAAGACAGCCTCAGAAAAAGTGACTTATGACTATACTCACACTTACGACCATTGCGCCACTCCCAAGGTCACATGTTCACAATTTGGGTGCTTGGCAGCTGCTCCACATTTATTATGAGTTGGAAATCCTGATTCTCATGTGACTTTTTGCTGATTTCTGGCCAAAAAACGCCCATTGGGAAAGCTGGATTTGTTTAATGACCGCATGATTTACTTAATGACTGTGTGATTCATTTAATGTCCCTCATAAAAATGATTGTGAAATTGGCTCCAACTTAACTTATGATTGCAATGACTTAGGATGGAAATTCCGCTTCCAGTTGTGGTCGTAAATCGAGGACTACCGTTATTACAATGCTTGTAGTCTCCCACTCTGTCTCTTGAGATTCCATTTGCTAAACCTACCATTAATCTTTAATAACTGCTAGACATTTCTGCTTTACTCATGGTATTCTTTCCCCATTGTTGGAACTCAGGGCCCTCTGGCTAATATCCACCATGTTAAATTTCCCATGGTTCAACATAGGAGTGATCTAGAACCATTCTAGGCTGAAGGTAGCTGAGAAGTTGGGGAGCTGAGTCTCCATACATCTGTTCTGCCCCAGCTACGGATCCCAAGGAATGTAGGACACACAAAATTCCAAACAACTCGGTTTACTACAAACACAGTCTTTTGCAAATGCAGGCTGTTAATAAAACATCCTTAACAACCTGCCAGAAATTCCACAGATGAATTAAAGTCTTACAAGAGTTGGCAATTAGCCCAGAAGCCAGGTTTGCAGAGAAAATCCAAACTCAATGATCAGCGAACTAACGAACGTTGTTTCCTGCAACGTTTACAAGCTGTGTGCAAACTTAAATAGGCTAAGGGAGTGGCCAATTAGCCCCAAGCCTTACTCTAGAGGAGACCTCCTCCTGAGTAACCACTCCTGCCTTTTGGCAGCTCTGCGTGCCCGTGCATTGAGAAGAGGCTCCTCCACTTCATCCTCTTCACTTGAAGGAGCCTCTGGAGGTTCTGAAGGCCCTGGCTGAATCTCTGCCTCTGGCACCACATCCTCTTCAGCCTCCTCGCTGTCCGACTCGAGCGCCAGCTACACAGGCTGCTGGCACGACACCACACCAGCCTCCTCGTCATCAGGATCAGCAACAATCCGCGCAGGCCGCTGGCGGGCCACAGCAACATCTGGAAGATGCTAAGTTGAAAGAAACTGTAATGATGGAAAGAGAACTCAGCTATGGATTGGATTTTTTTAAAAAAAAAAAAGTTAGATAGGACTCTTAGTCCTTGTTGTGAGATTTGTTCTCTTCAGGATACTTGCTGGTCTTAATTTCTCTGTATATGTTCTTGTTTGAATTTCAAATCTACAGACAGGTGAAATCCGGCATATTTCCCATTTAAACTTTACTGCTTGGCCAGATCATGACACACCATCTCAACCAGATGATTTGATAACTTTCATCTCCTACATGAGGCACATCCACAAATCAGGACCCATCATTACTCACTGCAGTGCAGGCATTGGGCGATCAGGGACGCTTATTTGCCTTGACGTAGTCCTGGGTTTAATCAGCCAAGACCTCGAGGTGAGTAAACCTACATGAAACGTCCTCCAATCCTTCAAATTTGAGATTATAATTCACGAAATTTTAGGTGGCCATCTGCTATATGGTAATTCTGGTTATCCAAACTCATTTGAAGAATTCTAGATTGGGGAAGTGTATCTTAATTATTCTTAACAATGGATATTGAATTAGTTTATTGATATACATCTGGCTCATCACCCTTTAGTCTGTTTTTAAAATCTCCATTGGCTGCACAGTACAATTTTAATATATTACCCATGAGAAATGTTTCAGAAGTTTTTGGATTTTATTAATATAAGCTCCTTGTCTTCTGAGTCAGATGCCTTGTCCCAACGTTGGTAAAAGGTAAAGGTTCCCCTCATACATATGTGCTAGTCGTTCCCGACTCTAGGGGGCAATGCTCACCTCCGTTTCAAAGCCGAAGAGCCAGCGCTGTCTGAAGACGTCTCCGTGGTCATGTGGCCGGCATGACTAAATGCCAAAGGTGCACGGAATGCTGTTACCTTCCCACCAAAGGTGGTCCCTATTTTTCTACTTGCATTTCTTATGTGCTTTCGAACTTCTAGGTTGGCAGAAACTGGGACAAGTAACGGGAGCTCACCCCGTTACGCAGCACTAGGGATTCGAACTGCTGAACTGCCGACCTTTCGATCGACAAGCTCAGCGTCTTAGCCACTAAGCCACTGCGTCCCAACGTTGGAGTAATATGCAAATCAGAATGCAAATTTTAAAAGTTATTCATAGCTTCATCATGAACCATCAGAAGATGGCACCAAATGCAGACAAAATTCTTTCAACCGAGATATCTTGCATCTATTGGGATGTCCTCTGCTTTGTGAAGGCCAAGAGTCCTATTTGGTGCTGAGCATCAGTTCTAAACTTTGGGAGGGATGAATTCCATAAAAATTTCACAACGTGCAATTTAGATTGGGTGTCTTTTTTTTCTTCTTCTTCTTCATAGTTTGATATCTCCGAAGTGGTGCGGCTGATGCGTTTACAAAGGCATGGCATGATACAAACTGAGGTATGTTTATCCTGAATTGCAACACATGGTCCTGCTTCTCAGGTTTTCTAGTTTCTTAACATGCCCCAACAAGAGTCCTGGGAAAATGAAAGCAAAGGAGAAAATGGAAAGTGTATTTATTTTATTGGATTTCTTTATTTCTTAATAGCTGAGACTCTCTGGATAGTTTTATAATCATGGAAAATAAGAATAAAAGAATAAAACCATGGAATAAGACTTTACAAAGTGAGGGCAGTAAGAAGATAAACCAACATAAAACCAAACTGTAGTTCCGAGATCTATAAAATGCTGAGTTAAAAAAAAGAGGTCAGGAAATAAATGTCTTCATATTACGTTGTAAAATGAGTAACAATGAGACGAGGGAAGGACTAAGAAACAGCTGTGCAAAATATGGTTGATTCTGTCTCAGCTTTTCAAAGCCGCTATGTCTGCATTACAGAAGATGTAGCTGCTTTAACCTGCTTTGCACTAACCTGCTTTGCAAAGCTCTTGTTTTGAAATATTCTGCATAATTTTAAAATAATTATTTATATATCATATTTGGAAACCACCCAGACTCGTTCCATAAGGAAGATGGGTGGTTTCTAAATACGATATATTAAATAAATAAATGTTTATATTCAACTCCCTCCGGAAGGAAAGGCTGAAATTCGGAAGATAAAAATTAAGTGATGGAAAGGAACTTTCACCCATGCAAATTTCTCACACTTCCTTCCCTGTGACTTTTTTTTTTTTTTTAGAATGTTCCTGGGACTATACAGTTTTGTGAGATTAGAAACTGAAGTGAGAAATGCCTTGCACTATTGCAGCCAAGAGATTTTATATATTGGCTACCCATACATTTTGCAACCTCCCATGAAACACATCCAAAAGATGCAATCCATCTTTTGCTGAGGGTGAAGAATGTTGTGTAAGGAAGGGTGGGAATCCGTTAAGCAGAATTTTCTCGGTCACAGCCAAAACGTGTCTCTGTTTGGCATTGGTATTCTGTGAGAATATGCAATAATTCCTTCCTTTTACAGGACCAATACATTTTCTGCTATCAAGTTATCTTGTACGTCCTAAGACGTCTTCAAGCAGAAGAACAGCAAAGAAACAGCTGAAATATTGTGCCAAAAATATGCCCTTGGATACTTTGGATGTATTCACATTAAAGATTGAAGCTGGTTTAACATTTGTACCATTTCCATGAAAGATGTAGATCAACGAAAGAAAAAAAGAATTGTGATTGACAAATGCTTGCACACACTTTCTTCAAACTGCAGTTCCCAAGATTCTTTGCGAGTGGACTATAAGCAGCTTTTGCCAACATTATTCCAGTTCCAGTCTCAATTAAGCATCAGGTACCCCTAGGAATGCTCCTTCCTTTGCATAGGTGTGGGCACTTAAGCATCATTTATATACATTTATATTTAATTGTGCTGCATTTTTGCAGCTTTTTCAAATCATTGAAAGTAATTGACATGTTAAAAACATTTTTTAACATATACTCATGCTTCTTGCAGATTATTTTCCAGTTACTTATATAATGTGGAAGCTATTTTTGGGGAGGGGAATAAAACAGTATTTTATCCTGATGGATTTTCTGACAGTACATTTTTATCTGGCTATTTTTCAAGTGTGTTTATAACAGAGCTGTCTTTTTTCCAACAATTGTAATATTGTAGAGATTTCTATAGAAAATACTTGAAATCAGTATTTAAGCTTTACTTATTCGTGTATGGGAAAATAGCAAATATTTACTGTATCACATGTTACAATGTTTATATCAAGGCTTGTGTATATATTTATATACTTTTACAAAAAAAAAAGGTGAATTATCAAATATCTAAACTTCTAACTGCTGAAGCATTTCCCCGGTGTAAATAAAAAGTCACTTTTTAAAATATGTCATGTAATAACTCTGTTTTGTGTCCATTAGATCTGCTTGTTTTTCAGTTTCAAGTGACTTCTAGCCTTTTCAAGAAAATTTCAGTTGAAATCACTTCCATACTTATTTTCAAAGTATCTGAATTCTATAAAACGTGGACATTGCCATGGAATCAATTATCCCCCCTCATTTTTTACACTGCTTGCTATGTGATTTATAGCTCTTGAAATACCACTAGTAATTGGCTGCAGTCTGCTAACTTTTTTTTCCTATGCACACAAACATAAAGGAGGGATGTTCAGTTATCCACCATTTCTATTACCGTGTTTCCCCAAAAATAAGACCCTGTCTTATATTTTTTTGAACCCCGAAATAAGCACTTGACCTTATTTTCAGGGAGGTCTTATTATTTTGGGGTGCATGGAGGAAACCAGAGGAAACGGCAGGGACCAGTTGCACATGCGTTTAAATATTTTTGGGGAGGGCTTATTTTACTGCATGCGCTCAAAAGCCGGATTGGGTTTATTATCAGGGGATGTCTTATTTTAGGGGAAACAGGGTACTTAAGAATGCTATGGGTCCAAAATAAGGTACAAAAAGGTATTTAGTTGATGTCCAAAAGAACTAAGTGGAGCTAGCTCAAGTTTCTTGGAACAGATATTCGTAATATGGGTGATGCCACTATGCCATGAGCAGAACATCTTGTGGACTATAAACAAATTTTCTCCAGCTGATCTTAATAGAAATAGAAGTCTTAATCTGACAAGTTCTTCTTTTTCCTAGTGTATTCCCGTAAGTGCAGGATCAGCTTTTCGGATCATTGAGTGCCACTTTGCACAGTCAGCTGTATCTCCAGGGTGCAGGCCCACACCTTACATATCTTTGTTGATAGTGTCTTGCCATCTCTGTTTTGGGCACCTGTTGTGACCTAGGCCCAAGTAGGTATGATAGAGACGCAATCAGTTCTAAACAAATAGATTTTATTAGAACAGCTGAGAATTAGCTCATTCTCACCGTAGCCCAAATTAATTCAAAACAAATTCTTCATAACACAGTCCTTCGGCCTTATCACCTACCTTGGTCTACTTTGGCAACCTGCCAAAGGCTTTTCTTGGCAAAAGTTCAGAAGCAGGAGACGCCGACAAGAAATAAATGTAGCAAGACAAGAAACTTGGCCTTACCCCCGAGTTGTCCTTTTTGCTTTAGCTGCTCTTGCCTTCTGGCAGCTCTTCTCATGCGTGCACTAGGAACAGGGTCATCCTGTTCCTTTGCCTCTCTACTGTCAGCCTCTGGAGGCTCCGGAGTCCGCACATCACTCCCAGATGGCCTTGGCCGCATCTCTGCCTCCGACGCAGAGCCCTCATCCAGGCCTTCCCCAGCCTCAAGGACTGGCCCATGTTCCTTCTCAGCCTCCTCACTATCCGACTCCGCTGCCAGCTCCGCAGGCTGCTGGTGGACTGCAACAGCACCCACGAGGTTGCCAGCCGTTGACTTCTAGTTGGTAGGTAATCTTGGCAACAATGGAAGGTACTGTTCTCAGGACATGACCATATCAGCAGAGCTGGCCTTAATCTGACAAATTCTTGGTCCTTATATTATTTCATACATGAAATTAGACCCAGTAAATTACAAGCAGCAATGCAGATCTTAGGGTCTGGGATTATATTATGTTTTGGTTGGTTGTTTTTTTTTTTTTTTTATTGGTTGCTTACAAATGAAACAAATATTCCATATCCAGAGGGAACATGCTAGCCTTTCGAAAGAAAAATAGCACAAAGCGTTTTGACATCAAGGCAAATAGATTTATTACTGCAAAGCTTGGAGGCTGCGGATCAGCATTAGTGCAACAATAAATTTGTTAGGTCTTTTAAGTATCCAAAGATTCCTTGTTATAATTAGAATATGTCATCTTCAGAGCTAAACAAATTTCCATCAGTCCTATCTTCATTTTCAGAAAAGTGTACATCCACAGCAGAGGAAAACCTTATCAACCAAGCTACCAGTCAAACTGGATTTTATATAGTTTATTCTTATAGATTAACATGATTCTCTCCCTCTCTTTGTGTCTGTGTTTGTGTCTGTGTGTTTCTAGCAATAAGAGACAAGAATATACTTGGTTCAAAAGCAGATGCTCCTTAATTAACAAGAGAATAGAGTATTGTTTTAAAATATATTCAGTACATATATTCAATTAAAAGGGTCTTGCGTTTTTACATTCTCCAATCTCATTTGTTTCATTTTAGCCAGAAGCAGAGTCCAAAAGCTTTTGCTTCTGCTTTAAGTTAATCAATTTAAATCAGAACTTTTTTTGTTGTTATTCTTACAGGGTACTGAGCCTTAATGCAAATCATCTGCTTTTGTAGAAGCAGAATGTTTTCTGGCGTTCTAAAATACTTAAAAACTGAATTATTTATTCCAAGAGATCTGTGGTGAATGATAAGACATCCACTTGGAGTGATTTTATAACATTCATAGTTTTAGAATTTTGTAGTTTGTTCCCACAATAAATGATTTATTTTAAATATTTGTCGTACTGTAAATAAATAAATAAATAAATAAATAATTTTATTTCTATACCGCCCTTCTCCCGAAGGACTCAGGGCGGTGTACAGCCTATTTAAAAACACAAAAAACACGACAACAATTTAAAATTTAAAATCATTAAATAATTAGGCTCCAATTAAAATCCCAGAAATTTAAAATACCCCAATTTAAAACGTTATGTTAATAGCCCTGCCTGGCGGAACAACAGGGTCTTCAGAGTGCAGCGAAACACCCGGAGGTCGGAAATCTTTCGTATTTCGGGGGGCAGTTCATTCCACAGGGCTGGGGCTCCCACAGAGAAGGCCCTCCCCCTGGGTGTCGCCAGCCGACATAACTTGGCTGATGGCACCCGGAGGAGACCCTCTCTGTGGGAGCGGACTGGTCGGTGGGAGGCTATTGGTGGCAGAAGTCGGTCTCGGAGGTACCCGGGTCCTATGCCATGGAGCGCTTTAAAGGTGGTAACCAACACCTTGAATCGCACCCGGAAGACCACTGGGAGCCAGTGCAGCTCGCGCAGGAAGGGTGTCACGTGGGCGCAACGGGTTGCACCCATAACCACCCGCGCGGCCGCATTCTGGACCAGTTGGAGCCTCCGAGTGCTCTTCAAGGGGAGCCCCATGTAGAGAGCATTACAATAGTCCAACCGGGAGGTGACAAGGGCGTGAGTGACCGTGCGCAAGGCGTCCCGATCCAGAAAGGGCTGCAACTGGCGAATCAGGCGAACCTGTAAACACAACAATACAATATTGTATAGTATGGACAATCAATACAACAAATGAGTGTTTTTCAACCTTGGCCACTTGAAGATGTAGGGACCGATGAAACAAACAATGTTAAAAAAGTTATATTTATGTAGTTACTTACCAAGCACATCTAAATTCTATTAAAGTAACCAGAATATCTTTACAATCGCCAAGGCATTTTTGTGCATTCTAATTTCCACCCACTTTCAAGTGGCCAACATTAAGAAACATTGCAATAAATAAATGTAGGGGCTCATCCATCATGGCTTAACATTTTGAATGAGGCCATCATAATTTATTCAACAAACATGACTAAATATCCTGATTATATTCATGTTGTCTGATGCTGGATAAAAGTTTGCTATTCATCCTGGTTTGATGAAATGAGTCAATTTCAAGTCATGGTCTGTGCTTTTAGCTTGTTTTCACAAATCATAGTTAAAGTGCATTTTTAGGAATCAGGGAATATTGCTAAACAGAGTTTAATTGAAATTCAATTAAAGCTTCTCATTTACTTCTTGGATGTGGCAGAAGCAGCTTGGGAACTCAAGAATTGCGGATGAACCAGAAACCAACTTCTCATGCCTTCCTCCTATAGCAGGGGTGTCAAACTCGCGTCGCCAAAGCGGTGTCACGTGACGTATCGGGACTTTTTTTCCCCTTCGCTAAACCGGGCGGGGGCACGGCCAGCACATGGCGCATTCTGCCCGTCGGCCGCAAGTTTGACAGTCCTGTCCTATAGAGAACCTTTAGGAATTAATGGCCTGTTTTCTTTCTTTTGTAATGTAACATGATGTTAGTAGATACATGCGATCAACTTATAGTTGCAGAAAATCATTTTGCTAGCCTGCTTGTGTTCATTCTGCTATTATGTTGATTCAGTCACCAGCTGGACCACAGTTACTCAGAGAAATACACCACAAATACATATACAGAGGTAAACAAGTTCTAGTCAGAACCACTAGGGGGCAGTGGTCTTCTCTCCAAAAAGATCTTGCGTTTTAGTTCAGCCTTTCCACCCCATGAAACTTTGCGTTGGAGTTCAGATTTCTCAAGTCTCTGGCGTTCCAAAATCCTCTCGGTCTCTAATGCTGCAACGCAGAAAAGTGCCAAAGATAAATCAAAGCATAATTAGTCAGCTCAAAAATTTATCATCCCCCAAAGTTTTAGGAGCTACCTTTTTGTTTTTTTCTAATGGTGAATTAAGGATCTATTCTATTGTCTACCCCTCTCAAAAGTTGACCAAGCAGGCAGTCACTAATTAAGTTGAAAACTCTGAACTCTGTTTAGAATTAAAAACTCAATTTAGCTGGAAAGCTAAACCATTAAGATTATACTGTGCATCTAAGCCAGTGTTTTCCAAACATGGCAATTTTAAAAGAAGTGGACTTAAATTCCCAGAATTCTCCCAGCTAGCATGAATTCTGGGATGTCCACATTTCTTAAAATTGCCAAGTTTTAAAAACACTGTTTTAAAAACATTAAAATAGGAAGTACCTATTTCGTACTTAGGTATATTTTCACAGAGGGCTGTGAAAATATTAACAGACCCCTCGCATCCTGGACATAATCTGTTTCAACTTCTACCCTCAAAACGATGCTATAGAGCACTGCACACCAGAACAACTAGACACAAGCAGTTTTTTCCCCCATGCCATCACTCTGCTAAACAAATAATTCCCTCAACACTGTCAAACTATTTACTAAGTCTGCACTACTATTAATCTTCTCATCGTTCCCATCACCCATCTCCTTCCACTTATGACTGTATGACTGTAACCTTGTTGCTGGTATCCTTACGATTTATATTGATATTGTTTCCTGATTTAATTTAATTTAATTTCCAATGATTGCTTATTTGTATCCTATGACTATCATTAAGTGTCATACTTTATGATTCTTGATGAACATATCTTTTCTTTTATGTACACTGAGAGCATATGCACCAAGACAAATTCCTTGTGTGTCCAATCACACCTGGCCAATAAAAATTCTATTCTATTCTATTCTATTCTATTCTATTCTATTCTATTCTATTCTATTCTAACCAATTGAAAAAAAGGCAAAATTTTAACTCAACCCTTCTCATCACTTAAGATATACTGCTCAAAAAAATAAAGGGAACACATGCAGAAGACATCCGAGATCTGAATGAATGAAATAGCCTTATTAAATACTTTGTTCGTTACATACAGTAGTTTTGTGTTCCCTTTAGTTGTTTGAGCAGTGTATAAACTACTGTATGTAAAGAACAAAGTATTTAATAAGGCTATTTCATTCATTCAGATCTCTTGTGTTCCCTTTATTTTTTTTTAGCATTATATAACCGCTTCCATCAATGGAATGACAAAAAACGTGCCAGAGTCATCGTCTTGTTCTTTATTATTTCTCTTTGTGTAAGTCTATTTATCTTAGACTTACCTTCTATCTTGTTTGCTTTTATTGTGAATCATCCAGAGGCAGTCTTTATTTGGGTGGTGGCTAAATTGAATTAATTAATCCTGAGTGAGAGAAGCTTATCATCTTCACTTGTTTTCTTCATGCCCCTGTCTGCCTACCAGGCTGCAAGATATCATACAAATCTTTTTGCCAAAAGTCTGAACTTGCAATCAGCCTTTAGACCTTAACCTGTGGAACGCAGGTAGGTCTCTTCTTATTGAAGATAGATCGTTGATGTGGGTGGTCTGTAACCTTAAGGCCCCAAATGACCCTTAAGTCGGTTTTCTGCAGCCCCAGCACTCTTCTGCCAAATATCTTCCCTTTTTATCAAACAGAAACCTATTCTTGATAGATAGAAGTTCAATATCTAAAAAATGCTATGGAGATTCTCATTCATCCAGGTCAGAGATCGGCAACCTTAAACACTCAAAAAGCCATTTGGACCTCTTTCCCACAGAAAAAAAAACACCGGGAGCCACAAACCCTTCCCGTGCCTGACTATTTCTTGAGTGGCCACAAAACTAGCATATGTGGTTGAATTAAACATTCTGTTTTCTTCTGAAACTTTTCTTTTCTTGGATTTATCCATGGTTGGCCTACTGGGGGTCGAAAAGCTCAATAAATCACATGCTGGCAGGTGTCGCACATTGGCAGTTGTGACGCCTACTTTGAGTGACGGGGAGTTGCAGCAGAGGGATGAAAGAGCCACATGCGGCTCCAGAGCCGCAGGTTGCTGACCCCTGATCCAGATCATGGTTGTCCCAAAGACGCTTTTTCAGGGGGCAACTTGGCTGTCTTGTTTTTTTTTTTTTAATTTGATTTATATGCCGCCCTTCTCCGGAGACTCAGGGCGGCTTACAATGCGTTAAGCAATAGCCTTCATCCTTTTGTATATTTATACAAAGTCAGCTTATTGCCCCCACAAACTGGGTCCTCAATTTGCCTACCTTAGAAAGGATGGAAGGCTGAGTCAACCTTGAGCCTGGCGAGATTCAAACCTGCAGTAATTGCAGGCAGCTGGTCTTAATAACAGGGTGCTTTAGACCACTGTACTACCAAGGCTTTCTTTGAAGATTTGCACTTCTCATCCAAGAAGCTTCTTCGGCTTTGACTGGATAGTGGGGAATGGAAAGATTTATACTCCTTGCAGACAAGCTGGTCATTTGCATCCTTTTTAGAGAGTCGTTGAGGCCACTTGGAGGTTTATCTGTGTCCAAAGGGTCACCTGAGGAGTGCAAATGTGTGTGAAGCCTTCTTGGCTGCAGGATGAAAGGACACAGGGCAGAAAGCATCTTGCAGCCAAAAAGGCTCCTCACATATTTGCACTACTCAGGTGACCCTTTGGACACAGATAAAGTGGCCTCTCTAAAACAGAGGTGTCAAACTCACATTGTCACGACGGAGTCATGTCAGTGGTGGGTTTTTTAAATTTTTACTACCGGTTCTGTGGGTGTGGCTTGGTGGGAGTGGCTTGATGGGCGTGGCAAGGGAAGGATACTGCAAAATCCCCATTTCCTCCCAATCAGCTGGGACTTGGGAGGCAGAGAATAGATGGGGGCGGGGCCAGTCAGGTTCTCCGAACTACTCAAAATTTCCGCTACCGGTTCTCCAGAACTGATCAGAACCTGCTGAAACCCACCTCTGCGTCACCTGACATATCGGGACTTTTTTTCCCCCTTCGCTAAATTGGGCGTGGGCATGGCCAGCGTATGATGCATCCAGCCCACGGGCCTGGAGTTTGACAGCCCTGCTTGAAAAGAAAGCAAATGACCAGCTGTCTGCAAGGAATATCAATCCTTCCATTCCCCACCATCCGGTTAGAAGTGAAGAAGCTTCTTCGACGAGAAGCGAAACGTCTTCAAAGGAAAACAAGGAAGTCCAGTTGCCTCTTGAAAAAGCATCTTTGGGACATCTAGAACATGATTTTTCCTCACCTGAGGAACCATCTTATTCCCATCACATCCGCCCACCGCACCCAATCAGGAAGAGAAGGTATGTTAGGGTCCAGGAAGAGAGCCTTCTCTACTGTTGCCCCTACCTAGGACTATCCTCCCCCCCAGAGGTGAGGTGCCTCCCCATTCCCCTAAACTTTCAAAAAATCAGGAGACCTGGCTCTGCCACTTCACATGGAGCATCAACCCTGGAGGTGGTGAGTGTCTTGTAACTCCTCTCCCTCTTTTGATTTTTAACTTAATTTTATCCTTGTTTTTACCTGGCTCCTTATTTTGAGGTATTGTACCTTTTATGTTTTTATGTGTTTAACTGTACACTGCCTAGAGTCACCCTGAGATAAATAAAAGAACATGAGAGCTCCATCTTTCCAGGACCTTCACGGCTCATCTAACATTTGCTTTCTGTCATATCATTATGATGTTTTTGAGACGCCTTCAAGCCATTGCGGCTTTCTCACAGTTGGTTCCCTACCGTGGTTGCTGAGCAGTATCCTGCCTCTGTATATCAATTCTATTGCCTTCTTGGAGTCTGTAACCCATCACCCACATCCACTCAGGGGTGGGCTTCAAAAATTTTAGCAAGGGGTTCTCTGCCCGGTTGCTGGGTGGGCGTGGCCATGGTGGGTGTGGCCTAGTCGGCCTCCTGCACTACAGCCAGGGAGGCATTTTTGCTCTCCCTGGGCTCCTGGGGCTTTTCTGGAGCCTCCGGGAGGGCGAAAATGGCCTCCACAGGCTCTGGAGGCCGGAAACGGGCCAGCCTTCCCGAACTTCTGGTAGACCTGTTTTTTGCCCTCCCCGAGCCTCCATGCATGCCCTGCACTTACCTGCCTCCAAAATGGGCCGCATAGGGACTCCGGGGAGAGGAGGGGAGGGGTGGGAGGGGCCAACTAGGAGTGGGATTTGAGGGTTCTCCGAACTGCACAGAATCTTAGCTAGAGGTTCTCCTGAACCAGTGGTGGGTTCCTCCCGGTTTGGTCCGGTTCGGCCGAGCTGGTAGCGGTGACGATGTAACATCACCAAACCAGTTCTCCCCCCCCGCCCTCCCACCCCCCCACCCTCCCACGTTATTCTTACCTTTTATTTGCCCCCCCCCAATCTATTGCTTCCTCCTGAGTCCCAGCTGATGACTAGAGGGAAAAAAACTGTTTAAACTCTTGCCGCGGGGCTTCAAAGGGCCGTCCTACAGCTGATCAGCGTTAAAAGCAAACAAATGAGTCGGGTCGTAAGTGCGAGGACTGGTCGTAAGTGCGAGGACCTTCCAGAAATGACTCTGACCAGCTAGCCACGCCCACCTAGTCACATGACCTCCAAGCCACACCTACAAAATAAGCCACGCCCACAGAACCGATAGTAAAAAAATTTAGAACCTACCCCTGTCCCGAACCCCTGAGAACCCCCAGCAGCCCACCCCTGGATCCACTAAATACATCAGCTTACATTGTAGAGAAGGGATTTGGACTTTCAAAAGAGTTGTCACATGCCGCAGCTTGAACGGAGAGCCCCAGCAGATTTCAAAATGAAGAGGGTTGGTTATTTTTTCCTTAAAATCTTTTGAGAAACGTTTCGTAAGCTCAGCAAATTCAACACGATCATGCCTGCAAGGTTAATGGCCATAGTTAGTAATAACTTTGCAAAACGTTTTGTCCAAGCACCCAAGAAATATGCAAAAAAACACGGGAATAGGTCTTCATCAAATGGGTATCGGTTACTAGGCATGAAATAAAGTTAATGGATAAGAGTCAACGCCAGGGGTGGGTTCTAAATTTTTTTACTACGGGTTCTGTGGGCGTGGCTTATTTTGTGGGCGTGGTTTGATGGTCATGTGACAATTCTTTAGGATTTAGCAGAGGTACTGGTCTACCAGGCTTTTAACTGCTTGCAGAGCTGTACCGGTCTACCCATTTGTTCTTGGAGCGTCCTGGTCTACCCATTTGTTCTTGGAGGCTCCGGTCTACCCATTTGTTTTTCGAGCGCACTGGTCTACCACCACACTGCCTTTTAACACTGATCAGCTGTCGGGCGGCCCTTTGAAGCCCCACGGCAAGAGTTTAAACAGTTTTTTTCCTTCTAGCCGATCAGCTGGGGCTCGGGAGCGAATAGATTGGGGGTGGGGCCAAATAAAAGGTAAGAATAATGCGGTGGCGGGCAGCTCCCGAACAAGAGAACCAGTTCAGTGACGTCATATCATCACCGCTACCGGCTCGGTGGAACCAGGAGGAACCCACCACTGGTCCACGCCCTCATTCCCTCATTAAGAGCCTGCCCCAAAGAAAAGGGGGTCAAGCTATTCTCCAAAGCATCTGAAGGCAGGACAAGAAGCAATGGATGGAAATGAATCAAGGAGAGAAGCAACCTAGAACTAAGGAGAAATGTCTTCTGGTACAAGAGCAAGAAATCACTTCTAGCCCGTGCTCATGCACAGAGGAGGCGTGTGCAAGTGAAGCGAGCATGCTCACACACTCATACACGCACTAACGTTTGTGAATCAGTAGGGAAGGTGAGTGAATCCCACCTCTGTGCCACCTCCATTATATTTCTAAAACGTAGTAAGAAATACATACACTGTGTAAGGGCTGGCTTTCAAAACGGATGTGACTTTCTTCTTCCTGTGTAAGTCATATTCCATTGCAGACAAATGGGAGTGTCTTTGCACACACAAATCAGAAGTAGTTGGGTAGCCTGTTGTTGTCTTCACCTGGACATGGAAAGTACATGGAATGTTTAGTTCTGGATTTTAGCACCATGTTCTAAATGCCTTCATCCAAGAAGCAGATTTGGAATGATTATAAAATACAAGATTGTATTTGGATTTTAATAAGCAGTGGGCCAAGAGATAGCAATTCCATAGGTGTCCCATAGAAGTCCTGCATATATATATATATATATATATATATATATATATATATATGCTGCCCTTCTCCCGAAGGACTCGGGGCAGCTCCCAACAATAAAATCACAATAAAACAGCAATAATAAATAAGATTAAAAGATTCAATTAAAATCCCACAATTAATTAAAACTCCCCAAACAGAATCAGACAATTTGCTTAAAAAGCTATGTCTTCAGGTCTTTGTGGAAGGAACGGAGATCAGGGGCCATCCGGAGCCCGGTGGGTAACTCGTTCCAGAGGATCGGTGGAGCCACAGAGAACGTCCTCATCCAGGGCGCCGTCAGCCAACATTGTCTGGCCGATGGCACCCGGAGGAGGGCAGCCCTATGTGAGTGCACTGGGCGGTGGGAGGCCGGTAGAAGGTGATCCTGCAAGTATATTTATCCATAAACATATGCAGTGAGTGTGGATGTCTATTGGAAAGTCTCAGTCATCCAGGTCATGATTGTCCCAAAGATGCTTCTTCACTTCGTCAATGACTTGGACGAAGGGATAGATGAGGAAATTTGCAGATGACACCAAGCTGGCAGGAATAGCCAACACTCCAGAAGTTAAGCTCAAGATACAGAAGGATCTTGACAGATTTGAACATTGGGAGCTATCTAACAAAATGAAATTCAGTGGTGAAAAAAGTAAGGTTCTACATTTAGGCAAGAAAAACAAAATGCACAGGTACAGTATATGTGGTACCTTGCTCAATAGTAGTAACTGTGAGAGGGAGTCCTAGTGCACAACCATTTAAATATGAGCCAGCAGTGTGCAGCAGCTGCCAAAAAAGCCAACACAATCCTAGGCTGCATAAATAGACGGACAGAATCAAAATCATGTGAAGTGTTAATACCACTTTATAATGCCTTGGTAAGGCCACACTTGGAATTCTGCATCCAATGTTGGTTGCCACGATGTAAAAAAGATGTTGAGACTCTAGAAAGAGTGCAGAGAAGAGCAACAAAGATGATTAGGAGGCTGGAGGCTAAAACATAAGAAGAACGGTTGCAGGAACTGGGTATGTCTAGTTTAATGAAAAGAAGGACTAGGGGTGACATGATAGCAGTCTTCCAATATCTCAGAGGCTGCCACAAAGAAGAGGGAGTCAAGCTATTCTCCAAAGCACCTGAGGGCAGGACAAGAATCCATGGGTGGAAACCAATCAAGGAGAGAAGCAACTTAGAACTAAGGAGAAATTTCCTGACAGAACAATGAACCAGTGAAACAACTTGCCTCCAGAAGTTGTGAATGCTCCAACACTGGAAGTTTTTAAGAAGATGTTGGATAACCATTTATCTGAAGTGGTGTAGGGTTTCCTGCCTAAGCAGGGGGTTGGACTAGAAGACCTCCAAAGTCCCTTCCAACTCTGTTTATTCTACTCTATTCTATAAGGCAACTGGACTTCCTTGATTTTTCCTTGAAGACATTTTGCTTCTCACCCAAGAAACTTCTTCAGTTCCCGATCCAGAAGCATCCAAGAAGCTTCCAAAGAAGGTATTTCTTGGATGAGAAGTGAAACATCTTCAAGGAAAAAAACCAAGAAAGTCCAGTTGCCTTCTGAAGAAGGTAGCTTTGAACAGCCAGTGTGAAATTACTGCTGAAGAATAAATTTAAGATTGTTGCCTTAATATCAGTTATAAATCCAGGCTACAAAGCCATGCATTGCCCACACAAATCGTCCCTGGATGGGGAGGAACAGGCTCCGACTCAACCCCTCCAAGACTGGGTGGCTATTGGGGGGCGAGACATTGGCCCCCACGGAGAGGGCACGTAACTTGGGTGTCCTCCTGGATGCACGGCTGTCTTTAGAAGAGCATATGATGGCCATGGCCAGGGGGGCTTTCTATCAGGTTTGCCTGATACGCCAGTTGCGCCCCTTTCTGGATCGGGACTCCCTATGCACGGTCACTCATGCCCTTGTCACTTCCCGCCTGGACTACTGCAACACTCTCTACATGGGGCTCCCATTGAGGAGCACTCGGAGGCTCCAACTGGTGCAGAATGCAGCCACGCGGGTACTTATGGGGGCGACATGGCGCTCCCATGTGACACCTCTCCTGCGTGAGCTGCATTGGCTTCCTGTGGTCTTCCGGGTGCGCTTCAAAGTATTGGTTCTCATCTTCAAAGCGCTCCATGGCTTAGGGCCCGGTTATTTACGAGACCACCTTCTGCCACCGATAACCTCCCACCGGCCAATACGCTCCCACAGAGAGGGCCTCCTCAGGGTGCCGTCGGTCAGGCAATGTCGGCTGGCGACCCCCCGGGGAAGAGCCTTCTCTGTGGGGGCACCCGCCCTCTGGAATCAGCTACCCCCAGGGATACGACTGATCCCAAACCTCTGTACCTTCCGCCGGGCTCTGAAGACTTTTTTATTTCAGCAAGCCGGGCTGGGTTAAAAATCTTTTAATTGCTGAATTTTATGGGTAAGGGGTTTTAAATTGGGGGAAGCCAATATAAATTTAATTTTGTTTTTATAGTATTTTAATGTTTATATTGTATGTTTTTTAATTTTGGCTGTTCACTGCCCCGAGTCCTTCGGGAGAGGGGGCGGTATAAAAAATTTATAAATAAATAAATAAATAAATAAATAAATAAATAAATAAATAAGTAAATAAGTAAATAAATAAATTTGATCCTTTCTATAATAATCCTATTCATCTTTAAAAACCATTCTTTTGATTTTTAAAAATAACTTTCTTTTCTCCCACTTACTTGCCAGTTGGTACAGATAACAATTGTTCCTTATGTTTTCATAATGCGACGGCTGCCTTCCTAAATTTCCAGGAAAAACATTAGTAATTCTTGTTTCTCCTTTCAGAAATCCAATGAAAATGAGCCCACTGGAAATTGCTTTTTGCTTAACCCATAATGATTGCCCCTAGGCACATATCTATTTGTCTCTGACATTTCTCACACATTTGCTCCTGATGTAATAAAGAGTATTATAAAGCATCATTAGCATTTCTGGCTGAACACAAGTATATTTTATGGGGAAGCAGGCTTCCCCATAAAACTCTATTTTATCACTTTAGTCATAGAGAATCTTAACTTTAGAGGGCAGGAAGGTTGCTGAAAGTTTTGGGAATTTCCTGTCCTAAGCAAAATATTTCTCAAACATCCACAGAGAAAGTCTGGCCCACTCCTAATATTACTGCCATAGATTTGTGGCCAGTTCCAAGATAAAGCATAAGCCATCCAGAGTTGTTTCAGCAGTGAAAAGGGTGGCATATACATTTAATAAATTAAATCCAGAGGATACAGAAAGCACAAAGACTTGTCTCTGTAAGCATTCCGATCTCCATAGAGAACAGACTGAGAATCTCAAAAAAAAGAAAAAAATTAAATCAGATTATGCCCTTATTCTAATTACAACATGGGTTAAGAGGCAATTTTTACACTGATTCAGAGGGCCCTAATTAGCTAATAGTAATTGTTTTTATGAGGAGAATGCTGAATACGGTAGAAAAAAAGTTGGGCGAGTCAAAAAATCTTTCCCAATTCCCATGAAATGAAACATACACACACATTTGCTGATCCTTCAGTGTTTCTGATAGTTCTACAGAGGAATTATTGAGTCGGTCATCTGCACCTCCATAACTGTCTGGTTTGGTTCTGCAACCCAACAAGACAGACACAGACTTCAGGGGATAATTAGAACTGCAGAAAAAACAATGGCTACCAACCTGCCTTCCATTGAGGACCTGTATACTGTACGAGTCAAAAAGAGGGTTGTGAAAATATTTACAGACCCCTCACATCGTGGACATAAACCGTTTCAACTCCTACCCTCAAAACGACGCTATAGAGCACTGCACCCCAGAACTACTAGACACCAGAACAGTTTTTTCCCAAACACCATCACTCTGCTGAAGAAATAATTCCCTCAACACTATCAAGCTATTCATTAAGTCTGCATTACTATTCTCATTCTAATTGTTCCTATCACCCATCTCCTTCCACTTATGACTGTATGACTGTAACTTGTTGCTGTATCCTTACGATTTATATTGATTGTTTCCTAGTATGATTCGATTGCTTATTTGTACCCTATGACTATCATTAAGTGTTGTACCTTATGATTCTTGACGGGTGTATCTTGCCTTTTTATGTACACTGAGAGCATATGCACCAAAGACAAATTCCTTGTGTGTCCAATCACACTTGGCCAATAAAGAATTCTGTCTGTCTGTCTGTCTGTCTGTCTATCTATCTATCATTTATCTATAGAAAAAATAATTTAATAATGTAAAATTTATTTCCATACCCATCTCTTATAATTCCATGAACTTCTTGCTCTGTTCAGAAGTTTTCAGAAATAAAGCTGACATTTTAGCAGCCTCTCTCCAGGGCATTTACTAGATAATTTAAAAGGCCAATCCTCCAAGAAATTATAGTATTCAGAAATCAGGAATGTGAAGCTCTACCGTTGCTAAATTGAGGTTGTAAACAAGAATTCTCCGAAAATTGAAAGCAAGACTCCATCTAGTGGCGTTGTTTTTTCAACAGCAACATTTAGTAATGATGGATAATTAAAAGACGTTCGTGGTCTTGCATTAAATCAGTGCTTTTTAAATTTGGCAACTTTAGGATGTATGGACTTTGACGTTTCAGTGCTGACTGGGAAATTCTAGCAGTTGAAATCCACACACCGTAAAGTTGCCAAGTTTGAAAAACACTACACTAAATTCTAACCTGATTTGGTTTGGTGTTTTGTGTAAACTCAGATACAATTCTGTTGACTGCTGGCTGCCTGCAATTTGGCAGTTCGAATCACACCAGGCTCAAGGTTGATGCAGCCTTCCATCCTTCCAAAGTCGGTAAAATGAGGACCCAGATTGTTGGGGGCAATATGTTGACTCTGTAAACCGCTTAGAGAGGGCTGTAAAAGCACTAGTTCTGTCCCCGTACCACACACGCACCCCCACAGACGGCCCGGAGTTAATAAGCCACATGACAAAACTCTTTGAAGATAAAGCTGGCAGCAACCCAGTGGCTAGCTGCCAATTCAGACTTTACTCACACAAAACAAAGATTAGACTGCAAACATTCCGATAAAACAGGCAGAGTTTCAACAATACAAGGATTAATCCAAATGCAGTCCGATAAAGCAGGCAAAGTCCAGTAACGCAGAGATCATGGATTATTTCCAGTTTTTGCTCGTCACAAACTGAACCGGCCACCACACCCACATTTATACCCTGTGGGGTGTGGTCCAGTGACTCAGCTAATCTCTGGCACGCCTTCCCTCTGCTGTGCATGCTTCTCCCTGCGCCTCTGCCGAGGGTCCAACCAGCACTTATCTTCTTCGTCACTGTCCACCTGTGGCTGCGGGGACGTGCTTGGCTCTGAGCCTATCTTTTGGCCCTCGGTGTCCTCCGGAGGCATTGCCAGAGAGGAGGGTCTTGGAGAGGGAGGCCTTGCCAACTCCTCTCCCTCACTCTCAGAGTCTGCATCTGTCGATAGCCCAGGCTCAGGCAACGGAGCCACAACAGCACTGTGAAGCGGTATATAAATCTAAGTCAGTGGTGGGTTTCTACTAGTTCGCCCCGGTTTGGGAGAACTGGTAGCGGCGGTGGCAGGAGGCTCTGCCCATCTGCCCAGATGTCATCAAAAACACTCTGTGCATGCGCAAAAGCGCCACGCGCTCGCAAAACAAGCAAGCGCACCTGCGCGTTACCGGTAGCACCGGGATTTGAATCCCATTACTAGTCTAAGTGCTATTGCTATCTTAATTTCTTCTGTTTCTACCTGTGTTGTCCTTTCAGTAGCCAAGAATGTGGTAGTTAGGGATAGATGGCTTCTGAACACTCCTGTTCATTTGTGTCTATCAGCTTCAATTGTTTCACACTGAGCTCTCCAGTTTAGCCAAGCATTTAAGTAATGAATCACTTCCTTTTGCTCATTTTAAAGGAGGCAGCCTGCAAATCATTATAATTAGACTACATCGATGCTGTGTGGAGTGGATGCCGTTTGCAACAAGCAGAGGGATTTCTATTCAGGGAAAGTACAGTAATCCCATAATATGGCCTTCTGGAGTCCAATACTCTGTAGTTTCCAAAGAGTCACGGTGGCGCAGTGCAGAACTGCAGGCTACTTTTGCTGACTGCCAACTACCTGCAATTTGGAAGTTCAAATCTCACCAGGCTCAAGGTTGGCTCAGCCTTCCATCCTTCCGAGGTGGGTAAAATGAGGACCCAGATTGTTGGGGGCAATAGGCTGACTCTGTAAACCGCTTAGAGAGGGCTGTAAAGCATTGTAAAGCGGTATATAAGTCTAAGTGCTATTGCTATTGCTGGGAATTGTGGCAATTACACCGGAATGAGGTTCCCTTCAAGATCTGAGTGGTCTCCATTCTACTGTTACTTTGAAGACCCGTTAAGACCTTGCTCTTCACCCAGGCCTCGCTTCAGTTCATCTGGTTTGTCCTGCATGCCACCTTTTTATCTTTCATTGTTTTTCATTGTACAGGTAGTCCTCGACTTGCAACTACAATGGGACAAGAATTTCCATTGCTAAGTGAGGCAGTTGTTAAGTGAATCGTGCCAGATTTTAGTACCGTTTTTGGCTGCGGTTGTTCCTTCTACAGGTAGTCCTCGACTTACGACCACAATTGAGCCCAAACTTTCTGTTCCTAAGCGAGACCGTTGTTAAGTGAATTTTGCCCCATTTTACAACCTTTCTTGCCATAGTTGTTAAGTGAATCTTCTGACATTGCTTGTCAGAAGGTCGCAAAAGGGGGGTCACATGATCTCCGGGCCAGTGCAAAAGTCATAAATATGAGTCAGCTGCTAAGCATCTGCATTTGGGTCACGTGACTATGGGGATGCTGCAACTATCGTTAAGGGTGAAAAACGGTCCTAAGTCACTTTTATCAGAGCTGTTGTAACTTCGAACAGTGACTAAATGAACTGTTGTAAGTCGAGGACTGGCTGTACTCAGAAGCAACTACCTTATTTTTCAGAGTATAAGACGCACCTACCTTTTTTGGTGAGGAAAAGAAGAAAAAAAATCTTCCTCTGCCTTTGAGCAATTTTGCCTCCTTGCAGCAAACAGCAAACAGCCTGCTTTACTTTCATTTTCGTTTTCAGCATAGCTTGACTAGCACAAGGGGAAAAAAAATTATCTCCAGCAATTTACCTCTTTGCAGCAAGCAGCAGAGCCCTGTGCAAAACAGCTGAGAGCAAATCAGCTGAGAGTCGGGAGGCAGATCCAATCAACTTGTGCTAATTAGCCTGTGCTGAAGCTGAAAGGAGCTGTTTTTTCTTGCTGTTTGTTTGCAAGGAGGTAACTGCTGCGAGGCCGAGGCCAAAGGGTGGGGGCCAGTGGGTGGGCAGGGCTACATTCGGTGTATAAGACACACCTAAATTTTCACCCTCTTTTAGGGGGGAAAAAGGTGAGTCTTATACGCCGAAAAATACGGTATTTCAGAAAGCTTGAGCTGTAAGTAAAATCAAGCCACCATTAGTTTGGCCTGAAATCCATGTCAGTTTGAGCTTGTTTCAAGTTTAGCTCAAACTGACATTATACTGTACCAGATGTCTGTATGACAATCTCTAGGAATGTCGACTCCTTGGGAAATACCGTACATCAGCAAAGAAACTTTGATTTTTTTGAATGAGTAATACAGGTAGTCCCCAATCAATGGGGGAAGCCAAATTCACTTAACCACCGTGTGATTCACTTAACAACTGCAGAATTCACGTAATAACCATAGCAAAAAAGGTAATAAGAAGGTAGTCCCCAATTTATGACCGATCACTTAGCAATTGATTGAAATTATGAAAAACTCCGACACTGGAAGTTTTTAAGACGAGGTTGGATAACCATTTGTCTGAAGTGGTGTAGGGTTTCCTGCCTAAGCAGGGGGTTGGACTAGAAGACCTCC